GTCTTCCGGGACAGTCGTATATATGTTAAGCCCCCGTCAGGGGGTCGAGCTTTTAACGAGTCGACCAGGCTTGCGCCAGTGGACCTTGACCCTCCATTGTCGAACTGAGGGCCATCGTCCGCGCTTTAATCAATTCAAGGGAAATCAAATCGTCAATTCAATCAAAACCTAGATTAAGTCAGTGAATAGCAGCGGAGGTAGGCTTGAGGCTCCCCATTGAGCATTGAGAGGTTATCAGCTATATACATTCACACAGCTGCTGGCAAATCCCGGCGAACCTCTTACTACTATCATTTATTCTACGACACGACCGTAAATTAATATCTCCCAGTCCCTCAAGGATCGCCTCGGTCCGACGACGAATCAAGAAATCGCGATTTTCAAATACCTGTTATCTGAGATAGAATGGCAATATACCTGAGTCTCATTGGACTCACTTTTAGGCGCAGTTGGAAAAGGATAGCTGACTGTATCGACTGGTCAAAGCTGTATAAAGTTGCGAAACTGGTGAATTGATGAGTCCCTAATCCGAGTCAGATCGAGTCGAATCAAGTCAAGTTTCTAACTGAGGCTCCAAGCCAACTTGCCACTGTCCTTCCAGACTGAACGCCCCAAGGATGAATCGCTACCGATGTTTTCTTCTACACATGCCAGAAATCATTACATGCTCCACACCCTGGCCTTCTTTAGCCATAAACTGACCGAACCCCTACGGAGGACCCAGGGATAATCTCCAAGGCAAGCCTTGAATATACTTCAACGAGATGCTCAGTTAGCATGGACGGCCGATCGTCGTAGGAAAGAAACAGAGAACCCACTCGATGCTGATACAAAAGCCCGGGGGCTGACAGATTCCCTCGCAGGTAAACACTACATAGTGAGTCACAGCTGTCAAAGATCGACCCCCATGCTATCGATCTACACGCAAAACTCACATCTGTGGTGTTGCCTAGCCCCTTCCGATCGACCTCACAAAGCGACTGGGCTAGACGTGACCGAGCTGAAAAGATAGCCTGCAAAGAGGAGCATCAGTCCTAGAAAAAAGGCATTGCGCCCAGACGCCTATCTAGGACAGGCGAGGTAGCTGAAGACCGCTGCAGGGTATGCGGCTACAGCACACTCCTCTGATACGATACCTCAAAATTTCGACACGGCTCCAGGCAGCCTTTCGCCAGGATATATGAGTCAGAAACACCTGCCGGACCTGGGTGCGCGCGCGCATACGTCCGTGCAGCCAGCAAGCCATATATTGATTATATGCATGATGTCAAAGGCACCAGCCAAAAGGGCGAAGAACTCCGCGGCTTGATCTGGCCCCCAACTCTGGATTCCCACTGTCTACCTGCCTTATGCGCCCGAGTTCTCTCCGCTAGAGCAGAAGCAAGCCACGGACAGCTGAGTTTCGGATCGGCTAAGCAGTCTAGGTATGTAGGCTCAAAGAGCGCCCGTGAAACCCGTGAAAAAATGCCTCTAGGTATGTACACCAAGGCCTCAACCGATATCACACGTTCCCTACGACGCGTTAGATCAGGAACCGAGCCGGCGGGTGTGAAGGGGGAGGCACGGGACGGTCGCTATCTGCGAGGCTGCCGCGGGATATGCACTTGGCGTCAGCAAGAGTGGGTTAGGTTAGACGTGAGCTATATCTCTCGTCGCAGCCAACATTGCCCTCTATCGTGGGGGGAAGCGCAACGCTTTGGAACAAGGGTTTGATAAATTTTCTCCCACGTGCGGAAATCTTGGGAAATAATATCCGAAGAAGATATCATCTTACATGTTCGCATCTTACGTTGTAACTAACAACTATGGAGAACGAGGTGATAGAGGGGTCTGGAAGGCGACGACGAGCGTCACTTTTTATTAAGACAGGTACCCATTTGGTATATGGACACATTCAATGCGTGCCAACTCTAATCAGCAAAGGCAAGGCTATAATATCCCTCAAGTATACTTGAACGAACAGAGTACCTATATCATAGGCATATTCTACCTAACATCGATGTTCCAATATAAAGCGGTTTATTGAGCGGTAAAAAGCGTGGTGGATATCTCGCAATAATAGAGGCACTTATAGCTCCACAATTAGAGCAAGGGGCGCGGCGATCGGGTTGGCGTCGTTCGCTTCGGAGAATAACCATCTTCTTTTGGGCTCCTCTTTTCCCATGACGACACTTCGATTGGAACCGACTGGGCCCTCGCAGTTGGGACTACGATTTACAGGCTGTCTCAACAAACGGACTATCTGTCTGGACGCGGTTAGTTTCTAGGGCTGCTATAGGCTACGTATATGTACGGAATACACGATGCATATAACTCCGAGACGGCACGGTTCAAAATGCATATCGCACACGCATTGATGAACTGAGACACATTTTTTAGACCAGATGAAAGAGAAACCATGGGGCCTCAGACAAGCGCACACACAGACGCACAGGCGCCGCCCGACCGCATCCATAGCATACATACTTCACCTACCTACCTACCTACCTACCTACCTAAGCCTTAAGGGATCGGGGTAAGGATACCGACGTGGGACATTTGCAAAAGTGAAAGGAGGTAAAGTAGTCTTTTAGGTAGGCTACTACTGCGATCCTCGTCACATTTTTTTCCCTCCCCGGCCAGCTTCGGATGCGTGATAACGGCGCACTGCCACCGTTCCCTCGGAACCTCATCCGCCAAATGGATGTTTCTGCCTCGCGGCGCCTCGTCCGAGACGGGTCAGACCGAGCACGCAAATTATGACTTTTGTTTGCTTATAATGCTCCTTTCTGATCACGCGCGGAGGGGCCAATGGTGCTCGAGCCCTTCGTGATCTCGAGATACCTATACTTTAGGCAGGCTAGCATGCGCTGTCTCGTCCCGCATTGGGGCCACGGGTCTTGGCGAGACATATAGAGCTACCCCGAATATACCCGCCGCCTACATCTATTCATGACGACCATGAATCTAACCGGAGCTGTTTTCTTTGCTTGGCTGACTTCCCGTTTGCGAAATGAGCAAAACTCGCCCCCGGTGGATGGCCACCTCGGTAGCGGCCGTCCGCTGCTTCGCGGCAGGCAACGACTAGGTTAGGCAATATCATGTATAGGTAGGCAGTTACCTATTCACCGCCCCGTGACAGGTTCATGGTTCCCAAGGTAGCAATCCGTAAAAGTTCACACAGAGGACCATTGCCTAGCACTTTGCTTGCTTCCTCAACAATCTCTTTCCGTCACTAGTGGGAATGAAATCCCCGCGAAAGGAGGGAGAGGGAGAGGGAGAGAGGGGTTCCGGCACGGGCTCAGATCTGGGAGTCTGGGGGAAAGGGGATGCGCGGCTTTCGCACATACGGTGGACAATTAGACAGACGACATACGAAGGCTAAGGTGGTGTTTGATCGGATAGGTAGGAGAGAAGGAACCAATTTAACAGAAAAAGGTCGCGGGCGCTTAAACGGCCCCCCCTTTAGCCAATTACAAGTCGCGACTCCCGTTCGAACCGCTGCATGACACACCCATCCACCCTTCACTGAGAAGGTAAGGTTGAGCCAATAGGGTCGTCACTTCGGTCCGGAGCCAGCGCTTAAGAAGATTGCGCACTGAATGTCCCCACCTTCTATTTAGACTTCAGACTTCAGACTTCGAAGCTCCAGTTTCGAAGGGAAACCCTAATGCGAAGAAGGGCTAGCGCCGTCCATTCTCTTTCCTTGCCCCTGTCGAGCCCCGCGCATGCAAGTCCCAGGATATCGGGACGCACGAACCGACCAATTAGACCGAGTACGCCTTTGCATATAGAAGGCGGGCGTCGCGAGTAGCAAGGTACCGATTACATCTAACTACATAATATTCTGAACATTGGAGTTTTTCTAAGTGTTTATAGTCGACAATTTATTGAAGAGCAATAAGAGATAATAGCTGAGATATAGAGTAAAGGAGACGTACATACTATACTACGTACTAGGTAGGAAATATAACATGATAACTGTGTAAGAAGCAGTATAGAGGCACAGTCAAAGGTATACCTTATACAGGAACACTAGGTAGACTAGTGTAAGCCACCCGTCCGCACATCCACTTTATACCAAATAGCATAATACGCAGCGTCGAAAATGGTGGTGTGGGCGATCTTGATCCAGGGGCCCCCTCAATCTTGGTTACCTACCTGACCTACTACCGCGGGCAGTTCGCGTGGTCACAAAAATAAAATAAAAAGACCGTGTAAGAGGGCGGAGACTGTAGGAAGGAGGCCACCACTGACGGCCGCACTCTTGACCGAAATTCCACCCAGTCTAAGACGAGCAGCCAGTAAGTTGTCAACGCTTACGAGCCCAACCTCCCGGCCGCATCAGAGGTCGCTTTAGCGGAAAACAACATTTAACGTCCGCTCCCGTTTTGCGGTTCAAACCAAAATAAATAAATAAACAGTTGAAAAAGCGAGTAAAAATCACGTAGGGGTCGGGGGTTCGCCTATAGACACAGTTTTATGGCCAAACACTGATAGTATAGCATAGACACTAAGCTCTCGTAACAAGCTAGGTAGGTAACGGATACCATGTATTGTGAATGTTGGCTACGCGAATTTTGACACTGTTCCGTCCGGTGCTATCCTATAGCAGCCCAATCGTGCTTGTTCTCTCCCTCACGCCCACGTCGGCCCCCTTTTCAAAGGTCCACACACACACGCACAACGGAGCCGACAAAAACAAATAATAATAGGAGTCCAAAAAAATTACCTGGTATCGCTTTGCAAGCCCAGGCTTCCCAAGGTTGCTGATGCCCGCCAGCAAACGCCAATAAACTCCATCGCACTTTCTTAACAGAGATCCGCCCAAATCCCGTCCTCTTTGTAATGCCAGGTACGCCATGGATCTAGATCGTAAGAAGCCATAAAGTCATTCCCACCGCTTCTCTGATGGTCCCTGGTTAAATTCCATGGTCCATCGATTCTAGCGGTGGCTTTGTTGCGGATTTGATGATAAATATTTCGAAGAAGGGGAGACGTAGAGAATGTGAGTGAGCGAGTAAATGAGTGAGATAGATAGTAATAGGTATAAACAAATGGAAAATAGATGACAATTCTTGGCATAGAAGCCGATATAGAGTTGGGGGAGGATGTTAAGACTTTAGTTCGTTCGGGATTGAGTAGTATGGCAAATAAGGAGGTGGTTTAGTCGAGGTCCTAAACCGTATTCGTCCGTGCCGCCGCCGCCGTTGCGGCAGCTGCTTGAGCTTTCGGGCAGTCCAGATGCGTCGTCTTCCTTCTCTTGCCCTTCGGCGCCGGGTCCATTCTCGGCGTGTAAGTAACGGTCCTCGTAACAACCTCTCGAATGTGCCGCACACTCTTCCCTGTCGATTTTTGCGCTCTGCAATCCTGCGCATACCTAGACTTCAACGCTGCTTCCCAGTCAAACGGTGATCGCACTGATCTCGCGCTAAATGGAGACCGCGCTGTTGCGCTTAGTGGCGAGTCTATCGTTGATACGGCAGGGGATGGAGGCATGTGAAGGCTTGGGAACGACGTTGCTCCTGTTGGTGGTGCGGACATCGGCTGGCTTGAGAAAGGGCTTGGCGGAATGCCGGCTGGTGATTTATGGTTGCCGCATTTGCAGGAACAGTCCGTCTGTTCGCTGCTTGCGGTCGATGGTGCTGACTCCTGCGCTGAGTCATCTTCCGGCGTGCTAGTTCCCGACGACCTCTTCTCCGGCACAACTGGCGAGGATACCGACATGGCCTTGAGAAAATCCATATAAGCCGTAGGTGGGCTGATAGGGGTTCTAGCGCTGTTAGGGAACTCCTCCTTAATAAAGTCCGGAACTGCAGATAGAGGCGTCTTGGCCGAGAGAGCAGAGAGCTCCGACGGGAAGGTGGCCGTGACTGGGGTGGTCAACTGCGCGAGCTTTGGCTTGCTTGTAGGCATGATGGCGAGTCCTGAGGATAAGTCGAGTATAAATTGGTTGTTGGAATAGCCTCAAGTCAAACGAATGACTCAGAAGGATAGGAAGACGGGATGCCTACAAGCTGCACAACGAAGTCGCCCGTGGTGGAAGAAGAGTAGGTAGGTGGTGGTGGTGGATGAGGGGGATAGGTGACTATAATATGTAACTCTCGGACAGGCCAAGGATGAGGTTGCTGCGTGGAGGACAAGGATCCGGGCGAACAACCTAGTCAATGCTGAGACGAAGGCGCCAACGGGAAGCTAAGCTACACCCCGGCTAGAAACACTAGAAACGCTAGGGATCGATGTGACAGATCCCAATGGTAGGGGGGAGTGGTTCCAGAAGTATGTACCGTCCTTGGGTCGTTGGGAGTCCTTAGATGGGTAGGTATTCTTTCGAACGTATGTAACTTATACCGAACAGAGCTAGGTACACAAGACTAGGTAATGTGTTTACCTATTATCGGTACGCGCTGCAAGTTGGAGACGGGATGGTCAACAGACAGACCGACACGAGAGTATGAAAACAAGGTAGGTCGACTCGTGGCCCGGCTAGTGGATAGAGATCCGAGAGAGACGGAAACAGAGACTTTGGGAAGCGTTGGCGCGAAGACAGAAAAAGGTCAAGGTCCAAGGTCCGTCTCGAGGGCGGCGGCAGTGGTGGGTTAGCTGTGGATGTGCAAAGTGAAGGACGTCTTCGGATTGGTTGCTTAGAGGCGGCAGGGATCAGGTGCCCTTAGATCCAAGCCCTTTGCAGCTTTAATTGTAGTATGTATGTGGTAGACGCAAGAAAGATGTACTGCTGACTCTAGATTGCTTGATTAGTCTTGTTGTATTGTATTGACGAACTCCTTCATTTAGCAGGGGGAGCATGTAAGAGAGGTACGTAAATGTGAGGTATGCGAAAGTATGTAGGAACAATATAAGAGCACTTGACTTACATCTTTTATTAAAATGATTCACTCTCCGAAGTAACTTCCCAAAGTAACTTCCCAAGCCTTGAATGTATAAGCTACCTGAACTGGGGTCGCGGTTGACTGAGCCTAGCTCAGTTCAAGGACCTATCCGAGCTTGAGTCTGATTGGTTCGATAGCCTTCGTTGGTGTGGTTTGCCAGGCGCAATATACCGGGATGTCGCTGGTGGGTTCGAATGGATCGGAGGTATTCGGTACTTGCGTTAAGCGCTGCCGCTACTGGGTACCTGTGTGTATTTACTATATTTGGGTCCTGGTTAGCGCCGTTCCGTTGCCCACTCTTCTGATTTGACGTCTCCCTCTTCTGCCCCTGTCTTTCAATGTCTTCAATGTCTTTCCTTATTGCACCTTCGTCACGGGCTGCACAGGAGACTGCAACCATTCACGACTCACCTTCACCTAAACTCGAGCGGCAAGAAATCCTAGACCGTACAGATCGTAGAGAGAATTGCTTTTTTATCACTGTCGGCTCTCTATCCGGATGTGGGTTCTGGTCAGACGTTGAGCTGAATGAGCTGAGCAGTGGATCGCGGGATTGCCGTCGATGTGGCGCGCTGATGAATGATGAATGATGCTTGTACGCTGGGATAACCTAGGACAACCTGGGATATACCTGGGTGCTTATATGTTGTGCGTTGAAAAAAGGTAGGATATTGATATTTTCAATCATGCGGTTTCAGCTGTCGAGTATCCTCAAGCAAGGTCCGTCCCGCTATGTCTTACGCACGGATGAATTACACAGGCAGATGATCGTGAAGTCCGGGGATTGATGACTTTTATGTGCGGTTATATATCTTCACTGTTTCAATCTTTCATCTCCAGGTATTGTTCCATATCATGGCGTTGCTTCACTCAGCGCGCGGCTCGCGATGGATGCTTCGTTTTTCATTAGACTTGTACAACTAGAGGCTGTCTATCTCCCATAGATAGAATTGCTGTCTTGTTTTTCTTCTTTGCGGCTTGAGGCCTTAGCCAGGCTTAAGCAGAGCGCGCGCCACATGACGCATTGCATCGGCCGAAGGCATTCCAGAGATGCTGTTGGCCAGGAGGTTCTCAAGTGAATCTCTCTTAGTGGTTGGGGTCCTAAATCTACCATAGAGCTCCCCCGAAGTCTCATATTCGATACTCCCAGCGCGCGCTTCCTCGAGGGCCAGATCATGAGACCACGGAGAAGTAGCCTCTTCTTCTAACTCAAAGAGAAAATAATCTAGAATGTTTCTATGCCAGTCACATTCCCCAATTAACCCAGTGTTGTGGAGCCGCCGTACTTCTCTTAAGCGCCGCCAAACCCTGCTAATGTCTACGCCAACTATTCCTCTAACTACCCTCGTTAGTCGTCTTTGCGCGCTTAGGATGAAGCTTCTTCGACACAGTTGCTACAGATACTGACTTCAGTACCATCCTGCAGGAAGTGACCGCGTCTAGCATGCACGTTGGGATAGGAGCCATCGGGCCTTAGCACGTAGGTAGTAAGGTACGTTGGAGATAGCTTAACCTCAGAATCTATCATTGGCTTCCACGTGTAAAGGGATGCGGCTAGAGTCCTTCGCGGACTAGCAGACTAGGAATGTCCCATGTAAATGATAGCATGGTATCTCGATAGCAAGTCGATATGAACTAATGCGTGGCAAGAGTCGTGCAGATTCTATAGACTTGGTAGGGACTTGGTGTCGACAGTCGTACTAACATGTTCTCTTCAGGTAAGCGGCAGAGCAGGCTGCTATAGCATTCGGCATAAACTAACACTTTCTATGCTCGAGTCGTACCAACCGGACCAGATCCAGAGTTACTCCACGAGTTCATACCTCCATGGTCAATGAGTGTTTATAGATAAACAAACACGGACCAGAGAAGACGTGTATTTGCCTGCCGGCAGCTTCGTCTTTGAGATGCTTGGCCTATTTCTCGCTCTGCTCCAAGATTACTGTATAATATGCCATTTTAAGCGCGCAGGGCTGCACGTGAAACTGTATGAACAGCAGCCAAGATGAGCTATCGCGGTAAACGTTTCCACGTTATACGCTCGCTATCAACGTCTTGATGTAAGATAGTGGTGTGTATACGCACGCAAAACGTCACCATCTCGCTTCACGTGCGATATATGTTATTCGTTAAGTATAGTGTATGTTTACCATGCAGAGAAAGTGCACTTTTTCTGCTCATCTTCGCAAAGTCATAGTCTCGACCGGTACCAATCACTATCTCATCGACACCACCTCATAGCAATGAAACGTGCCACGATATGCCTCTCCAAAACGATGTGCTTTCTTAGCTCCTAGGAGCGTAAAGGATTATCACGACGCATCACGCTTCTTTCGGCCAGTCCCAACGTCAAGTATCCACACCGTCGTTGGAGATGTACATTCGACTGGACGGGGCTCCGCTCCGCGAGCTATTGACCGCCATTTGTGTACTTCCATAGACTGCCTAGATGCGAGAGGGAGGAGATGGAGGCATTGCTGATTTTCATTTGATGGGGTTAATGGGGACTGGCTAATCAGGGTGATCCTTGGATGAGGAGAGTCGGTAGGCAGTATAGATCATGTCGTGTCGAGTAGATACCTGCAGCCAATCTTGGATTATATGTTACCATAACATAAGAAGGTATGTATAGGGTACTCGGGGCGGGATACCCCCACGCGTGAGCGCCACCAAGGTAGTACCACTGAAGAGGCCACGGCGGAAGAACGTGAGTTCCATAGGGTAGCTCCCCAGATTGGTATGTGCGTTGATCTTGCGGGCTTTTGCTTTCCCCGTTAAATTTCCTTGATTTCTTTCGCTACTGCATTGCATAGAGCTACTTTCACGCCAGCCCCGGTGAGTACGTGAATCCAGAGTCTCTGCGTATCGCTGAGGCGGTCATTGGCACTCTTCACCTCGGAAAACATCACTTCCCGGTTCGGCTCTGTTCTCCAAAGTATCAGATCTGGTATACCGCCGCCTCTTTGACCGTATTCCTGTGCCATGACCTTGCATACAGCGGCTAGCGCCGCACCATCAAAGCAGCTCGCTAGTTCTAAGAGGTCTTCTAACTCGTAGTCCCAATTGAGGCCGACAACACAGGTGCGGTTTTCGCGCTCTCGCCGGTCAACCTCCTCGATTAACGTTGCCGCCCCACCATTCGCGATCTCGACGAGTCGATGGTTAATCTCAGACGCCCGAGTAGGGTAGAAGGCGTCCGTGTGCAAGTCCAGCGGGCATGTCTGGTACGCGGTCTGGAACACATTGGGCATGTAGAGGAAGAGAATATCGAAGAACAGGTATGCGAAGAGCGTTCTAACGATGCCGCCCTCCGCGTGATAGCCCTTCCAACCTTGGCTTCTATACCAGCTTAGACACATGGCTTCCACGCTGCATTCTCCGTCGCCGTCCGCTTCGTCCACCCATATTGTCTTTGTGCTCGCTTCCCGTCCATTCTTACCTACGATGTCATCTTTCTTGATTTGAATACCCTCAGCAAAGTGTTCTTCCGGCTTCTGCAGCCGGACGTGGCCGAAGTCATGTTGCAAACGTTTCGGAATCTTAAGCTGTTTCTCGAGCTTGACTAAACGTTTCTGTATATCGTAATGATAAATTAGATGGCAATCTCGGTCCTCTAGGGCGGTCTCGCAAGTTGCCACTGCGATTCGTTTCCAATGCTTCTTTTGCAACTCTAGATCTTTGTAGGAGGGGTCTAGTTCCGAAGCGTACATGTAATGTTCCTCCAGAAGGGCCTTCCGTTGGTACCACGAACCTCGACGAGCTAAATGGAAGAGACGTTGATCGAGCAATTCCGTTAGTAATTCATGCTCCCGCCGATGCTCCTTCAATCGACCGAGCACATGCGCGGCTTTATGAACGATACGAGTGTACGAATGGGCAGGGTTGAGTCGTCTCAAATAAGCCCCTTCGCCGGATTCGTAAACTCTCTTCTCCTTTTCCTGTTCCTCTTGCACCAAAGTTTTCCACCTGGGATAGATTTCCTCGAATATCTTGACGATCTTTCGGAAATCTGCTTCTGTGACAGGTCCATTAAATTCTAGTATGCTGTCGACAGCATACTCGGTCCTCATAGCTGTTTCGAACTCCAATAATTGAGCTCTGGACGGGAAGATGTTGGCCGACCTGCTGACAATATAATTTGGAAAATTACGCTTCGATATCTTTGCCAGTATAATCGTAGTTAAAGATTTCTCTGTCCATTCAGTAGACCTGTAGAAGACCAAGTGAACTCTTTCAAACAATCTAAAAACAGGTAAGGAGAGCCTTATACAAGGCCCGGTTACAGCCAATATTTTCTCGAGAAAGTGCTTTCTCCTGTTGGAGTCTTCGCCAAGACTTGGGCCTGGCGATTCCGTCTCAGGCGTACTCCTGTCTGGTGAGTCTACAGAACCCATAGTGCTAGAGCGTCGGAGACCTAACGCGAAGAGGCCAGTTTGCTGATTGCTCATCCTGCAAATGGATTTTGCAAGTTCTGCCTTATTCTTGCCTCCGACCTTCGCCTCTTTGGCTAAGGCTTTGACCTCGTCTAGACTCAGAAGTGCTACGGCCTCTTCCACACTTGTGATGAATTGCTCCGACATGTCCGCGAAAGTAAACCTCTCGTTAAGCACACATGGGTCCTGACTTAGAGACGTAAGTATCGGTTCTACATATTCGAGGACGGGTGGAGAGCCAGAAGAAGCTGATGGCAAATCCCGACTCCTCTGCAACTCGTCGACGGCTGCCTCGATATCTGCGATGTCGTCGTGATAGCGCAGGCGGGCTATACGGTGCCATGATGCTGTCTTCCTTAAGAACAATCGCACGTACCTACGAGAATGAATAAGCATTGGATCTTGCATATAGACAATGCTTGATGTTTAGTCGCGTACAGGAACTGAGCTTCGTAACTTAAATTATTCCATTGATCAAAGATGTACATTTCTTCATCGTTGAATAGGTGAGACTCCTCGTCAAGTACTGTATTAAGAGCGAGGTTGAAGGCGTCGACGTAAAGAGATGTCTTGCCTCTCACCCATTTCCTCGAATCGAGCCTCGACTCAGCATTTGCGGTATCGTTATCCCCTTGTGAAGCTTTGAAGGCTTGGTATTCCTCAAGGGCTTGTTTTCCAGACTTGACCTCAGGGAGTGAGCTCTCAATGGCGATCTGCCGAGAGGGTTCAACTTCTGCTTCTGAATTCTGCGAGGCATCGTCATCCAGATCAGAAGTTGCACTGTCTATTCTTCGAAAGCCTAGCAATAGCTTCAATGATGGACTGCTAGATTTAATGTCCTGATCTGAATCCTCGTCGCTATCGCGGACTTCCTCCCTTTTAACCTTCTTCGTGGGAGGTGGACGATCGTGCTTGCCATTAGGCTGAGATTTTGAAGTATAGGATGGGTTTAATCTCTTGACAAATGCATCCATTATTGCTACCTTATATGCCGATTGGAAATCATTGCGGCCAAAATCTTAAATGATAAGAAATAGTGCGAACTCAAATGTGGTGAAAGGAGCGAATGGGTGAATGACTTCATACAAAAGAACGCGTGGCAAGACGCGACTCGAGATTTGGTAAGGGCAATCGCAACGCGCAGTCACGCGTCAGCAGATCGTACCTTCCATGTACCTTTCTCATACTTCTACAGCGCTCAGGAGGGGCAACCACGCTAGGAAATTAGTACCTATCGTAGCTTCAATACTTCCTGAATACCTGGGTGCTTGCATATGCACGAAACCGCCAAACTTTCTCCATACATGTAGAAAATTCCACGACTAAGAACCAAAAGCCAACCTCATCATCAAACTTCCGCTTTTCCCCAGTTTCTCTGGCCCAATTCGCAACCGCCCGCTTCCCGCGAACGATGAGCGACGAGATCAGGCAAACTCCCGTACCCGTTCCCTTCGTTTACGGTCAGCCCGCCGCCTCGCAATCCGCCGATACCACAATGTCGAACCCCAACGAACCTCTCGCGACCGTCGCCGAGGACCCGAGCTCGGGCATGGCAGCGGCGCCTGCTCCCAGCACCGAGGCAGCAGCTGTAGGCAGCCCCCAGCAGTCTATCACTTCCCATTTCCCATTCCCCACTCTTCATCTCCATCTCCATCTTTCCTCTACACAACTTTTTACACCTCCCTATCCCGCATCCCAAACCTCTAGTACCAAAGCCTCTCCATCGCCAAAGCTAACCACAATGAGCACCGTCCCACAGTCCCCCTCGAACCCCGCTAGCGGCAGCGCTCCTCAAACCACGACCACCACGGCCGCCCCTACAACCACCACCACGGGCGGCAGCGGCAACACGCCCACACCAACCAACGCCCCGAGCCCAGCCGCCGCCACCGCACCCGGCGGCAGCGGTCGAACCGGCACGCCTCTACGCAACACCAACGGCGGCGGCGGCCAGGAGAACGCGGCGGCCACCAGCACCTCGCGCGCCGCCTCGCAGCACCCGGACGCGGGCTTCGCCATGCCGGCCGAGGCCCCCGCCCACGGCGCCCCCGCGCGCCAGTACCTGAACTCCAAGGTGACGGGCCCGCTGCTCGACGGCATGAAGAAGCTCGTCCAGGAGAAGTAAGTTTTAGCCTGCCTACTTACCTACATACCTACCCGCATAGATACCTACATACATAATACCTGAGGTTTGTACGCGAATATCTCCGCTTCGGAAGCCGCGTTTACGCTCGTAACAGGAGGATATGTGTTTTAAGGATTTGTCTATAGAACTTTGCTAGGAAGGCTGCTAACGCGCATTTTTCGCAGGCCCAAGGACCCTCTTCGCGTCCTCGGCGAGTACTTGATCCAGCGATCCAAGGAGCTCGAGACGACGTCGACGTGAAGGGTTGGAAGGCAAGCATCAGCACGGAGTTACGGTTCTAAGGGAAAAGTTATTTGTCGTTGCTAGATTCTGCATGGCACCATGGATTTGGCCATTGAAGGATGATACCACATTGCATTAGGAACCTTGTTTGCTTTTGATACGGAGGCTTGATGTGGAGGAGGTTAATTGAGTGAGCAAGTCAAATTCTAAGAAGAGCATTGCAGTCTATTAGGACAAGGCAGTCACAATACTATTCTTCACGAAGACCCAAATTTTAATTCGTAATCATATCAACTGATGTGAGTGCTCATTGTTCGCCTATCTCACGGATGCGACTAGGTATAAGAATCGAGCATCCGTCACTTTTGTGGCTGCCCAAAGAAGCAATCCCGTTTCCACAAACTCCATGACCAGACCTGGTATTCCATGCAAAACATCCTCCAAGGGTTTATGCTTATGCGACAATGGTGCTGGCGGTGGCGCTCTCGTACTTCCAGGTCGGGGGGAGGACGCCGACGGTCTTGTAGTAGCGAGCGAGACGGTGGATACGCGACTCGATCAGAATGAGGCGGAACTTGGCGTCCTTGTCCTTGCGGTTGCGCTCCAAGTGCTTTCGGACGGAGACGGCCTTGAGGGTTTGATCATTAGCATGCATTTCCAACATTGACTAGGTACATTGCACTCACCTTCTTGATCAACATGTATAGATCCTCAGGAAGCTCGGGAGCGAGGCCTATATAGAGATCACACCGTCAGCCTTGACCAACAGCGGCATTATGATTGACATGGGTTCCGAAGAGCACCATGTGTATTTTATAGATTGTATGCGCAGCCATTCGATGGCTTCGAGGGGGGATATTTCATGTCGTACCATTTGACTTCAGGATTCGCAGGATCTTGTTACCTAGGCATCATAGTTAGCTCGTGTAAACTGTGACCTATTGAGTTCATTTCTTTCATACCAGTGACGATGCGGACTTGGGCGATTCCGTGGGAGTCACGGAGAACGACACCGATCTGAGAGGGAGTAGCACCCTTTCGGGCGAGTCTGCAGATTTGCTCCTCGACCTGAGCGGGAGTGGTCTTGAGCCAGGCGGGGGCAACGCGCGAGTAGGGAAGCGCGGAGTCCGAAATTCCCTTTCCATTAGAGTGAAGACGACCCATTTTGACGGTTGTATGTGTCGACTTGTGGTGGTTGTCGAAGTTGTGTCGAAATGATCGAAAGGTCGGAAAGTTGTTGAATTCGTGAAGTTTTGAATGGGATTAATTTCTTCAGAAATTTACTAGTAGATTTGTGTGTCGAACTTCGGCTCTAATTGGTGGCCTGTGCACAGACCCTGCTATCATGTAGAAAAGCCGATGTTTTGCCGATGATACTAAGATTCCTTATCTTTCGGGTCCCAAATAAATTTTACTCTTTCTCTGTTCCTCAATTTTCTTGCTTGAATCCTGCGGCGAAATTATTGTCGAGGGTTGATAATATGATTGTTTCAGATGTCATGCAAATATTCGTCTACTCTTGGTAGTTCCATCTTCCAATTTCTACCTACCTACCATGCACACGATATTGCTGGGGTTGAGGCAAATCTATTCAGTTCGACCGAATCATTCTTCTCAAGGTAAGCCACTCGAACCCATACAATTCTCACTTCGACTCCCTCCATTGCTTCTGATGATACACTCCATTCTTTACTTATTTTCTGGTACCTCTTATATCATCGGGTCTTCGGACCTGAAATGTATTAAACGGACTTCTGACAGACGGATTCGTTGTTCTCAGTTCTCATATGAATCTCTGATAGCTGAACCTCAACTGACATAATTTGCAGGTAACTAATACAATACACATGCACACTAAGTGATACATATTAGATTGGCGAGTGTTCTTCGCCAACCGGAATCACCGCATAGAGACCCAAGTGAGTCTTAGCGTTCTGCTCTGACTGCTTGTGATACCGAACGATATTGCGCAATATTGGCCAGCACGTTAGATGATCTCCAGTTGATGGCCTGATAATCCAACGCTGCTTCTGTTTTTTATATATTACATTGTGCCACATTAGCTAGTCTCATACACACTATCGTCAATATACATACTGCTATAACAATGAAAAACTGTCACCATACTATGATAGTCTCAAGTGTCTAATATACCTAGTAACCATACTTCGTTTCCATATGTTGATCTCTAGGCACGAGTTTCGCGGAACTCCGAGATGCTCCACGCTACCTGCCAACTTCAGTACGGAGGTATTATACAGATGATTGACTTGAGACTATATTTTCGTACCTACGGGCTGGACGGAGATGTTAGGTATAGAACCGAACGCGGTATAGAGTCATCTAGACTCTGAGGCGACTTTAAAATCAAGCAGGTGATTTCTCTCAACGCTAGAAACAAATCTCGGAGCTGTTATTCCGGCTATTTTCAATGAAGCTAGGTTCAGAGTAGTTGGATCGGGTATCTGGGTAACTAGGCTTCTTAAGCTTAGATATCAATACTACCCTAGCACAGCTCCATGAACGTTCATGGATCAGTGACCAGCAGCCCGTAGAGCCACAAGCTTTCATCTATTATCCGCCGTGACTTTTCGACGATATGCGATAATAAACACAACCTTAGAACTTTCTCGACGTCTTACGCAATACCAATTTGTGAGCCGTAGCCCGTAGCCGGAGAATTCACGTACGTTTCCGGATTGTTTACGTGCTAAAGCCGAAGATTCGGGTGCGGCTAGACGGCATCAACTACATCAGATATTAGATCCGATTTATTCTCCGGACCTCACTACATCATAGAGCCCATTCGTCCCAATTGCACAGAAGGGACAGCGACGACCAAGAAATGGTTGCACATTTTCATTTCAATTCAGGATATACGAGCTAATAGTATTCTAGGTGACCGTTTTTTCCCGAGCTAACCGCCCCCAGTCATCCCCGCCATGATCGTAAACATATTAAGCGCGTATCATAGGTAATTTTTCCAATTTCCTATGTAATCTATAGGTTGACAGCTTTGCGGAAGTTCTCGCCCGCGTAGATGGCGTTGTCTCCGAGTTCTTCCTCGATACGGAGAATCTGGTTAAGCTTGGCGAGACGCTCGGAACGAGCAGGAGCACCAGTCTTGATCTGACCCGCTCGGATACCGACGACAATATCGGCAATGGTCACATCCTCGGTCTCACCAGAACGGTGGGAGACCATGACACCCCAGCCGTCAGCAAAGGAGTCCTTGGCAGCCTGGATAGACTCGGTTAGAGTTCCGATCTGGTTGACCTTCAGGAGCAAGGCGTTAGCAGCCTTGAGCTCGATGGCCTTCTTGATACGGATAGGGTTGGTGACCGTCAAGTCATCACCGACGATCTGGATGTCTTGGGTCTTGTAGAAGTAGCTCCAGGCCTCCCAGTCGTCCTCAGCGAAGGGGTCTTCAATGCTAACAATGGGGTACTTCTTGGCCAGGTCGGCGTACAGAGCAGCCAACTCTTCGTAGGTGATCCACTTGCTGGGGTCACTCTCGGGGTTCTTGAAGTCGAGGTCGTACTTCTTGACGTCCTCCTTGTAGAACTCGCTGGATGCAACATCCATGGCGATCTTCACCTGACCGGTGTAACCAGCCTGCTCAATGGCATCGGTGATGAGGTCAAGAGCCTCGGCGGCAGTCTGGATATCCGGGGCTACACCACCCTCGTCTCCAACATTGCCCGCAGATTGGCCGTACTTCTTCTTGGCAAGAGACTTTAGCTTTTGGTAGACCTCGGCGCCTTGACGCATAGCCTCGGTGAAAGAAGGAGCGGCAGAAGGAACAATCATGAATTCTTGGAATGCCAATCGGCCACCAGCATGGGAACCACCGTTCAAGACGTTCATGAAGGGAACGGGGAGAACATAAGGCTTCTTGGTGCCGGCGAGATCCGAGACATGGGCATATAGTGGTACACCCTTCTCAGCAGCACCAGCCTTGGCAATGGCCAGACTGACACCCAAGATAGCGTTGGCACCAAGCTTCGTCTTGTTCGCTGTTCCGTCGAGGCTGTTGAGGAACTTGTCGACAGAGCTCTGGTCCTTCACATCGAGACCCTCCTTGATGACAGCGGGGGCAATGATGCTGTTGACATTGTCGACGGCCTTGGTAACACCCTTGCCGCCCCACTTGCTCTTGTCACCGTCACGGAGCTCGCAGGCCTCGTGCTGACCTATTGTACCATATTAGCGGATGGGATATATCGAGGCCGCGTAAGAAGAACACGAACCGGTGGAAGCTCCAGAAGGAACTATGGCACGGTGAAGACCGGTCTCAGTGACAACGTCAACCTCTACGGTAGGGTTGCCACGAGAGTCGTAGACGGAACGAGCGTGAATCTTCTTGATGGCCATCTTCAAGTCTTATGTGTAGTAAGGCTGCAGAGAAACGGTAGGTTAGTTAAAAGAGTGATTTCGAGTTGAATAAAGTTGATGGGAAGTATAGCGAAGCTCAAGGTAATTAATAGAAGAACCTTGTAGGCAAGAAATTCGCTCAATGGGAGTCTCGTGTAAGTGACTCAACCAAGCGGTAGTATATGCCTCAGAATAGTATCTAGATAGAAAATTGTAGGGGTGGTGAGGATTGGAGGGGAAGGATGGTGGGATGGCGGGGTAGCTCAAGATGTCATCAAAAGGGAAGGAATTGTAGGGGGAGCATGATGTGAACAAATTCACGATGGCTTGTATATGGGTAGCTAGAGGAATGAAGCTCGTTGACTTACTATGTTCTAAGGATTCTGCTAGGAGGTAGGTGATGAGGTGAATTGGTAAGAAGGAAGAAGAAAAATTATAAACTCTGACAAGTCAAGAAATTGTAAGGTACCTAAATGCTTCCAGGCTGGGCGGAGGGTGGGCTGCTTGGCTCGCTGCTTGGTACAAGCGTGGGCTGAACGGACAACGTGAGTGAGCAAGAGAGCAAACGGAATGGCACGACTATAATTGGACTATAATTGGCGGGCTGGCGGGGTCCGGGCGACGGACCTCACCAGGATGACACCGCGGAGGAAGGAGGGGCTCGATGGTACAGCACTGGTACATGTCTCATACGCCAAGCTTACTTGGCTACACAAGTACCCTAATAATTACTCCGTAACTGCTTCAAGTAATCTGGCTTGGGATAAAAATTAAAAATTGTTGGACCGTTGAACTAGCCCACTGGCGCCATCACCGGCCCGACATACGTCAAGGACATGAAGAAAGTTTTGTTTTTGTAACACGTTACCCCTCTACGTATCGACCTATCTCGTTGGGGAAGGGCAAGAATAAAAACCAGCATGTGAAGTAACACAAGCCAATAACAACACTTGAAACCGGGATAGCTAGGTTAATCATTCCTATGTCTATATAACCACTTGTATATATCCACGGATAGCTGCGATGTTATACTGACCAGCTTATATACATGCTTTTCCTCTGATATAGCCTCTACGATACGATAAGTCCAAGACTTCTTGCGCTGTTCTTAGGTGTATATAGGCACCGAGAACCTCTCACGCAAGTAAGAATCTTACACAAGTCAAGATAATATCTCATCAATAGCTTCAAGTAATAGATTTCATTTTTCTGCTTTTCCATGAACAGAACTACTTTTTCTATCCTTGTCTACGGGTATCTCTCGGGCTCCTTTCTGCATATGAAAACAATTCCTAGCAAATGCCCTCTAAAAACCCATACAGAAATCTCGTGATTCATTGTTTAGATTCACTTTTACTTTTACGAGCTACCGCCGTATCCGTTTTCCCTGACCCACGCCGCAACATCGTCACGGTCACGTTCCAGCCAGGAGATCTTGCTACGGATGGCATCCTTGCTTTGGGCAAGGGGTTGCGCGAACGCCTTGGTGTCGATGTCCTTGAAGAACTCCTCCACCCTCTGTAATTGTTCTGGCTTCGCGAAGCTGGACGTGCAGATAGTAACCATCGAGCCCAGGATAGGGGCGTTTCCACTAAGACGCTTGGTGATTTCCGGCCACTTCTCAGTTAGCCAGGTGAACAACGCATCAATTCCCTCTGCATGGCTTCTCAGCCCGCTTGCTGGAAGGTATAGATCTTGGCTCTTGACCTCGCCGCTAAGGACAAGGTCCAATGTGCTCTTGATAAGGGCCGGCTCCTTAGCCCGGCCGATGCATCGTAGAGCGGTATTGCGCTCATCGCTGTTGCTGGAGGTACGGAAGAAGTTGAGAACTTTGTCGTACTGGAAATCATATTAGTAATGGCTTCGGCGGACTTTCGAGACTAAACTTACCTCTTCCTTTCCACCATACTTCAGAGCCATACTGAAGACGCTACCTCGGATGTTCGGGTGGATGGCTGACTTATCACCATCCATATACTTGTTGAACATCTCCTTCGATGCAGTGATGATGGCTTGATCTCCGGCCATACCAGCTGCACCAAACAGCATAGACTTAAATTGTTGCTCAACGTGACCATCCTTATCCGAGAAGCTCCAGCCTAACTTATGAGCTCTCTCACTAATGAGCTCATTAACAAAGGCTTCGAGTCCATCTTTCACGGTCTTGTCCTCAAATACCCAGGCCGATTGAACAGTCGCAACCCTAGCGATGATCTCGCTCCATACAACAAACGACTCCTCTGTGTCAAAACCTTTCAATAGGTTCAGGACACCAGACGTCTTCTGATAACCCGATACGGCAAGAGCACCGGCATCGGCGATCATACCAGCGCGGTCCTCAACCGTGAGTAAGCCCTCCTTGGCGGACTGGCCTAGCTTAGTGAGGCGTTCTGGTGTGTAACTTGTTCTGTAAATGCTCGTGTGGTTCGCATTCAGTTTGAAGAAGTCCAAGTCCTTAACCTTGAACACATCTTCTCTCTTCGTCAACGTAAGGGAGTCTTCTATACCATCCTTTGATCGGAGGCCTAGAAAGACTGGATACAGCACTTGGTCCTCTTCGGGCTTCGTGTCACCAGTCCTCAGGAACCGATTCTGCTTGACCCGAATTGTGCTATCCGCTGCATTTTCCGTAACCTGGACTACGGGAAAGCCAACGTTCTTGGTCCAGATGGACATGATCTCCTTGACAGGCTTGCCACTTGCCTCTTCAAGGGCTGCCCACAGGTCTTCCGTTTGAGTGTTACCGTAGGCATGCTTCTTGATGTATTTCCGAACACCTTCCAAGAAGGTCTCCTCACCAAGATAGGTAGAAATCATGCGAAGGACGCACGAACCCTTGGAGTAGGAAATAGCATCGAAAATTTGATCAACCTCGCTGGCGCGCTTAACTGGTACCTCGATAGGATGACTGCTTCTCAGCGAGTCTAGTCCTAAAGCACTCTGGAGGTTGTCCGTAACGTAGTTCTCCCAGACCTTCCACTCTGGGTAAAAGTAGTTGCAGCCTAAGTGGGTGGTAACAGTCAGTCGGACATTCTTTTAAACCAAAATGGAATAGGAAACTCACTAAGCCAACTCATCAGAGTCGCGAAACCTTCGTTCAGCCATAGACCTTCCCACCAGTCCATAGTCACCAAGTTACCAAACCATTGGTGCGCCAATTCATGCTGCACAACCTCGGCAACACGTTCTTTCATGGCTGCACCGCTAGCCTTCTCATCCAGCATAAGATCAACGACACGGTAAGTGATGAGACCCCAGTTTTCCATAGCACCTGCCGCAAAATCAGGGATAGCAACCATGTCCATCTTAGGCAGCGGAAATTCAGCTCCAAAGATCTTTTCGTAATATTCCAAAGTTCGCGCGGCGAGCTCGAGCGAGAAACGACCGTGTTCGATGTCCGAACTAGGGGGTGCGTACACCCGGATTGGGACACGGAACTTCTTCGTCTCAATGTAGTTTAGTTCACCAATAATGAAAGCAACGAGGTAAGTCGACATGAGAGGAGTGGTGTTGAACTTGACAGCCTTCTTCGTAGACCCGCTCATATCTGAGTGCACCTCCGACTCGGAAGCAACGTCCATGTTGCTGAGGCAAGTCAAGTGCTTGTCTGCGATGAGGGTGACGGTAAACTTTGCCTTGTGCATGGGCTCGTCGAAACAGGGGAAAGCGCGGCGACAGTCGTTGGCCTCCATCTGCGTCGTAGCGAGGATACCTTCAGAGCCATCGGACTTCTTGTAGGTAGATCTGTAGAATCCTGCCATCTGGTCGTTCAGCTGGCCGCTGAACTTGATTTCCAGCTGAGTCTTGCCCGTTGGAATAGCATCTTTAAGCTCGATCTTGGAGACCTGCTTGGATTTGTCGTAGGTAATCGCGGAGGAAGAGCTGGCGAGGTTTGTTAGAAATAAGGGCACGTGTCCGTCTGTACAACACAAACTTGCCTAATAACGTTGTCACCAGACTTGATGTGAGCGCTGTGAATGTCGAGGTCGATGGTGTGAAGAGAGATGGACTTGGTCTCATCCTTCACATCGAAATCGATAAGGACCTTTCCCTCGAATGTGAACTTGTCGAGATTAGGTTCTAAAGTCACATCATAGTGCGTCGGGATGACGTTGGTCGGGAGGAGCTCGCGACCCTTAGTAGGGTCTGGCGCTGCCCCTCCAGTATGCTCGACGTCTCCAGCAAGTCTACACATGTTTTGTCTCCGGTATGAACAGTGTCTGAGGGGTGTCTTCGACAGCGTAGTACTTCTAACCTTCTCAAAGGGAGAGGTTCGTGGGACCGAGGTGAGTGAGGAGTAAGTCGTAAGGCGAGAGCTAGGCGCAGCTTCGGGGTTAGTCTACGAGCCTAATTTGGGTTGGAAGGGCGGTCAATTGGGTTAGGTATACCAGTAAGAGGGTGGAGTGGTTAAGGCAGGACTGCGCCAGGAGTGATTCTGTCTCCACCGAGATGCGGTTGCGGTTGGTGTGGTTGGTGTGGTTGAAGGGCCAGTAAGAGAAGTAAGAGAGGCAAGTGGTCTTAGTCGGACTCGTGCAAGTGTTGAGATTCGAGGGACGGACTCGACACGGTAAGAGGCGCGAAAAGACATGTGCCGGGAAGAGGAAAGGAAAGGTGATATAATACAATTGTTATATAATACAGTGTAGAATGCTAAGGAAGAAGATACAGCTGTGAGGTACACCTGGTAGTGACTCGGACCTGGGTTTCACATGCGGTATTACGATATGGAGGGGTTTAGAGGGGTCCAGTATATCCTAAGCAACCGGTTTATTCGCAAATAGAGGGGTGGAGGGGTAGGAGGGGCAATCCCTATTCGTGCATTATGAGATCGACAATAGATTCAAGGCTCCCAATTCTATCAAAAACCAACAATGTGTGTATACAATTATTTGTGTGTGGGTGGCGTGCTAAGTTAGGTATGGATGGAATGAGCCCTTTTTCACTTGGCCATCAGGGTTCACGAAAATCCTATATACGGACATGGATATCTTGGGATGCAGAAAAAAAGAAAAAGAAAAATAAAGAAAATGGGACATAAGAAAAGTTTGACCTCTAAAAATGACGCCCACGGAAGGTAGGCGGTGTAGCGGGAGATTTGCAGGGATTGTCCCACACAGCTTTGATAGGTGCTACCTTACCTCTCCATCTTTCTAGATTCGTTAGATTCGCACCAACAACTTAAATCTGGGCAGCCAAGAGAATGTACCTACCAACTGCGGCAACTAAGACGTACATATCCTACATATCGGTCGCTGCTGGCGGCCGTCTCTCCCGAAACCGCAACTCTTGGAAGCAATCTCATGCAGGGTCGCATTCAAGGCATCTCAGCTACGCATTCTAGAACGTAGATCCCCGATGTAAACGAATCGAAGCGAGACGAATTCCCGTCCTTGCCATCCACCCAGTGCTACACTTTGATACTCGGATCAAGTTCGCAATTTGATATGGTCAAATGTTGTGCGACTTGAAAGTCCAACGGTACGGATATAACCATTTAGATGTCTTAGAAGAGAACACGATTCGTAGACCACGATATTGCCTAGCAATGCCCAATATACTGGAAACAGTGAATTTTGATTTCCATTTTCTTACTATCCCATGTCTATGTTAGCCGAATGGTATTGTATACCCACCTCTATTATTTGGCTAGTAGGAAGCATAAAGGGGTAATGTAATATGAAGGACTTCTCTGCGTTGACCAGCGAGACTGTTCCTAAGGCATGGTGACTTTGTAGGCTTCGCTTTATATAGAGGACAACGATATGGATCCCTAAGTAGGTAATCAAAATCAATTAGATAGAACCATCATAGTTATATTCACTCTGACAATAAGTCGAATAATTACGTGTAAGTATCGGCTATCCCCTAATCCCATCCGGCCCCCTTTCCACCAAACCCCTTCTCCTCGATCTTCTTGGGGCCTTTCGTCGGCTTCTGCTGTGCCGCCTCGTGCCGACGTAGCTCCTCCGGCACCTTGGATATCGAGCTCTTCGATAGCATCTGCCGTAGATCGTACATGACGTCTGCGTCCTCGTTGCCCAGGAACGTGATGGCGACACCGCTCTTGCCCGCACGACCCGTACGACCGATACGGTGCGTGTAGCTCTCGATGGACATAGCCATGTTGAAGTTGACGACGAGGGACACGTCCGGGACATCGATACCACGACCAGCCAGGTCAGTCGCCACCAGGACATCCGTCGAGCCACCACGTACCGAGGCCAGGGCCTGCTCTCGCTGCTCCTGGGTCTTGCTACCGTGAAGTGTGACGGCTGAGAAGCCCATGTGCTTGATTTCTCGAGCCACAGCATCACAGTTGCGCTTGATGTTGACGAAGACGATGATGGGCGGTGCGAACTCATTGGACGATAGGATCTCCTGCAAGCGTTTCTTGCGGCGATCCTCTCCAGGTACGAACTCGACCCGTTGCTCAACTGTATCAACTGCTTCTCCAGCATTTCCGATCGTGACCGTAGCAGGACGGCGTAGATATTTCTTAGCGATCTTCTCGACAGCTGTAGGCATAGTGGCCGTGTACATCATAGTTTGTCGGTATCGATCTTTGCCACCAAGGTGCCTGCTCATCAGCTGCGCGTCTTCAGCAGCTTCGGTGTCTGGTTTTTCGTTGGTGACCGGAAGCGCATCCAAGATCTTGTTCACGGGCTCTTCGAAGCCCATGTCGATCATACGATCTGCTTCATCCATGATGATGTAACAACACTGTGATAGTACCAGCAGGCGTCGTTCGATACAGTCGACTAGACGACCAGGCGTAGCGACAATAATCTCAGCACCATTTCGCAACGCAAATGCTTGTTCTTCAAGCGAATGTCCACCCACGAGACTAACAACCGTAAAGCCCAGTGGTATCGCGAACTTCTTGGCTTCCGTCTCGATTTGCTGGACTAACTCTCGGGTCGGGGCTATGATCAGCGAATACGGACCGTCGTTCTTGGTAAGCTCAGTTAAAGGAGGCAGTTCCGAGATGTAAACTAGTAGAGGTAGCAAGAAAGCAGCCGTCTTTCCTGAACCGGTGACAGCGACACCAATGAGGTCTCGTGCCTGTAGAGCAATAGGGATTGCTGCGCGTTGGACTGGAGTTGGTTCGTCGTAGCCAACCTTGCTAATAATATCAAGTAGCCGTCGAGGCAGACCAGATTCCTGCCAGTTTCGCATAGGATTCGGAATAAGTCCACCCTTTGTTGATATGCCAAAGTCTTCCTTGAAGATACGCCAATCTCGTTCGCGCATATCTTCAAGCTTCTTCTCGGACCAGTGCTTCCCTAGCCCGTTGCGGTTGGCCCTCTCCTTCGCCCTTTGCATCATGTCTAATAGTTCTTGCGCTCGTTGTGCTCCATTTTCAGGATCGCGCTCGATCAGAGACCTGGCGTATTTCTTGGCGTTCTCCTCTGTCATATCATCACCAAATCCAGCCAGCCTTCCTCTTCCAAAGAAGGTTGGCTCAGCTCTCTCTGCGTAGATGGGATTGTGATCTTGGGTCGTGTCTTCTTCCGCATCCCATTCAAAAGTGAATTTCTTATCCGTCGTTCTTCTCCGCTTCTTCTTAGCTGAGAACGTCGACTGATTCATCTCAGGGCCCATGTATCGTGCTCTTATCAAAGCGGCTTCTGCTTCTTCTGGCGCTGGCCGTTTTTCTCCCGCCAACCCCTTTTTACCTCGTGATTTCCCTCGCGTGTCGCCGTTTTCGTAATCGTTGGCGTCGCGTTTATCATGACCAGATTGGCGCATAGCTTTGGGTCCTGTTGGAACGACTGGCGCATGATCTCGATCGCGACGGTCGCCATATCGTCTATCGGGTTCTCGCGCAGCTGCAGGTCTACTACTAGATTTACTTCGCGCTTCTTCTTGGGCTTTTCGTCTTCGTCTCTCTTCCTCCTCTTTCTCCTTTTCTGCTGCTAGGCGCTCACGCTCTGCCTTAGGGATAAATCTTGGTTTGGCAGCAGCATCGTTTGCCTCTTTCTTTTTGCGCAGGATCTCTTCGATGTCTAGAGGCGCTTTTCGCTTGCTTGCCTCTCCATTTGCTCCATTCGTTCCGTTGGTGCCGTTCGTATGTGCGACCGATCCGGCTCGCGGTTGCATCCCCATGGTCGTAGGAGTGTCAATATAGATGAAGCTTACTTCTCCCTAAGACTTTCGAATTATTTTGGACTTGCGGAATACACAATCAGGCAATTCTTGCGACCGTATCAAAGATCCCTATTACAGAGTATGAATCCACCCAAACGGCTGAAACAATCCACCGTAGTTGAATATAACACGAAATGAAGCTGTTCTTGTTTCTGTTAAGTACAAATTTCAATGTTGGAGGCGAAGATAAATCTACCTAATGTAAGCAGATAGGTGACTGGAATCGGCTTATCGGGGTACGACTTGCAAAGAACCGCTGGGCCACTAGTGGCCTAAGCCAATCGGAGAATTTAGATTAAACACAGGCCCCTGCCAATTGCCATCCACTACCAAAATTTGGGAAGCTGTGAATGCACTTTTTTTGCGACTTATACCTTACGAACACGACCTTTCCTCAACAACAGCCAATTGTCCTGAGTAACAGTTGATCACTGCAATTGTGATTGGGGATGGCGGCGGTCAACACAAAATACGTCGAGCTGGCGAAGCAGCTGCACCCGCGGCTGTCCCGTTTCTTCGCCAAGTACCCTCCAAATCAGATACTCCCGGCCTCGACGAGGACAAACACGATCGCGGGCGGCGCAACGCCGAATCCCTTCCTACCGCACAAACACCCGGTGACCGGGAAGTGGCACGATCCAGAGTACTCCCTCAGGCGACAGGCAGAACTCGTAAAGTTAGCGCGGGAACAGGGAGTCGAAGAGCTATTACCTTTCACATCTAAGGGTACTGAGGAGAGAATACGGCACAGAGTCGAGCACGGTCTCCGCGTTCGTGGTACGGGTGTTGGACAGTCGGTCAAGGGTCACAAGCACGAAAGAATGCTGGCTGCAAAGTACGTTATAGCCTTTATATTCCCCACGAGCAATCTGTTTGCTACCAGGACGCTTATATTTCATGGTTCAATGCTAACCAACGGGACAGGATGGAGAAGAGGAGAACGGCTATGTTGGGTATGCCCAAACTCGTCAGACAATGGCGGAAGGTAAGTTGTGCTATTCCGTCCATATTTCATATCGCTAACAGAGTCGACAGCTTGGGAAGAACAGGTGGACAAAGTATCCACGGTAAACGAATGTATCATGATATTAAGGCAGTATATAGCCAACGAAACAAAATGTACAAAATTCATGTATCCGTTTGTACGAAAATCCGTGATCTTATCCCGGGAAATCAAGAAACCACTCTTGCCCTCGTGCCTTGATCTGGCCAACTTCTTTTGAAGCATTTCCAGGGGTTTATATCTAAAACGACCAGCCACGAAGCACATTGCGTTAATATCCGTATGTAGGTCATGCTTAGGGCTTTCTCTGCATCAATTCCCTCCCCAGAAACGATATCCCCTTATTCTCGCGACTTGGAGATATTAGCGAGAACCTCGCCCGAGTAGCTCACGTGACCACGTGGCGCCGATTAACTTTTTCTTAAAACCGGTTTGCCAAAGGAGCCTCGCCCTTGACGTACTTACCACCACCTCCGGAGAGGCTAATAAAGGAACTTTCAATTTCGCCATTTATAGAACTGGCTAGCGGATTCATCGAAGTAGTTTAATTGCTTTGGAGTAGCTATCGATCCGGCAAGTTTGCCAAATATGGCGCCTCCGATATCTAATACGTCAGCTGAGCCCACGCTCTACGACATCCTCGCTCTGACCCCCAAGCACCTGGAGGGCCAAGCCGGCGCGGCCCAGCAGCAGAAGATAGTGAAGCAGGCCTACCACCGGGCCCTGCTGAAGCACCACCCGGACAAAGCGGCCAGCGGCCCACCAGCCTCATCCTCATCCCCATCCTCGCCCTCAGCCTCAGCCTCTTCCCCAAACCCATCAGGCGGCTCCAAATCAAAGTCATCCCCCAAAGCGCACGCAAAACAAGGCTCCCACAGCCAGCCGCGCATCGCCTACACGGTAGACCAGATCCAGCACGCGTACGCGGTACTCTCGGACGCCAAGCAACGGCGGGAGTACGACCGCTTACTCCGCGCGTCTCCCGCGCAGCGGCATCAGCAGACGCAGTCGTCCTTCCAGACGGGCGTCGAGACAGTGGACCTAGACGACGTATCCTTCGACGAGCAGACGGGGGTGTACTACCGCCCCTGCCGGTGCGGCAACGCGCGCGGCTACGCCTTCACGGAGGAGAACCTGGAGGAGTTCGAGGAGGACGGCGTGCTCATGGTCGAGTGTCTCGACTGCAGCCTCTGGGTCCGGGTCCTGTTCGCCGCGGCCGAGGACGAGGAGCCTGCTGCTAATAACGTAGCTACCGTCGTGAATCCCGGTGGTAGCAGAGGTCCGCGCGACGAAGCCGTAGCACCCCGAGGGCGAGGCGAAGATATTGCCGTCACGACTTCGGGAGAGCAGCGCGGCGCCGGCACCGGCAGGGGGTTCACCTTTAACTGGAGTTTTAATTGGGGAATATCGCTATCCGGGACTGCTGCGTCCAGCTCCGCAACAATCGAGACGGGTAGCAGCTCGCGGCGGTAGCCCGATCTACTCACTCGTCAAGAACCGCCAAGCAGTGACCATTCAAGGCTTGAAAAAGCTCTTGGCTAACCGTATCATCCACGAATAAGATAGGCTCGCTCTCGCTTCCTATTCTCCACGAGCAAAGTATGTCACGTGGCCGGGGCGACTTACATTGATACTCGACTACGCACTTGTTCTATATATCAATGGGTAAAGGTTTGGAGATCACTGTTTCTGTGGAGGCATTTCAGAATGATTCAATGAGGCGCATGTATTGGTAACGGAACATGAAGTAATACGATACGTTACGACTTAGAAGTACAATCAAAAGGACTCGGCGTCTTCATTACTGATGTAGAATTTTTGCCTTCATATCAAGAACGAGGAATAACCTCATTAAATGTATGACAAATAAAACCGACTGTTGTGTGCCGTGTTACATCGCAATACAGACCGGCAACCTCCCGTCTAAGCTACTCACGCCGATCGTGATACTTTTTATATGCTCCCCAGATCTTAGTTTCACCGTAGGAAGAAAAGAAAAATAGATACCCTTCACTTTTTTGTGTCCATATTCATAACATTAATACTTTTGCAGGTGCAGTAAAGTATGGGTTTATTGTCCAGACGAATTCGCATTAGAGACTAAAGGGCAAGCAGAAACCTACCAAAAGCTCCTTAGCCCTTTTTGCCTGTTGGGAAAAGAGAACCCTCCAAAGACTTCGGGCCGGTGCATTTGCCACGTGAGGAAAAAAACAGAAAAATGCAGAATCTCAAGGAAGAGGGTTCTCAAGCAAACACTCCATAGACACCAGATTCCACCCTGCCCCGCAGTCGACCTCTTGACATCTAGAGACTATTAAGGGACGCATGCTCTTTTTGCTTCTCTTACTCGGCGGCCTTGGGCTCCTCAGTGGGAGTGTCGGTGGCCTTCTCGGCTTCCTGGGCGGGAGCCGCTGCTGACTCTGCGGGAGGCTCAGCCTCGGAAGAAGTCCAGAGGGTCTGATTTTCAGTTAGATAAGATACACGCGATTATATATTTATAGAAAGAACACATACCAAGTTGTCTCGGAGGAGTTGCATGATCAGAGTCGAGTCCTTGTAGCTCTCCTCGCTCAGGGTGTCAAGTTCTGGAAAACCTCCATGTTAGCCTCGTATCTGTCAAAATTTTCGTATACCTAAAACTTACCGGCAATCGCGTCATCGAAAGCTTGCTTCGCAAGGTGGCAAGCTTGGTCAGGAGCGTTCAGAATCTCATAGTAGAACACGGAGAAGTTAAGGGCAAGGCCGAGACGAATGGGGTGCGTGGGAGGAAGCTCGGTCTGGGCAACCTCGGTGGCAGCCTTGTAAGCCTCAAGAGACTTGTCGGCAGACTCCTTTCGCCGGTCACCAACGGCGAACTCGGCGAGATAACGGTGGTAGTCACCCTTCCTTTATGGCCATTAGCAGGCTGCGAATAATTTACCATTCCAGATCCGAAATCATTAGACTTACATCTTGTGGTAGAAGACCTTAGACTCGCCAGACTTGGCGGAAGGGATCAGGTGCTTGTCCAAGACATCGAGGATATCATCGCAGATCTTGGCCAACTCGTTCTCGATCTTCTGTCGGTACTCCTTGATAAGGCCGACCTGGGACGAGTTGCCCTTGGACTCCTCCTTCTGCTCGATGGAGGTGACGATTCGCCAAGAGGCACGTCGGGCACCGATCACGTTCTTGTAAGCGACGGACAGGAGATTGCGCTCCTCGACAGTAAGATCACGGTCCTCAGAAGCGACAATCTTCATGTTCTCGACCATCTCTGTGAGCAGACAAAGTTAGCAATGCCACCTTGCGGGGCCTCGGGGAGTAGATTAATATCACGTACCTTCATAGCGCTCAGCCTGCTCGGCCAGCTTGGCGAGATACACAGCATCTTCGTGACCCATTTTGGCGAAGTGAAGTCAGGTAAACCCCGGAACTGGTAGGAGGTATCAGGTTAGCTGTGATCCTATTCGGATGATGTTCTCGTTAAATTAAAATGGGTGGGTGGATGCGGTGTGGAAATGAAGTAGGGTATTAGGAGAAGGAAAAATACAGCGTTGTGTATGGGAAAGGGAATGATCAGTGGCCTGGAGATTTAGAAATAATGTTATGGCCACGTGAGATGTTTACGATCTGAGCCCCGAGAAGCGCGCTACCTTGTGGTGAATACGGAAATACGGAAAGGGTTGAAAGAGTGTGACGGTGAAGCAGAAAGATGATGCCCCCCCGCAGTCGGTGGGGTTTGCGCCAGTGGATGCGGCTTGGAAACGCGTATAGAAAAGGTAGACGGAAAGTCGTGGGCGTTGTCGCAATGATCAATTGGGATAGAGGACGAGGCGCATTAAACGGCTGATGGGCTTGTTGTCGTGTGTGTAAGGCGTCAAAGGAGGCCGTCGTGATGTGGGCGATGACGAAAGTGCAAGGCGGGACTCAGGTAGCAGATAGCAGGCCAAGGAACATGACCGCAAAATGCAGAAATGGGGGAAGGGGGAAAATAAGGGAAACGCTTAAGGAGAATATCTTTATATTCTTCACATGGATGAAGATAATTTACATACCTGTTGCTTTCTCGAAGTGGTGTCGTGAGGGATTCTCTTGTGCGTGATGGTGCACAAGAATGGTTGTATGAAGACAAAGGGAGAAAGGAATAGGTTGGTGGTGGTGTTTTGGCAAGTTTTGGTAAGTTCTGGGAAGCAAAAGTTTTGGGAGAGTTTTTGTGATTTTTGTTGTTAGGCGGTAGGCAGTAGAAGGGTAGAAGGTAGGATGTAGAAGGCGGTAGGCGGTAGGTGGTAAATGTGGTAAGGTTAGAGGGAGCCTGAGGTGAAGAAGAAAGAGAGCCCAGGAGGGTTGCAAGCCAGGGTGTAGAGCGGATGTGCCCCAGTAGCTCTCTCGTGGGAGGGGAGATTGTGGGCGGGCAGCAGCCAGTAACCACGGGGTACACCCTGTAATTCACGTAATTCGCGGGCGGCTATGTACAGTACATTGACGTAAGTACCTTATTTCAAGTATCTCCTAGGAACCTAGGCTGCTTTCCCAGGTTACCAGTACCGGTTCCGTCTCAAGCCTAACTGGACGTGAGCCAGTGAGCTATCGGCCTATAAACTTGGCAGCGGGCGATGGATCATTTGACAATGCAACAAGGCTGGTTCATCCTCAAATCTAACCGTCTGGTACTTCCCTTTAATGACTGGTATCATGTTTCGATACAAACGAAGGTACATGATATTGCATGCACAGGTACATGCATGTGTACATTTGAATCTACAGGTCTACCTACAGGTTTCAACATGAAGTCTGATAACATTAGTGAGGTAAAGCATGAGTTCTCGTCACTTCCCCCTTGACTTTACTTTCCAATATTCAATATTTATATGTTTTCGTCATTTGAAGCAGCAATGGCTCCCATGATTATCGTGCCTATCGTGTCCATTTATTTATTTATTTATTTACATGCATACCTAGGTAGGTTTACAGTGTGCACCTAAATATTAAGAAGCATGATTTCTTTTTCTGGCTCCCTTAGTTCTCCTACGTCAGTCCCAATACCTCTCAGCTGTGCCGCCTTGCAATGATACTTGTACCCCACGCATTTCAAGATTCCAATTCCATGCCAGGTTTGTATCTTTTCCGTCCATAGAGGCAACCTCTTCAAGCACCTGACCAGAAAACACCATGCGTCAAAGAACAAGATGATTAAGCCCTTTTGATGCTGGCATCAAATTGGGTTAGCCTTCACCTTGTTCTTCATGTGTGGCCCTTGAGCGACGCTCATATTAGGAAGAGCATCCAAATGAACCCCCCAGTTCAAATTATTCGATGTCTCAGGAGTCACCTAGAAAGGGTCTAGAGGTCTCGTTAGCCAATCACCTTTGCAAGATGATGGCTCAAGGCCATTCTTTGTCCCCTTGTTCCTTAAGAATTTTCGTAGACGCCATCGAAGCGTTCCATCTGAGAATGGCACAATGCCACCGCCGCCATTACTGGGCGATAAGAGGAAAATAATTTCAGCCTACGTCAACGTCTGCAGCCCAAATAGCTCATACATATGCACGGTGCTGCGCCAGGCTTTCTCATTCGGGGCCATGCCCATGCCGGCTACCGCGAGCCCTAAGCCCCTCATTCGTCCGGTTTATCTAGACTATCGTCAATGCAAACTTGACCTGAAAATCAAGAGTAGGAAGGGAAAAAAGAAGCTTCGACATATGCAAAACGTCACCGGTGTGGTCTCTTCGTTTCTTCTAAAAGGGAGGGAATCCACGCGTTGCCAAGCTTTGTTTCTGGATTATTTTTGCCACTATTTCCATAGCCAGGAACTGCCCCCTCACATTAGAAAAGAATAAGATAAAACTGAAGATAAAAATCATGTCCCTCCCTATGTGCCACCCCTCTCCACGATACTAACCAAACCGGAGCCTCGACGATACCTTATTCTTTTAGATTCTAGCGTCTACCATGTAGCATAGCTGAGAATCTCGGAAGAATCCAGCCCTGTGTCTTATATATTAGCATTGACAGACTGGCTACGCCGATTTATGCATCGGGTTTCATGCAAAAATCAGCCTCATCATCAATACATGGGGTAGTATTGCTATTTAATGTTGCTGTCAATACGTATGCATGACCGCCGAAGGACATGTATATTCGACTTATAACGAGATTATAAAATGATAGCGATAGTACATATGCAGAATAATAGAACCAACAAATATACAGCTTAAATCGAAATTAAGAAGTGTATTTACATTCAATGTTAGTTTGTTCAATGATACGCAGCAAAATATTCATTGCCAACTGCAATGGTAGGCGCTTATACGAACCTTCTATATCAGATGACCACATAGGAATGGCGTGGTGATAGATGAAAAAACGAGTCCTTTCCTTTTTTTGCGTGATCAGGATCACGGAGCACAGATGACTTATGATGTTATGTGGTATGGCCTTATGTAGTGCAGACTTGTATGGTTCGAGCCAGTCTAAGAGAAGGAGCAACTTGAGCCTAGGCAATTCCAACCTCAACCCCCCTCCCCACCAAACACAGAAAAAAAAGGCGGCCTTAGGGCAGCTCCGTTCCGTTTGCGTCCGTGCGTTCCCCGTCTACTTCCGCCCGTCCTTAGCTGCTGCCATTGACTTCATGGGATGAGCTCCAAAACCGAACGAAGCGAATTGCAACCAACTCTCCACCAAAAATTAGACTCAAGTGCCTCAATTTGATTGTCCCGATCACACCACGCACGCCAATTAAATATCGCGATCAGGTACCTTTGGCTTTCCCCAGATCCTCAGTAACTACATACAGTTAAAATCGAAAAAAAAAACTGATTTTTCTTCTCTTCGAAACCGAAAAGAATACCCGATCGCCACCATGTTCCGTCAAACTTTGACCAAGGTCCCGTCCCGCGACCTCCGCCTCTATCCATCCTCTAGCCGAGCCTTCTCGACGAGTCTCCGTGCCATGGCTGCGGGAGATACCGGTTCGCCGAACAAGCTAGGTAGCCTGGGTGCAAAGTACGTGATATATATATAACTTCAATATACCCCCGCAAATCGTATTAAAAAGTCGCCGGGGTGGGAGCGGGTGCCCCTGGCAATCTCGAGTTTCGAAGCTCTTACATCCTGGCGACTTGCCTCGGGCATGAGAAGAATACATAAGAAGTCGCGGGGAAACCCAAGGGGACATGTGGATAAAACGAAATACCAAGGAAACTAACTAACAAATCACCGAAAAAAACAGTGACGCATTCCAAAAGCGCGAAAAGGCTAACGAGGACTTCGCCATCCGTCAGCGTGAGAAGCAAAAGCTCCTCGAGCTGCGCCAGAAGCTGCGCGAGCAACAGGAGCACCTCCAGAGACTCACCGACCACATGTAAGCTAGTATCTTACGAAATGCGGAACTACGGAACGGTCACTAACGAACCTGTTTCTCTTTAGTGACGAGCTGACCAAAGAGCAAGGCGGCGAGCACAACTAGAGATAATACTAGAAACTCATAAGAGAAGGAAGTCCGAAACTCCGTGTTCATTAAGGTGCCTAGCATCGACACTCGAGTTTTTGCCCGGTCACTAGAAAACCCAGATTTGTCCTTCGGCCGTCGCATTTTTGCCATGTCGTAATGTACATAAATACAGCCATTTCCATGTGGGCGATGAGCTTTCGTTGCTTTCTCGAGAATCAACTCTCGTCTCTCATCGCAGCGCACATATCAGTGTCTTCTTCATCTTCATGCGTGCCGTGATATCTGAATCTATGGTGTTATGTGCAATGTTGTCCTATACTCCTAGACCAGACTTCCCCTGACAGAAATCACTTCCTCTCATTCCGGTTACCAAATAAACTCCCAAGCGTTTATCGACGTCCCATGTAAGATCGGTAGAAGCTATCGACATTGTCTTGCTCCGGTCCACCATAATGGTTGCCGATAGTGCTGCGTTCCTTCTGCGCCGCCGCAACCTTAGCTTGGAGCGCGGCAGCATTTGTGTCGATCCACTGGAGCTGGGACAGATGTCCGTTCAGCACACGGACGATTTGACTCAACTATAGATGGGGTTAGCTAACTGGAACATCTCAGGGGCCTTTCGTAGAAAAGACTTACCGGGTCATCTGGCTTGTTGCCCTTGCTCAATGTACCGGAAATATCGTTGATTTCCTTAATCATCTTCGTCAAATCACGTCCCATTTCATCCAGTCTCTCCGTGACCTTTTCGGCCAGCTTGTAGGTTTTCTCTCGCTCCTGGTCAGGACCTGCAAGCTGATCTCCGTGTCCAATCTGCTTGGCAAACATCGAGTCTACCTCGCCCTCGTATCTATCCAACCATGACTCAAGTTCTTCCTGTTGACTCTCGATTCCAACGAGCTGTCGCTCAATCTCTCGACTACCTTTCTCAGCTTCAAAGGTATCCAGATAAAGCTTCTGGATTCTCTCTCCGTTCTCGACTAGGAGACGATCCCACTGAGCGACTTGAGCTGCTTGCTCTTTGAACTCCTTCTGGTACTTCGAGAGATCCGTAGCCCAGCGAGTGATGATCTCGTCCATTGTTTTGTTCTTGAGTCGCGCCATAGACGAAGGAGGACCGGCAGTAGAGGCATTCATGGCATTAGGGGCAGCCGCAGAGGGTTGCAAACTCGTGCTAGCCGCTTGCTGAGCAGGCTTGGAAGCACCACCGAATAAGGAGCTTGCAGGAGCAGCGGTCGTGGTCGTAGAGCCTAGAGAAGGAGTAGAAGCAGAAGTTGCCGCACCAGTGCTTGGTGCAGCGGTTGTGGCAGGTGTGGATCCTGCCGCTGAAGTAGAAGCAGCGCCGCCGAAGAGGCCAGACGCAGGTTTGGCTGGTTCAGTGGTTGCGGTACCAGAGGCCGGTTTGCCTAGACCAGAGAACATGGAAGTTGTTTGCGGCTTAGCCGGCTCAGATGAGGCAGCGGGACCCGAAGGTTTGTTAAGGCCTGAGAAGAGTGAGCTGGTCTGCGTTGTCGTCGGAGCGGCAGGGGTGGACGTCGTAGCCGGAGTAGATGAAGGCTTGTTGAGACCAGAGAATAACGAGGATGAGCCAGCTGACGCCGTCGACGTCGGCGTGGTGCTTGGGCCTCCAAAAAGAGGATTGCTAGGCTTTGCCGAAGATGCCTCAGCTGGCTTCGATGCCTGTTGCCCAAAAAGTGAGGAAGCGCCCGCAGGTACAGCGCCGGTAGTCTGTGCGGGAGCTGCAGGTTTCGCTCCAAATAGACTTGGGGCAGAGGAGCCTTCAGCAGGCTTCGCGCCTCCGAAGAGGTTAGAGGGTTGGTTTGAGGTCTGGCCAGTACCCGCAAACAGCGAAGGAGCGGCTGAAGCAGATGATGCTGGCTGGCTTGTTGCCGTTGCAGCCTGCGAACCACCCGCAGCTCCGAACAAGCTACCGGGCTGGCTCTCCTTCTTCTCGCCCTGTTGAGCGCCTGCAAAGAGAGAGGAGCTCTGAGTTCCGGTATTTCCGAAGAGGCTACCAGTAGGTTTCGTCGGGGGTGCTCCCGCAGGAGTGGTAGAGTTCAGTGGGAACATCGTCTTCGTAGGTGTTGACACGGAAGGGCTAGGGGCGTTGATAGTCGGGGTGTTGCTAGAACTCGCACCACCAAAGAGGTTACTGCTTCCGCCAAGGTTACCAAACATACCGCCAGCTTGAGAGGTAGGGGCGTTAGTGGTTGGCGTTGAAGCCTTGTTGTCCTTCGATCCGAACAATCCACCTGCAGGGAAAGCACCCGATACTGCCGAAGTCGGGGTTGTAGATGCACCAGTCGACGCAGGTGCTGAAGTGTTGTTGTTTCCGAAGAGGTTTGTGGATTGAGCTGGTTTCGCACCACCGAAGAGGTTGGAACTAGGAGCTGAAGAAATGCTGCCAAATAGCGGAGCGGGACTTCCACTCGGCGCGGTAGTGGTTGGTGCACTACCGCCTGCTGTAGCTCCTCCAAATAAAGGCTTCTGTTCTGCTGGTTTGGCTGCACTATTTCCAAACAAGCTAGGTGAAGTTCCTGGTGCCGATGCAGCTGTCGTGTTGCTAGAATTTCCACCTAGATTTCCGAAGGAGAAGCTAGGTGTTCCGGTAGATGAGCCACCGAAAAGATTGCTCGAGCTGCCTGAGGTCGTTGTGCCAAACAAGCTGCCAGTACCAGGTGCACTTGACGTAGTGGCATTGTTGGATTGACCTCCAGAGGTTGCATTATTGCCGAAGAACGACATGGTGTCGGTTTGTTTGCTAGGTATGTAGGGTAGGAATGTGGTATCGGGTACGAAGATGATGGACGTGTGTTTGTTCGTTGGAATGTGATGGCCCGTCTAGTCGGCAGCGTAAAGTACGATTATTTCGATGTAGACTTGAGACCTGCACTCATCCCTCAACCCACAAGGGTAGAAAAGGCTTGGGTGCCGGCGTCTGGAAGTTCACGGGACTGCGCAAACCCAATGCCGGTAACAAGAGAATAAATCCTCGATGGTAGTTGTCCAGTTATCTTAGCCGACGATGGAAGAATTAGTATGTCTACTTCCGTGAAAGGTGGAGGGTTGACGTTTAACATACCAGTTCTTTTTAGTTGTTTTTTTAAAAGTATGCGTCGCAGACCGACCACTTCAAATGTTTTTGCGCGACAAGCTTCAAAAGATGTCAAGTTCGACGCGACTGGGTACCTTCCATGCACAGACCATTTTCAGGTCGTACTTCACTGTGATTTAGCTAATTTAGGTACGTACCTTCCACCCCCGTTGAGGGAGATCTCCAGCCACACTAAGGCTCGTTCAGGCTCGTTATGGCTTATGTAATTAAGGCCTTATCTAATCAGCCCCTACTGAATGATCTGGGCACCCACCGCCTAGTCTAGAACGTCTGTCTCCGATCATTTAACTAAACACTCGATCTCTGCTCATGACCTCACCTCAAAGGGGTAGAACGCTAGGGGAGATGGTTTATAACCTCACACACTTTTAATAGATCCTACAGCCGTTTCCTAGATCACCAATTCATAAACAATTGTCTCTTCCCACCCCTAAGTTTCCTCAACTTGTTTCAGAGATACCCCTCAACACAGCCCTACGGTTGTCAATAAGGGAGGCCGCAGCTCTTAATTATTATCAAGTATATATCTCGAACCTATAAACATCCATCTGTGATCTCTCCGAGCCAACCAAAATCCATTCGGCCTGCTACTTGGAATATTTTCATCATGACCAGAGAACGAAGATCTGTTAGCTTGGAAGCCCCAGAGAGGAGGGGTGTAGAGGACCCAGGTGCTCGTGAGCTTGGTACGGTTTAGCGCTCATCGCAGGTCCCCCCTTTAGGCTAACAATTACCCGCACCAGCATCCTCCGATTCTGACGAGCATTTTTCCGATGCTCAGACCTCCCCTGGGAATAGTCCTGGATCTGCCTCTCCAGTACCGCGGACGCGAGTCGAGAAAGTAGACGATGAGCCATCTTACGGTGAAGTACCCGGCACAGAAGCTTACAAGAAGCGGACGGAGGATGCCGAGCCAGATGAGATTGCCATCCTCAATGAGACGAAGTCGCAGTCTGTCTCTCCGGACAGGCCTGTGACGCCTGGAGGTCATCCAATTCCGAAGACCGTCGTCGAGGAATCAGAGGACGCTCCCGGGTCCTCGACTCATCGCTACCACGAGACTCTTCACGAAGCAGACGCCTCACCCGACTTTATTCGCAAAGCCGACGGTACTGGCGAGGCAAATCCGGCTCCATCCTCGCTTGACACCAGCAAAGAAGCAACTGGTACGGCAGCCAAGTCCTCCTAAGCTATCCAGTACGATTGACCCTGCCCTCGTAGATGACGCGACTATGACCCCATCGCTCAAGTCACCAATAAAACATCGACGGAGAAAATCATCCGCAGCAAAATCAACGGGGAGTTTTGGTGGCCAAGGAACCGTTGATAATGATGACGATGATGACTTTGGCGACGACTTTGACGATTTTGAAGAGGGTGATGAAGATGCTGATTTTGGCGACTTCGATGATGGCTTTCAAGCGGCCGAGGCCGAAGCTTCGGCTAACATGCCGGCTCTTCAGTCTCAGGTCTCAATACCTTCGTTTGTATGTTTAGGTCTCTCTTTAGGTAGTCACATTTTTTATGCTAACTTATCTTCTCCCGTCAGCCAATATTAGATCTAGACGGCCTTGACTCGGAGGATATCCTAACAGCTACAGAGCCATACTTAGACGCCCTATTCTCCCCTGACATACAAGACATCCCAGAACTACCATCACCTCCGAAAGACAATCCTATATTCTTCAACCCTAGAAGCGCCTCGCTTTGGTCACAACTAGCAGCACCACCACCTCTGCAACCTCCCGATTGGATCCGATCTCGGATACGACGTCTATTTCTAGTTTCACTTGGTGTACCAGTGGATTTAGACGAGATATTACCAGCCTCCAAGCAAAAGAAGCTTGTGCTTCCATCCGTCCACCGTGTCACCTCAAACGGCTCCCTACGCACATCATCAGACTCTCGATCAGTCTCTAGGCTGAGAAAACCGGAGGCCGATAACAACTCCTCGGTATCCGTGGACTCTCAAGGCAAGGAGAAGCCGAGGTCGGCTTCGAAACGGCAGAAAGGCCCGCCCGAACCACCTGAGCTAGATCTCGTCTCCGCGAGACAACTCTGCGCGACGACGGACGAGGCTTTAGGGGGTATGACGGACAAGGAGCTCCAGCAGCACGTGAAGAAGCTGCAGGAGATGGAGGGATTAGCGAAGGAGGTGCTCGAGTACTGGAAGAAGCGTACGGACGAGAAGATAGGGGACAGGGAGGCGTTCGAAGGAGTTATAGAAAACCTTGTGAAGCACGCGCGCAAAACTAGGAAATGAGAAGCTGAATAATATAAGAACTATAATGGTTACCTATATTTGAGCGTCTCATTCAGATGATCTGCATATTAGAGCTAAGGTGCCCACCGCGTAAGAGGAATTCTAATTGTCTAGGTACCTATACAGTCCGTTGAGATATCTCTCATGAAGATACACGCCTTGATCTGGGTTCCTCGACCTCTTAATTCTATATCAGGTCCTACTGAGCGGGTGAGATGGTTTCAAGTTTGCCAACTTCACGAATCAGCGATATTTAGGCCCAGTCTAGGTCCGTAGACAACCTCATATGCTTCCTCCTTATAAATAAATGTACTTCCCTCCACGTATCTCCCGTTACAATGGAAGTTAGAAGGTACATATAGACCGATAATCTGGTTCTCTCCATGAAGAATTGCAATATCACATTTGATTACCTAGGTACCTAGGCCGGTTCTGTGCAGTATTTACATGTCGATGAGGTTTTTAGAGGCTGTCATGAAATTCTACAGACAACCAGTTTGATCGGAGCAATAATATAATTATACTGAGGTTTAAGGCTACAACGTAAGTGATTGGATATTTTTGTAGTCACAACAACTGGGGCATTGTTCATAGACTGTTTCATTATGCAGACGAGTTCTCCTAGGGTCTCCAATCTCCTTGGGCGAAGATCAGAAGTCGAGGTCCACTGGAATAGTCATTATTAATTCTTCCATTTTGTCTATTGCAAGCACCCAGATACACAAACCTCCCCGGAGATTTTCTCTCCACTCTCAAGAGCTTCCGGTAAGGTGTCTGCAATCCTGCCAAGTACCTAAAGACCATGCTCCTGACGATAGACCTCCGTACCCAGGGGACCCTATTTGTTTTGTGCTCCTAGCTACAGCCTCAAAACTGTAGCTTGTAAAACACTTTTCGCGATATGCCTTATACCACGCCTGATTCTCACGATTCGGTTGGCTCTAACGTGACACCGCTGCATAAATTCATTAGCTGACTCAGAAATATCGTAGAAATTGTGGGAGAACTTACGCTGTGATAGTGGCCCATCCGATAAGACGCCAGTGCTTTTCGATTCTTCGGCTTAGAGCGATCTTCTCTCCCAAGTTTGTACAAGCAGGGCTGGTCAAGGATAGCTTAGCGGCGTCCTGCTTGATAGCAGCAACCTTAGCACCAGTCGAGGTAGAACCAATGTTCACCATTAGCACCTCGTTCTTGGTCAACTTGGCAACCTTTGCTTGCTTGCCGTCTGCTGTACGAACACCAAGAAGTCGCTTCAAGAGGTAGAAGTTAACTTCGATCTCACTATAGATAGCTGGGAGACGACCCTTGAGACCGAGAACGAAACCAACCAGACGATCAGCTCGGCAGAGGGTAGGATCGATACGCGTACCAACACCGATAAGACCACCAGGGACGGCATATTTCAGGTCGTTGAATTCCGAGTTTAGAGACACAATGCGACTGCAGATGGGCTTGCATTGGAGAGCACCCTTATCATCTCGAGTCACAATACCTGGTCGGATCTCGATCTCGTCACCAAGCTTCAGCACACCGTGTAGAATACTGCCACCAGCAACACCACCCTTTAGCTCCTCGATCTCGGCACCAGGCTTGTTAACATCGAAAGATCGGATGACCATCATGTGCGGTTCCTGGGTGAAATCTCTGATGGGTACGGGGATGGTGTTTACGATAGCCTCGTTGATAGCGTCAATGTTGAACTTCAGCTGGGCGGAGATGGGGATAATTGGCGACTTGGCGGCAGGAGTTCCACGGACGAATTTCAGAATCGACTGGTAATGTTGTTGGGCGGCTTCTTCCCGCATCAGGTCGACCTTGTTCTGGAGGATGATGATCTTGTCTAGCTTCATAATCTCGATAGCCGCAAGATGTTCCGAGGTCTGAGGTTGAGGCACGGATTCATTGCCAGCAATGAGCAGGAGAGCAGCGTCCATGACTGCGGCTCCAGACAACATAGTACTCATGAGAATATCGTGACCAGGGCAATCCACAAAACTAAAATCTGTCAGGACATATGCGACCAAGTAAGGCAAGGAGTAGACCTACGAGACGTGTCGCAACAATCTGTATGTACCACTGCATCCATCGCGTTCGCACGGAGGGTCAACTTCCTTCTCACTCTTGTAGCTTCGGTAGCAGCCAGGTCTAGGACACTCGGGATTGTCACATTTGTAGATTTTGGCGTTCGCATAACCCAGCTTGATGGTAATATTTCGGATCAGTTCGTTCTTGAAACGGACCGTCTGTACGCCGGAGATGGCCTTCACGACGGTAGACTTTCCGTGAGCGACGTGGCCGATCGTGCCAATGTTGATGGTTGCCTGTCGGGCAATAATCTCGGGCGTAAGCGGGGTCAACGAGGGGAGGTCGAGGTCTTTCGCATCGGTCTGGGGAGGAAGAGGAGGTCGCTGAACGGGAGGAAGTGCAGCCATGGGCGATTTCTTCATAGCTGACTTGAGAGGCTTCTGATCTACTTCCTCAACTCCATCATCGAGACCTTCGTTGACAGACTCATTGCCGGAATCCGACTCGGATTCGATGTCGTTGCCGAACTTGTCAGGCGCGGACATTGTGCTGGAATTTAATATGAAAATAAGTTAGTTCCCTTTGTTTTTCTTGATTGTACGCCTCTCTCTTGTCCTGGGTTTAACGATGGGTAGATGTCAGGTAAACGTGAAAGATACGATAAAAAAAATGACGTTTCAGTGCCGAGTTTGCGATTTTTTTGACCTGAAGTTGTGTACGGTATGAGTCTTCCTGCCATGCTCCGATAAGATAACGAATGAGGGGCAAATCTATAAGTATTTTTGTATCTGAGTTGCTACCGGTTCATTGATGCCTCTATCTGCATAATCTGCATATGCCTGTTAAATTCATTTCGAATAACGTTATGAGCATAAAGGGAATTTCATTCAAACACAAACAGTATTCTAATTGAAGTTTACTATTTGACTTCAAATTAGGGGGAAACGTCTCTCATGTTTGCTACCATATTATTGTCCCTTATTCCCATATTTCCGAGGTATATAATTAAACTTCTCTTCCTCAACACTTCTCTCAAAAGTTCCCTAAAGGGAATCCAGCTACCTGTGCCGGACCTTGATCAATCACCACTTACCTTCCTATACAGATTACAATATAGCCTCATAGAGGAGACCGAGAACTCAACCATCATACAGCTCAGGTTTGTAACTTAAAAATATCAACGAGTCAATAGTAGTTGTGGACGATCTCAACACCGATGTGGTATCAAACTTGCACCAAGACAAATTACCCGATGCCTGCGAAGAGCCTCACTCACTGACCAGGACAGGACTATTCTTGGATATTCGCCTCTCAATGAGGCTGATATTTGTGTTCCCCGAGGCACGGTCACATACGAGCTTACTGAAGACTCATAATCAACCCGTGGCAGCTCGGTCTCGTGGTAATGAGTGCTGTTGTCTGCACAAATACATCCTTATGCAGCCCTACATTGACCTTTCCTCCGACATGGGTTACATAGCGTCTTAGGATTCTATTATAATATTCAGAACAGCATCTTCAGCATACTAGTGAAGAGTTGTCATCTCAGCACATATGCCCGTATGGCATCTAGGGCATATTCAAGTGTGTGTTAACAGCTTCGTTATATAGCAGTAGTGCTGCTCTCGATCCAGCCTATACGCTTTTCGATCACAGTCTCATTGGCCACGAGGCACAAGAGCCCTAAAAATAGGCCTCGAAAGCCTTGGCGGCACATTACAGCCTTGATTGTTAGGAATTAAGTGACGCTACATCGAGTGTGGTAGCACGAAATTGTATGCATATTCATCAGAAATTGGCCTCCCTTCCCGCGCGTCCGTACCAACCGATCGTCATTTGGGAAGGGGTCCGGGGAGGGGGGTGAAAGGCTTTCGTCTCTTGGGTTACATTTATCACGACAACCACCCTTCCGATTATTTTCCTCAAATTGGCCGAGTCCGTAATCGACTGATTTAATTTTCGAGTACTAAAAAAGGATCATATTGCCCTCAGCCTTATTATTGCGTTTATCTCGTAGCCAAGGGTACTCTCAAAGTGCCTCCGTCGAGACTGTCGAGTCTCCATTGCACAGAAAAATATTAAGGCCAGTCCACAGTTCAGATTAGTCAGGGGTATAGGATTCCAATATCTGCAAGGAATCCTGCTTGAACTCACGGTCAACCGTATGGCCAAAAATGTGAGCGCGAATAGAGGACAGCAAATGGCTCTAAGTGAGTCGGTACTCGAAGTCCCGGTCGTTCTGTCGAATGTGGGTGGTGAAAGTTTACCGCCCAGGCACAACTGGATCCTGCATGGTGTCGTGCGGTATCACGTCTTTACAGCTTCTGATTGGCCATGTGTTCAACCTTGCATTTGCACGGGTCTTACATGGGGGTGGTCTCTGCCTATCAGATGGATAGATCGTCAACAGGGGTCGATGAAAGCTGCTAGGAAGAATCGCGCCGGCTAGTCCCATGCGCCCAACCACATTTCGTTCTCCCCGTCTTTGCGCTCGACTGGGAAGGATCCCTGGTCGTTGACAAGCCTTCGTCTTTAACCTCATTCGTAATTCTGGTATGTAGAGTGCACCCAATTCCCGCCCAGCCCTGCACTCAAGAGGCGGGTTGGCTGTAACGGGCGGATTGTGTCGATTCTGGAGAATGTACTTCGACCCTTACCAGCGATGTGCCGGTGTACTTCCAACCTGATAGGCGAAGGTCGCCTTTTCCTGCGAGTAACCCGTCTTACGATTATCAAGATTTCTGTATTCCTAGGTACAGAAAGAGAAGTATCGTTAGCATAGTAGTTTTCGATTATTGTCCTCCCAACAGAGAGAGCAGTGGCCCCTCTTCTCACATCCTTTTCTCAGTATGCCTTCCTGTTAGCTTCATTGCTATCTACACAAGACTCTTCCTCCAGCTCTAGTGTTTTCGTTTGCGCAGAAACCTGGTGTCAGAAATCTGCGACTTGCTTCATTTAACTCTAGAATCGACGGTGACACGTTGATCTGGGAAAGTCGATACAACCAAGCAAGTATCCGGCGCCAGACCAGTTCCTCCGGGCGTCTATTTTCATAAACGTACAACTTGGATATTGGGGTTTGCTTTAGCTGCCCTATCAGAGTTCTCCGTCTGGGGGATTTCCTACCCCTGGTCCACCGTGAGCGATCCCATTGCATCTTCTGTAGCCCCATTGACTAACCATCCCATGCAGAACGCTCTCAGAAACAAGGACAAATGAGGTGGTAGCGTCTCGAGGCGGCGCCTACTCAAAACCTCCACCTCCCCCAACTATCCGACTTTGGGATACTTTTTCTCTCGATAGCTGGTCTCTCAAATTTCTTCTCATATTGCTTCATTCCTATCTTTGGTCTATATACATACGGACTCCATTCCTGAAGCTATCATACAAAACCCGTAGTAGCCTGTACGCATAGACAGAGTCTCGTTCCCTTCTTTCGCTTTCCTTTCTTTTATACCACACAACGCCACAATGGCGCCGCAAGATGATAGAAGGCGGCCTGCCGCTCTCAACTTGACTCCCACGAGAAAATCGTCTACTAGCTCATCTTCCACATCATCGCTCAAGCCACCAAGGACGCCGAGATTTGCGGAAGCTACTACAGTTCACTCACCAGTAGAGCAACGGAGTATGCCGTTTGGAAGAGACGGGTCACATGTAGCTCAGGCCCAACCGGCCGATGTTGGGTTTGGATATATCAACGACGACACGAGAAAGGAGCCAGTAAACATGCCGATGACGCCGAAGTCGCCTCTGAAGAGCGCAATGAGGGTTCCGGGCACGCCAGCGAGGAAAATTGAGAACCCCTTGAGCCCGACATTCAGGGAAGAGGATATCCTAGAGAAGCGGGAGAAAGCCACCGAGAAAGAGCAAGAACGGGATCTAGTAGGCAATTCCACGATCAAGCAATCGTAACCCCGGGACTAACATAATGCGCAGGGCATAAAATCAAAAGTGCGGATGGCCAAATTCGCGCTCCGAGGCGTTAGCTTCAGTTGCAGTACTATCATTCTCGCTATGCTCACTTCCTCGCTCTCCATCTTCCACGCCACCAAGAGTCTGCCAGCACAGAACGGCCTGCCGCCGTGGGCGACGGGTACAAGCACCTGGCCGCAGATTCTCGTGCTGGCTGTTTCTTGCGTCAACCTCCTCATCTGCATCCTCGTCTTCATTGGCTACTGCCGAGGTGGTCACCACCGCGCCGAGAAAGTCGGTGTCTACTATACGCTATTCGCAGTCGGCTGGTTTATCGTTTCCGTAATCCTATGGGCGGCCGCTGCTGGCGTTATCCAGTTCACGAGGAACAACAGCGGCAACCAGGATCTGTGGGGATGGTCGTGTGTCAACAATAAACGTTCCGAGCTCTTCTCGCAGAAGGTTGATTACGAACTCGTCTGCAGACTTCAGGTGAGTAGCTAACTACAGAATCATCCGCAAACCAAGCGATAAAACTAACTTCACCTAGAACTGGGCCCTGATCTGCATCATTATCGAGATTGTGATCGATGTCATCACGATCACTCTGTACAGCGTCGTGTTCTACAGGTACTACACCAAGCGACGCCTGGCCAAGTCGATGGACCTACGAGACCGCGCCAGGTCTGACCTGTATCTCGCCCAACTCCGGTCGCAATCAGCGCCTAACACACCAGGCTTTGGCCCCAAGTCGCCATCCTTCTCGCAGTACGCCATGTCGCCGCGCTTCCCGCCGTCGGCCTACAAGTCGCTCGGCGATATCGAGGAAGGACAAGCACCCTCGTTCACACCGGGAGCCCAGATCGTCGAGCCACCATCCGCATTTGCGAGCCAAAACGCAAAGGCGGCCGACAAGCCGTTCAAACTGCAGGCTCCGCCAACCAAAGCGCCCTCTGCCACCCCCAAGCTAGGCCAGGGTGCATTTAGGACACCCACGACCCCCGAGGCTCCTAGCCACAGCTTCAGCAACAACTTCAACGAGCACGGTCCCGTCGCACCTGGCGAAGTCCAATACGACGCAGTGCCCATCCCAGGAGCATATGCGGATGCGGTGATGAAGAGCCCGCCACCCAACCAACCGAATTTCGGACACGCGCGGTAGATGGGGTGCAACTTCTAACTTGGTGGGAAGGGGAAAGCTTTTGATTTTTACATGATTGGATATAGCCTAATTTCTTTTGTTCAGCTGAGCTGGAAAACATCACTTTTTTTGTTTTTGGTCACGTCGAAGTTTGGACACTACCCAACGACCATCTACGATTGCAGGATTTAAAGGAGTCGACGAAGTACTCTCTCAAACCGACCTAAACTGGCTCATTCAACCACTACTACGCGGCGTTTCTCGAGGTTATATGATTGGGGGTCTGTGTGGACGTTGTATGTATTTATGTTGGGACACTTCTTTGGGCGAGCGGAACTCAGGATATACCTCGGGGGCGGCAATGAGCACGCTTTTATATACCTTATCTACTATAATAACGATACCTATATCTACGACTATATCTACGTCTGTCAGATCTGTATACTTAGTTCCATTTTTCTTGTCTTGCAGAATGATATATCAGTTCGATAATCTGTTAGAGCCCCACGAGAACTAAGGTGCTTACTTGCTTGTCTACTTGTCGACTTGTCCTACCTAGCGTCGTCCGTGTCTACGGGCCGGCCCGCAGGCTCCAGCTGGAAGAACTCACTGGTGTTGGTATTGGACGTGTTATAGCAAGGTATCGGAGTAGGGTGTAAGTAGGCATGTAAGGGGGTTGAAAATTCGTAAGCTTCGTAAGCTTCTTTGTTACCTTCTAGCCAGAGAAATCCCTCCCTAGACAGCGTGTCCGCGCGGCTACGGTTCCTTTCCGCGGACATGTGGTATCCCCAGGACGAGAAGATTTGTTTGCTTGTTGATGAGGGTCATAGGTATATGTTTGCCGGTCTAGAACGGCCGACTTGAGGCTCGAGAACTTTTGACAGGAATACGGAGGTGATCTGTCCCGAAGGCGCAGCCCGTTGATTATGAATCAATTCATGCCGAGATGATTGGTGATGTCACACGAACTGGGCGGTGTTCATGTTTGGTGAAACACATCTGTTGGCTACGGTGGTCGTGACCAGATTACACGGCCTTCGCTTATCAATCTGTCTCGATCCCTCAACCAATTCTTCAATATTGACTGGGTTTATTTTGATATCAGATGATATGTCACCAACATTGAAGTTCATGATGTACCCATTTTCTGTTCGTCGGATGATGCCAGCTGGCGGACGGCTGCTAGGTACTCATAAATCGTATCGTCTGATGGTGGGTCGCTTCCAAAGCTCCTCCAAGCTCGCTATCATCAAGCTTTTGCCCTGCCCACCTGAAAAAGTCACAGCTTGATTAATATTGCGGCGCAAATTGAAGCCTCGATTGTGGCGGCTGTGATCAGGATTGCCGAACCCTCGACGAAGGAGAAACGGCCCCCAGATCCACCGGTACCAATGGCGGGTGCTACGGTTCATGCTCAGCGGCTGCTCATGCGGCCTGTCTCGCCTTTCCGGTTTCAAACCTCATATTCCTCTACATCGTCGTTACGGACTTACAGCACGCAGCCCCCAAGAGGCTCAAACAACGTTGTCAAGTTCTGGCCTTTTGTAGCCATCATCGGTATCGGGTTCGCGAGCTACGCCTACATGGCCAAGACGAGGGCGGCGGCCAAGTGAGTTCTCCCGTGTTTATATTTCGTCCATTACCTAACTTTTCCTTCTACTTAAATATTGTAGAGTGAATATATACCGAAGTAAACGTAGATTATTAACAAATGACTACAGGACTGCGCCAATGAAAAAGCTACAATAGCTTCTACCGGCATGTTTCCCGATGCTGTGTATTATATGACGATTATTCAGTGCACGAAGGAAGAGTTCATCGTTGTATCACCAACTGTACTATCAGTACAATCTGCCACTTGGGTACATAGGTAGCTCATGAATGACGATTCTATGCAATATTTTCCAGTTATCGTGCTGCAAATGCGCCGGGCAAGACGTATTAATTATGATCATATTTCCCTAAACAATGCCATCTCTATAGCGAAGTTTGGCTCAATCGAGGCTACATCGATAACGGGTATGGAAAGGAGGGGCTCGCATAAAGTTATCGACCCTGGCCTTAGTCCAAACCTTGGAAGTTAGCGGGGTGCGGGACATAGCAGAAATTAAGCCGTAGTAGCAACTATCCCGATCAACCAGGCCAAACTCAATCCCTCGTCAGTAAACAAACCCCTTAAATCTCAAGGCCGATCTTTGTGATCTGCTTGTCATAGACCCTTCGCTTTCCGTCGAGCTAAGTCATCGCATCCGTCTCCTCACTGACTCCAGTCGCTTGCATACCTAAGAAGCACACACATATATAACAACCTCGAACCACTCCTATCAGTGCCGAAAACTCGAAGACAAACCCCTCCACAAACCAAGAAGATGTCTACCATCGATAACCTCAAAGACCGCACCACCCCCGTCTTCTCGAAAGACGACGTCACCGTGCTTTTCGTGCTCGGCGGCCCCGGCGCCGGGAAGGGCACGCAGTGCGAGCGCCTGGTCGCCAAATACGGGTTCGCGCACCTGTCGGCCGGCGACCTCCTGCGCGCCGAGCAGAACCGGCCAAACAGCGAATTCGGCTCTTTGATCCGGGAGCACATCCGCAACGGCACGATCGTGCCGATGGAAGTAACCATCGCGCTCCTCGAATCCTCCATGCGGTCCATCCTCTCCTCCAACCCCAACCCCAGCAAGGGCAAGTTCCTCATCGACGGGTTCCCGCGAAAGCTGGACCAGGCGCTGAAATTCGAGGAGGCCGTCGTGCCGGCGCGCTTCGTGCTGTTCTACGACTGCCCGGAGGCCGAGATGGAGCGGCGGCTGATGGAGCGCGGCAAGACGAGCGGCCGCGAGGACGACAACGCCGACAGCATCCGCAAGCGCTTCCGCACCTTCGTCGACACCAGCATGCCCGTCGTCGAGTACTTCGAGGCCCAGGACCGCGTCGTCAAGATCGATGCCCGTCCCGAGCCCGACAAGGTCTTCGAGGCCACCCAGGCCGAGCTCGCGAAGCGTCTCGGCGAGAACTTTTAGATCCGCTTTATCTCTATCTCTCTCGAGGTTAGGCGGTTTGGTCTAGGTCGCGTAGCCGTAGAGGGAGGGGAGGGGAGGGAAAGGAAAGGGGAAATGGATGAAGGACGAAAGAATAGGCGTTGCGGATCTAGATTTGAAACTTGCTTGTTGTTCACTACATAGGTATCTACGAGTAGGTACTTATTTAGGCCGTACATAGAGAAGGGGACGCCGAAGAGAAGAAATATGATGACGACGGTCGATGAAAAAGCTGACGAATCAACGATGGAAATAATGGGGTTGTAAGTCAAGACGAACGATCGAGAGTGTGGTTTTGCATAGTCTACGACGGGCAAGGTAGCGTTTCACATTCCTATACGAATAGATAGACGAGCATGAAAAGTATTAATAATGTAAGTCTTTTGCATTTACCATTCCGGGAGAAATTCAGCGCCTTCCCTTGAGAGAACTTTTCTGTATCCTCTAAATACACAAGTTCTGAGCGGAGAACAAAGGAAAGCGGGCCGGAGAATGCATGGCTCAACCCTATGTAGGACGACCTTGAATATGGTCATCCGCTGTTCCAAGCATGGGAGCTAGGGGACAGAGCGGCCTTCAGAGGCATATCTCATCGCGTACTTCATCGCAACGTATCACAACACAGCACCTCGCAAGGTGCTAACCGCCCAACAGCAGCAGATCGTGTGGAATACCACACAACCGTATCGTCACTGTGCCATTCCCGGACCATCGCCATGATTGCCTTGAAAACCCTTTTTCGAAACCGATGTAAACTCTCGCCCATGAAAGCCGTAGACGCCTAAGCCGTGCCGATGCAACCAACGTAAGACGGAAACGTCAAGAAAGGGGACGTACGATGATCTAATCATCGTCGTCCGTTCGCTCTCGACGAGGCGCGCGCTCGCTGCGATCACCACGGTCACCGCCACCTCGGCGCCCACCACCACCCCCTCGCTCGCCTGTTCCAGAAGGACCACTGCCACTGACACCCGCATTCGCCAGGCGTCGCTCAATTTCCTCCACTTCGCGTCTCTTATGCGCCTCGGCGTTACCCTGCTCCCTACGCAGGTTGGTGATCACGTTGCGGATGATGACTTTCCATCCCTCCACACGATCGCCTACCTCACGCCACTGCTTCTCGCCAAAAACGCGGTAGAACGTCTGGTGAACAAGGAACACCTTCTTAAGTTGAGAAAGCTTGCCCTCCACAAGTCCAGCACGAATTACGTCGATGGTCCACATCTCAACTTCTTCAGATGGGATCTGCAATGCCTTCTCGATGTTGGCATAGGGAATCTCGTGATTAGGAGTGCTAGCTGCAAGGCTAGCGAACGTGAGCAATCGGATCTTGCGCTGCAGCTTGTCGCCATCTAGGTGCTCCTTCTCGATAAAACCCTCATGCTCGTCATTGAAGTCATTGTAATCCTCCAAGTCCTTCTCGGCAAAGATTACAAGGAGCTCATGGTAAAGAGGATGTGATTCAGAGAGAGATTGGATAGCCGGTACGGCAAGAAGATCTTGGAAATCGTTGTGAGTTGGTGACAGAATCGCGGTCTTTAGAGCGCGGAGGGCTAGCTTCTGAGACTCTTCCGACTTGGTCTCGTCCTCGTCAAAAGTGCGCAAAGCGCTGAGGACATATTGATAGGAGGTCCTGCGGGATTATCTGGTTAGCAATTGAACCCACCATGAGGATTATGCAAGATCGTTACTCACTCTTCGTCACCTGCTTCATGAGCTATCTCAGCAACCTCAATGTACAGCTTGCGCTGATCCTCTTCGTCAGTCTCCCAGTGCTGGAGCCAGCCCTTCAATTCGGGTAAAGTCTTCTTAAGGGTGTCGTAGAAGCCATTGCTCTTGACGAATCGCAAAATTGCCATGAAGACATTGTAACGCAACTCGTTGTCTCGTTCACTGTCGTGGTTGAGCAGATTGAAGATAGTAGTAAGAGCGTTAAGCGCTAGGCCGGGACCGTGAACAGGTGAAGAAGTGATAGGCTTCGTGAGGTTATCGCATACGCGGGGTAGGAAAATTCCGGCGTTGTCTGATTGTAGGACTAGATAGACCAGCAAGTTGTAGCCTGACTGGAACTCCTTCTCAGGTACTGCATTGAGAGCGGGAGATGCAAGCACAATCTTCTTTAGTACTTCATCTTTCTGATCCTTCTCCAAGAGAGGCTTGACCTCTTCGCCGACATGCAAGTAATCGGCCATCTCCTTCGCAAGCTCCGCAAATGAGCCGTCTACGAAGACGCGCTGCTGCGACTGCTCCTCTTGAGCAGCCATGGTGAAGGTAGTGGAAGGGGAAGGTTGAGGTCGAGCTTGAGCGTATACTTCAAGTTGTTTGTTTGCGACAGCTGATACTTCCTCAATCTTCTCTAAGAGTTCAGTGAAAACCTGAATCAGGAGGCGATTGACCAGACTGAGAGGACGTGTTGGCTGAGGGTCAGGAGAAGGCTCCTCGTTCGAATCTGAATCGTCTTGGTTGTAAGAATCGTCGTGCTCGTCGGAATCGCGTTCGTTGGAACCACTGTCGTCGTCGGGGTTTAGGTCCTCTTCGCCTGGCGACACAGCTTGATCGCGGCGAGACAAGCGTTGGAGGTGAAAATGGCGGCAATCTGGTTTGCGCAAACGACCTGAACGAACACCAGGAAAATTACCAGATTCCACTTCTTGTGATAGAGAATGAAGGAAGTGTAAATTAGGAAGTTTTGTGGCGGGGTTACGTGAACCCATTGCGGACAGGGATTAGGCGACTTTAGCGCCCGATGATTAGCCGATAGTTGAAAATTGCAAAGTTAAAGTGGGACCGGAAGAAGGATCATCCGATAGCGGGGACTATCGGAATGGGGGAATGAAAAGAGCGGAAAAAGAGAGATAGTCCGGAAGTGGGGAAAAGAAAGGGAAAATTAATCCGAAGATCAAAAGTGGAGAATTAACGAGAGTGGGCCCGAAGATTATCCGTAGTGGGGAAAAGAGATGTGTGAGGTTGTGGCGGTGCAAAGTGAAAAAAGGTGAAGGGAGAAAGTTTGGAATTAAAGATTGTGGCGAATTGTGGCGGTGCTTTATAGAATTAGGAAAGGCGCGGTATCAGTGGCCATGCACTGGGCAGGTACCGAGTTACTTACTAAGCGGAGCCTGAAAACGCATTCTGATAAGTACCGAGGTACCTATGTGTCTTCATTTTTCAAGATGTACCTGGTACTCAAACTCGGCAGCCGATCCACGTGAATTGACAGGCAATATATGTATCTTGTACCGAGTCACATTCACTATTTATCTTGATTGGTTAACATATTGGTATTATTTCCTCAATTTTCTTTGATTATGTTGCTAATAATAGGTACAAATTCGAGTTGCTACAATTTCTGTAGGAATACTAGTTGACCAGTACTTCAATGAATATAGCATCTATGGTTTCTCTGAATTTAGGTCTCAGTTCTAAGACCTAATAATAAACCATCTCGAAGAATATTACCATAGTACTGATGACCATATGTCTACATTGAGCTCCTTACCTATTCTGCTATCATACCATAGACATGCAAGGATGCCATCCTATGAAGAACTCTAGTGGCTAGCAAGTCACCAACTCGCAACATCTAAGTAGCTTATTTGAACTTCCCATCCCACGCTTGACTATTTTTCATTCAACGGCCATTACCAAGATATGTGTGATCCCGGCCTATGATCATCCAATTTTACTAATATCTAAGTAAGATGGTCGCAGGTAACTACTACGTTTGGGTCTGAGATTATGTTTTCTACATAATAGTGTCGGAGATATGTACATGTATGATCTTGGGTAGAATTCATGGGTCGATACTTGTTCACTGAGAGATGCATAGAAAGTATGTGCATAAAGCTCACAGACAGCTACCGTAGCAGCGTAGCAAGCTCGAAAGGTCAAGGCGTACGCCATGGCCTGGTGCAGGGAAGCATAACACAGATGCATCGTGACGTGCTATTTCCCTATAACAGTCGGAGAATACCTGCGATTTTGCCTGATGTAACCTGACTGGCCGAAAGGGAAATACTCCATAGCCCACTTTCCTAATTGGAACTAATGGTTGAATTGCTTTTCTTGTTCCTTCTCCGCGAACCCCCGAACGCCAGAAAGATCAAGGTGAAACAGTCCCCACAGTGTTTAGAATCTCCAGGGCCGTTTAATTCTTCGAGGTTACCTAGTCCTTGAACTGAAGCTGTACCACACATGTGACTGGTTGAAGGGTTCGAAGATTTCAACAAGGAAATATTCATTGGGGACGAGAGGTAGACCGTTACCGGCTCCAAGTCTTACCTAGTATTGCGCCGAAAATGATTACATGTAAGACGTTGAAGTTGAATACTCTCAGCCGTGATAGGCCTGTGCCGTATATTGACGTTACCTACCTAGCTAGATACCGACTTAGTCTTGAGTGATGACTGGGAGCGGGATCTTTTAGACTGCCTACTTGGTATTAACAAAATATCTATATTAGGAGTATGTAGTGGGAAGAGCCGGAGAAGGATTAGTAGTAGTATTCTTCGGCTGACAGAAAGGTGGCTCTTCGATGTACTATGTAATGACGAGATGTAATATTAAAGGACCACGTATAATTATAATATCTGAGAGCCCTTTCAAGCGCCAACATATGCGCTCTGCAATATATCAGGGTCCTTCGGCCCCTCTCTCCTATTAACAAACATATCCTCAAACGACGTTAATAAATAATTCGGATACCAATCTCCAACGCACGGCATTAAGTTACCGATCTTCAGGAACCAGAATTTAGCGCGACGGCCGAGACGCGCATCTGTTGACCTTCAGGCGGCCGCGGCCAGTCGATGGGTAAAAAGAGGCCTGTCATGCGACCGTTTGATCTCCGAGGGCCTTTCAACGAGTAATGCATTCAACATACGACAAACAATATCCGAGAACAATCCTATATAGTGGACATAGAAGTTCGCGCTATCGGATGAATTGTGTGGAATTGCCCCCAAAGTTCAGCTGAACAATCGATAAATAAAGAGGCGTGTTTTTCGACATTGCCTCTGCCAAGCAAATAAGAAGTACGAAGCAATTGGCGAACAGGAGAACACAACGTCACGTCACTGGCGGCCAAAATACTACCGATTATTATTACGGCTTAACATATTAGAGGGGCAAAGGAAACTCTCCGCAATCATTTGAAAGAAGCCTCGTCCAATTTATTCTCTCGTTTGGGCAGAGAGAAATACAACGGTCGAATTCTTTTTATCTATCCGCGACTCTCCGGATAAATGTCCCGTTTCTGGAATCCCTTCCTCTAACTAGCCAAGGTCAACTAGTGTGAAGCATCCCTCCCCGGCTGGTGATCTAACACACTCCGAGTGTCGCTAGTAGACACCATAACGAAAGAGAGTATCAACGCCCGGAAGAACCCCGCCGATATTGTATCACAGAATATATATAGAGCCCGCTATCAGTCATCAGGTCGCAATGTTCGACCGTCTTCGAAATGCCCCAAAAGATAGGGGTGCGCAGCAGCTGAATAGGAAGAAACTTGAAGCCTGGCAAAACTCGCGTGAACAATCGTCATCGGCCGGTCGTGGCGTAAAAGGGGGAGATAGTCAATATCAATATTCCATAAGAGGAGGACCTCCGCCCCCGAGGCCATCGCGGGACCCCAACAGTCTACCCGAACGGTAAGTTCCAAGTTGCTTTTATTAGGTTTGGGGGACATCTTCAACATTTCAAGATTTTGTAGTGTTTTCAAGGCTGTACAACTCGCCAATACCAGATTGAGATAATGAGCTACGGGGAACAAGGCCGACGTCAACAGCTTTCCGCAAATAGGCCCCCTAGCGCGAGCGAATTGGAGGATTGAGAGTGTAATTCCGGGGCGTTCAGGATGGCACAAAAAGCTCAAGAGGATCATCATCCTCGTGCCACACTTGTCGCACCCTGTCGCACTCGTCGTAATTCGTCACAATTCGTCGCGACTGTCATGATTCTACAAGTCGCATTCTGTTTGTCTGTTTGCTTGCTTACAAGATGCTAACTCCACGGTATCATAGTCAGCAGAACCGTCAGAATCACCAACCTCCAGCGGCTGCGAGATCGTCAAATCAATATCGTCATTCCGGCTCCGTCCGTCCCGTATCTTCCGTATACTCACAGCCGACGCCGGTGGCCGCGACCTTCGCCGCGCAGCAGTTGCGACTCGAAGTCCCGCATAGCGATCCGAACGAGATTTCCCCGCCGAGTTCTCCTGACGTATTGTCACCGAGGGATGGGTAAGTGCGATTGCTTTCTTTGTTTGCGCTAGCTATAAGCTATGAAAGGGTGGAAACAACTACCTGCCAATATCCAAATAAGAGGAAGTAAAGAAGGAAGTGACTTAGGCATGAAACGACGACTTTTAAGTGAATATGTTCAGTGTCATCCACTTGTCGGTCGACCTAAACTCGTCACTCCATAAGTCCATTCTTTGGCTTTATAACTTGGACCATTTTTGGAAGCTATTTTTGTTTTGTTTTTGGAAAGACACCTTTTTAAGTGACAAAGTGTCGAAGAATCACAACACCTTTTGATACATCATGAGGAATTCCAAGATAAATAGCTTCATTGATCGAAGCAGCGCAGCTTTGAAACTAAAGAAACTGAAGCCGAAGCTAACATCCATTTGCTGTCTCAGGCCGAACCCAGGCGACGTTTCTCCCATTGAAGAAGTACCAGACATGTCTCAGCTCTCCGCAGATCCTAGGGGTATCCCTAGATCCGATGCTCGCAGCAATATTCCTATGATGCGCCGCGAGCGTCGAAAAAACTCGGATGCCGCCATAAGAACCCTCCGCGAATCCATGTCCCGCGAAAAGTTGAAGCAGCCGCGACCATACGGTCATGATGTGCGTTGGAACCCAGCTACCGGCGAGCCCACAACGGATTCGAAGGGCAGGCCGTCGCAGGTGAATCCGCAGGAGTTCGTTCAGGGACTTGCGTCTCGACCTGGCTCAGTATCCCCACCGCAGGCTAAGCAAGAGAAGCAAGGCCAGATCACTTTCGGTGAACGTTTACGCCGAGTACGACAACCCAACGGCTCTTCTCAAGCAGAGTCAGCTCCACGACCCGAATGGCGGGGAGCAAGTGGACGAACGACACTCGTTGCGCCTGTGAACGACAACAAAGATGTGGCTCCATTAAAGCTTCCTCCTAAGAGTAGCAAGCGTGGAGGCCGCGAATCTGGTGGTCTATCCCCTGTTCATTCAGTCGATTCTGAATCTGCTCCATCCCCGCCAGTCCGTGGTTTGGGCATATCGAATCAACTTACTCAGCCACAATCGCCTGCGTCACCCAGCATCGCGGTCACAAATTCGAGTGCCAACCCGCATATATATCCTAGCCCACCCCTTTCTGACGACAATACGGCCCTAGCCGGTAATCCTCAACATCAGTCTTTACAGGTCCCGCCGAATGATAAGGCGATTCGCAGGAAACCAGCCGGAGGACCAGGCCACCAAGCCCAACCATCATGGTCCTCCTCGGTATACTCCGAACAAGACCCACGCGCATCCCTGAACAACCCACCACCACCTATCGACACATCCCTGGACGGCTGGACGCAGCCGCCTTCCCGCTTTAGCGTGACCACCTATGCAACATCGTCCCAGCAGTCAACAACTCCCAGAGATAGCATCGACGTAGACGTGAATGCTTCTACGGTACCCACGTCATCCCAGCAATTTATAGCTCAACAGCATCAGCAGTCTTCAGTTCTCGACCGCAAGCGACCCATAGTTTCGGGCTACGATAGTCCCGGTTCGCGCAAAAACAACAACCCTTCCGAGCCAGTCAAGATCAGCCTCGATTCACACTACATGACGTCCGCCGTGTCCCGGCCGCGCAAGGCATCCCCCGATGCAGCGGTCCCCAGAGGCAACGAATCGCTGCTCTCGCTCGGGTCGCTGTCGGATAAGGACAAGACGCTCCCACTAGCGCCTCCCGAGACTCAGTCAGCGCAAACGCAAGACCGCGTGGCGCAGCTCAATGCCAAATTACAGGCGCTGGGCAACCGCCGCATCAACATTAACACGGCGATCAAGCAAATGACGGAGTTAATGCCGACGGATAACATCCTAGCCAGCGATGCCGTGATTCATAAGCGAGAGGAGGAGAAGAGGAAGGTCGAGACTCTGAGGCAGGAGCTCGCTGATGTGGAGAGGGAGTCGTATGAATTAGGCCTCAAGCTGCACCGCGCATATAAGAGGCTGGACCGAGATGCGGAGTATGAACCCACGACGCTGTGGGTTAGGCGGGTTACGGGATAGTGAGAGCTGCGTCGTAGGGAACTGGGCTGGACTAGGGCTGGATTGAATAAGGTGGCGGCGGCGGCTGCGGACTTCTGAGATGCCTCAACTGGTTATTCCCTGCCATTTGGGATAGGTGTGGAAATCCCGTGTGGTGTTGAACAAGGTACTTCCTCTCTACCCAAGAATAAGGAAGAAGATACGTCAAGTTCTATTCACCGCATTTATCCCCTTTTTTATGTCCATTTGTCTTTCTACAACAGGCGGTTTGCTACGACTACCTTACGTTACATCAAGATACATTTTGGTTCGGCTCTCATATGGCTTGCAGGCGGCATCATGATCGAGAAGAGAAGGAACATCGAGATACCTATTAATGTATGCATGTAGCAAGCAGGCAGGCCAAGCATGGAGTTTTGCGAGATACCTATTCAATTCTTTTTTTCCTTACCTCTTTTTTCTCGGACAGGGGGGTATTGATCGAGTTGTAAATAGACAAATAAAGAAAATGAATGAACGAGAGATATGAACTGAATCAATGTTATTATTCTTATGAGCGTGGGTTCTTTGCTATGAGAGGATATGAATGTGTAGTGTGATTGAATGTATGGACAAGGAGATAGGGGACGGGATAGGCGCAGCGGGTTGGGGGAAGTCACTGCATAGTTTTGTATACCCAATATCCGTCGAGACTACTGTCACTTTACTATAAGGCATATCCAGTTGCTATGAGCCTTATATTCGTATTCTTCTTCTGCTCTCCGATTCTACCGCGATGTGTGAGGGAGCTAACGTCCATATACATTCGAAAAGGGGCACCAACACAGGCAGAGGGAACCGCTGCAAAGATGTACTACATTCATGAACACTCTACTTGCATAAAGCTGCGACAGATAGATGGAATTAAACATGTGTTTTTTATTAGGTATCAATTCGACCGAGCCCAATTTACTCGCAGGCAAAAACTGCATGTATTTAATGTTCTTTTTTTCTTAAAATTGGTACCATTAACACCACCCCCCTTTCGCGAGTCCGTAGACCTCGCTCAACCCAACTGACTCCTTAAATACGTCTACGGGTAGCCGATAATACATGGTTTCTAGAGACGCAGTGCTCTAGACGCCGGATTTTGATCCCCCCTTGTTTTAATACCGCCCCTGCCTGATAATCGTCATGGATTAAAACTCGTCGGCACGTTGAAATAATTCAATCCCCTGAAAAAAAAAAAAAAGAAAAGAGAAAAGGTTGGCAACTCCAAATGGTAGTAATGCAATGCGGCGCAATGCGGAAGTGAATGCGAATGCAGTGAATCATATTCATACACTAAAAAAGGGACCTTGGAGCTTCATCATGAAGCTAAAGGTTAGAAGGGCAAGTGCCGGTATAAGTGTAAGCACGCATCCGCATACTGACGCCCGCATCGCTAGTCAGAATCACTTAGATCTAGGGTTTTGCTGATTCTATCCCGCAAATCCCTTGGACGGCGTATGGCTAGCTTTGCGGGCTGGCGGTATACTCGCTGGAATATCTTCATCGGAGTCGGAATCCGAAGAATTCTCATCGTCTTTCACGACGATAGGTTCCGAAGCTTCGTTGCTTCGTTGAGGAGTCGATTCTTCCATTGTCGTATCCGTCGGAGAGGCCTGGTTCGAAAGAGGCACATGGGACGAGACGCGATAGCCCTTCTTCTGAAGCGTCGAAAGGCTGTTCTGGGCGAGCTCCTGAGCGCGCGAAGCTTGCGATTGTGGGGAAGCGGAAGCACGTTTGGTTGATGTGGGATCATCTGTAGCTGCAGTTGCGCTTGATCCGCCTAAGCCTGCGTTTATGTCCGAGACAGCTAAATGATCGACTTTATGCTCGGGGTTACCGTTAGTAGGAGCAATAGTGGCAGGATTGGCGAGGGCGTTGTTAGAAGCTTGCGGGCTAAGATGGGCGGGTCCGTCGTCAGTTCGTCGACGTTTGGCGCTCGGTGTATCCTCTGCCTGGCTCGGACTGTTATGCTTCCAACCCATACGTTGCCGTTCATTATCAATCTCTGCCTTCGTGCGTCGGTTCCTGAGACGAACTCCATATTTCTTCCGGATGATACTCTGCTTAGTACTAAAACTATTCTGAAGACCTTCAAGCTTGACCTGTCTTTGAGCTGGATCTTGAATTTCCTCTGCTTCTTTAAAGCGAGCAGTGTACGTGATTTCAGCCTGCCGGAGTTCTTCGTTCAATCGTGCTAATGTGGCTGGAGTGAGATGGGCGTAGGGACTGTGTTCCTTAGCTAAGGATCCCGGTGATTCTGCCGCAGCTCCCCTGGACTTTACCGGTGTTGCAAGAGGCTGAGAAGGAAGAGGAACTTCGATTAGGGTTCGGGGTGGGGGTAAAGGTGAAGGATGAATAGGGCTGTTATTGCCTGACGAAAGCGTGATAGGTGATCCGGTATGTGTGGAGCCTTTGGGAGTTGCTGGCATTGTACCATGCTCTCCACATACATGGTTGGCGATATGCTGTTGTTTATGTGAGCGCCTCTTCAACCAGAATAGAACAGAGAAAAATATATTCGCTTACATATTGCTGGCCAACTTTAGTTAAAAAGCCAGCACCACAATGCTTGCATGCAAGTGGGAACCCATCCTTATTTGGCGGTTGCTTAGTGCATACTTGTTTCTGGACGTGCTATATTTGGATCAGCAGTGGAACTAGACATGAAAGCTTGGTAGGACTCACATATTCATAAGGTTGCGTACTATCGAATTTGCGCCAACACAATGGACATTGCAAGATAGGAGGAGCAAGTCCACGTCCTTGCTGTACCGACGGCATGCTTGGTCTATGTTGCAATCTTGGGGCTGGGTCAACAACCGGATGAGGTGACGGATCGAAGAGCGCTGGGGTCGGGTTGAAGTTAGACTCGTCTTTCTTATGATCTTCGATAATATCACTGTTCTCGTAACCAAGACGCTCAGCCCTGGCGAGAGCGTTAATCAGAGAGCGGGCATCAATTGTTTTCAGTCGCCTTTCCAATGCGCAATCAAGGAAATAGTCGCTGGCCTTTTCTAATATCTCATCGGCTAATTCATCTAGATCTGGTGTGGTGAGATGTGAGATAATCTCATGTTTCGACTCGGCCACCATCTGGGCACCGAAATCCTTGATAGACCTTCGGATTATAACCCCATTTGAATGATGAATAACAGCATTCAACTAGTTGTTGCGTTAGTCGATGAATGGTTGATTACCAAATATCGTAAGAATGAAACCAAAATAGCATCGAAGCCTACGTCAAACAACCAATCCAAGGGCACGAATAGTTGAAGGGCATAAAGCTAATGTATCTTCATATGAGGAAGGAGGACAGAAATTATCGAATTTCCAGACGTTTTGATAATCTAGTGACCATGGAACCTTCTGAGATCGCTAAAATGGAAAGAAGAAGGTCCTGTGCTTTTGGTGAAAGAGCCAGTAACTCGAATAATCTCAACTATGAGTGGTGAGAGGAAAGTGCTAACTAATTAGTTGCACTAAAGGGTTATAGGGATGTATCCGCATAGGATAAGGTGAAAAGGGGTCCATAATAAGAATGCGCCTTAACTATCCTTGGTAGGTATAAATGGAAAACACTTACAAGAAATGCATGATGAAATTCCGAGCCTAGTAAGCACTTCTGCCAATTATCGCGGATAGCTCTCCTAACAGCTGAAGATACAGATTGCTGCATAGCGTGCGTAAGTCGCGATAGATCATCAAGGAACTTGGGGTTCTCTAGGTGATGCTCCCTTTTAGGGGAAGGAAATCCTTGTGAGGTGGGGTGCGATTGGGGGCTGCTTTTCGATCGTGAATATGCTCCAGGCGGGTCCACGATGGAGACCTTATGATTTGAATTTCCGGAGGCTCTGAAGCGCGTAGGCTGCCGCAGAAGAACCGGCGGCGGCGCAGGTTGTGACATCGACGGCATAGGTATTGGGATCGTTGGTGGCTTTGGTGGTGCTGCCGCTATAGGGGGAAGTGTGGATGCTGGTGAGTGCGTCGATACTGATGCGGTAGAACCTGTTGTCTGAGACGGCGCAGATGGTTGGACGGATGTTGTTGCACTTGGCGACCCTATGGACGGTGATCCCGGCCTAGATCCGTTGACTCCATTTCCCTTGAGACCATTAATACTCCTAGGAAGGCCATTTGGGTAGTGCGTCGAAAGATCCACCGGAGGTTGAACCGGCGATGGAAGCCGTGCAGGCGTTGGACTCGGACCGGACCTCGGCTCAGGGCCGGGCTCATTCGGTGCTGACGCTGATTGTGAATGTGTTTCCATGACGGAGTAGCTCGATGACTGGCATTAAGAAGATGGCAGATGGCGACAAATTTCTCGGGTTTCCCAAAGGCTCACGCGTTCTTGTAAAATCGCTAGATAACGTACTATAGGCGCAGTATAATATGTACGTTTAGGGGATTTTGCTGTGGAGACGCGCGTTTTAAGGCGTTCCTAACCTTAATATGTCCAGGCGTTGACTCGCTGCATCTGCTTGTCAACCGTCTGAGCAGTTGACCTAAAAAAAAAATTCTCCCAAGTTTGGTAAGTACTCCCGTATTTTTCAGGGCTGTTTGATGCTGTTGGAGTCTAGTGAAATCAATTAGCATATTTGATGCCTGCACGTTGGATGTGACGGCTATGAACCAACGGCTCAAGCTTGTTATGAGCTTGACTTACCGGTTTTGATATTAAAAGCTCTCTTCCATAGCCACAGCTTGAGCGTCCAATGCGCCAAAAGTCAAGCTAGAATTGAAATTTATTGAACGAACAGCAAACGCGCAAAATGAAATGGACGTTCCGGATTATTATGTCTTTTTTTTTCTAACGGGGTGGAGCCAAGTCATTTATTAGTAGCTGATTTTACCTCCGATTAGCGTCGATTAAATACATAAAGTACACTTAATATTCGGGCAACTTATAAGTGATCCACACTTTTATAAGTAAGGCAACGAATGATTGGCCTGTCCTTCATTCTGCTACGCGAAAGGTGTGACATTGGTTTTTTTTAACATGGAAGGTAGAATGTCTTGATCCGGGTGAATTATTAAGTTGCCAATAATATCCGTGCTTTCTAGTGCTATTTTGAGTAAGGTGCAAAGGGCTAAGTTAGTTTTTAGTATGTACTTCCTGGCTGCCCTATTTCCATTCTTGTTCCTGCCTCTCCATCCTATTAATTACATGAACCTAGGTAGGTAATTACCTTCTTTTCCCCGCCACCTAGAGGCTTGCCACATTATTTTACCTTATTAATATATCTTCATTACGTGACCCTCAGCTCCCAATTAATTTGCTTATGCGCATTCGCGTTCGATTTATAATGTCTCAATACCTGTCATCTCCCCCATCTCCCCACCCTGGTGAAAAAGACGAACTGCAAATGATAACTTAATCGATCTCGGGAAGTAGTGTGAGACAACAGATCCATTGAACAGCCTATCTCATCCAAGATCTCCCTCTAAAGAAATTATAAAGTCGCACAAGCCGTCGATTGGTTTATCTTGCCAGTGTTGCTTTACGGCCGGCTGAAGAAGTACAAGGTGTCCACGTATCAAACTACATCAGCTACTTTATTTAGCCTGTTTATCAAAGCCGTTTGATAAATGAAGAATCATCTGCCTAACAGCATGATATTATTGAGAGCCTGCATGCTTCCCCGGATCCTTTTCCACGGTTCTTAGGTGTCCGGCAATACATCTTCTCGTGCGACCATCCTCTAGAGTCTCCTATTCTTCTCAAGCTCGTTCAAGCCCCACGGACTTTGAACTCGTACTGTTCCCCGCGATCAAGATAAACCACCCGTTCACTCCAGCCATTCTCGTCGACCTCCTTTTTAAACTCCGACAGGGGCGACAAGAAGACGTCGTAGTCGTCGTAATGGATTGGAATGGTCAAGTCCGGATTAATAAGCTGCATCAGCTGTATTCCTTGTTTGGCGTCCATTGTAACCATGACTAAGGGCATTGAAGGTCCGGGGATCGTCGTGCCGCCTAGGTGTACTAACATGAGGTCGACCTTCTCATTACGGAGCCGCTTCGGGATTTCCTTGAGTTCGTCTACGAATAATGTGTCGCCGGAGATGTAAATGCGATACCCTGTATCGATGGATTCCGGGTCGCCTCCAGTTGGGGCCTTGAAACTAAAACCAAACTCGAGAAGCCATCCATTTGTCGGCGGTACAGCTTTGAGCAAGTCGTTAGCCTTAGCCAACGGACCCGGAGGCACGTGTTTCCCCGGCATACCCGTCACTTTAATGACTGGTACTTTGCCGTACCCGCCGGCATGAGAAGGCTCTTTGCGGTCAATATGAAGCATGATACTCTCGAAGAAGTCAAGGCCATGGATCGACTGGAATGGGTCATCCTTGGTTTCACCCGAGAGACATTCCTTGGCATGCGGAGTGGTGATGATATCGAATGCCCTATTCAGCGACTTCTCGACCAGGCGGTCGAAGTGATCTTCATGATAGTGAGATAACAGAATACAGTCAAGTGGCGGCAGCTCGTGTAAGTCCACGGCTGGATTTGTCTTTCGCTGTGCAGTCACTCCTGGTCCTAGGTGGACATGATCTCCGGTATGCAAGAAGTTGGGATCGGTAAGTATCCGAATTCCTTGCCACTCGATTATCGTTGTCGCTGTGCCGACGAAGTAAATACTGGCATCTTCATTAAGTTTCGATCCTTGAGGATCTGTGAACACTCTTTTCACTGGCAATGTAGCATCGGCCTCGTCAGACGTTGCCTCATCCTTAAGTAAGGGTTGCCTCTTTGACGCATTAAGATGAAGATGGCGCATTGAAGCCATTCTTAACTATGACGCCTTTCTAATCCGCCAATTTGAAGGGACATTGAATTTATTGTCGTCATTTAAAACTATATGTAGGCGAGTGCTCACTGGTATCATGACGTGGACGTTGAAGATGGATGATGTAATACACTTATATCAGTTACAACAGACTCCCCGCGTGATTCGCTTTCTACTTTGAAGCTTTAGGACAAACTTAATGCATCGAACGCGGTTTGAAGTCTACCTTATAATTGTCAACTGCTTATGAACCTTAGTTAGAGTGTGGCATAGCTAACCTTAACAACCTTATCATGGCGAAGGTTAGTCGGGTGTTTCCAAACCAAACCCTATGTCCTTAACCACGAGTTTTGTTACGGCCTCAAATAACATGCACAAAATCAGTACGGCGAGATATGTTAATCCGTGTGTGTTCATTGAATAACGCGTGGCTCATCATTAGGTTGGATCCAAGCGGTCCTAACCTCTCAGAGACAAGCCACACGATCCTATCCGATCCTATCCGACAATACCAAACCAATCCAGTGAAAATAGGGAGGAAACATGACTGAGTTATACAGGTATCATGAGACGATTGCCAGCTACTTCCCAAGACTTTCTACAGCGTAACTTTCAATGCCCATCTTTACCGTCTCATCTTATTCCACACCTATTTATCACGACCCTTTCGAACAGGGCTATCCTGTTCATCCTCATCCTTTTTCTGCACTCGTGGGGACACCATACCACCCGCGTCTGATCCCTTGTCACCATCCTTATCCTCGCTCTTGCCAGGCTGCGGGGTAGATTCGCGTGCAGCCACGGCACGTCGCTTCTGAGGACGTTGTTCGGAGGAGACGTTCGTAGTAGATCCCGTAGCATTGACACTGCTAGGTCGGCGAGCTGTACCGGCAGCAACGGTGGTTCGGGGCTCGAAACCGCCGGTAGCGTTCGCATTGGTGCTGGCAGGGGCGGCGGCGCGATTGCCGGTGTTGCTGGTGTTCGTGGTACCCGGGATATTCATGGCTCGGCCATTGTGCAAGGGATTGCCGTCGGACCACAAGTATGAACCAGGCGGTCTGCGGGAGTAATCCGCTGGGAAGAAGGGTTGAGATGCGGGAACGGGGACGTATGAAGCTTGGCCATAACCGCCGGTGCGGTTGCCCGTGTAGCCGACAGCCCCGGTACTCTGCATACCCATGGCTCCACTGTTGGTCGGAGCGTTTCCTTCGGGATACCAGGATGACATACGCGACGGTCTTCGCTGAGGAGTCGCTGTCGGGATAGGTCGACGCGCGGGAGCGCCATGCGGCACCTGGCTATAACCGCCGGTGCGGTTGCCGGTGTAGTTGACGCCGCCGTTACCCTGCATACCCATGGCTTGATTGTTGGTGGAAGTGTTTCCAGCCGAGGCCCAGGATGGCACACGCGATAGTCTCTGATGAGGAGTCGCTGACGGTGTGGATCGACGCGCGGGAGTGCTATGTGGCACCTGGTCATTGCCGCCGGCGCGGTTGCCGGTGTAGCTAACGCCTCCAGTATTCTGCATACCTATGGCTTGATTGTTGGTGGAGGTATTTCCGGCTGAACACCAGGATGGAATACGCGACGATCTCCGATGGTGAAACGCTGTGGGGGCGGGCGGCGGAGCGGGCGGGTCGTATGAAATATGGCTGGGACTGGCGCGAGCGACGCCGTTGTACGAGTTGCTGATGCCTCCGGTATTCTGCATACCCATGGCTCGGCCGTTGGCCAACGGATTTCCGTCGGACCACAAGGATGAGTTTGGCGACGGGCGCTGGTTGTGAGCCGCTGGCGCAGAAGGTCGAGGCGCGTTGGCGCCGTCTGAAACCTGCCCATTATCGACATAGTAGGACTGATGTAGCTTTTGGGATTTTCGTGTGTACTGTTCATCGTATTTTCTAATTTGGGTCTCATAGTCTTGAAGAGTTGTTGGGCGAGGTGCTGCGGCGGCGTATCCTCCTCCAGGAGTGCGCGTGCCGCCGTAAGCGTTGGTTCGGTTGTTTTCGGTGATACATGAAGGCGTTGGCGTTTGCATATCCAAGCGTAAGAAGTCAGGTGTTACGGTACTGTGATCAATACCACCCGCAGTTCTCGGGTTGGCGCGAGGCTTGTCATCGTCGTCTGGTGAGCCCGCGGCATTCTGCGCAATGCTTCTAATATCAGCACGAGCGGCACTAGGAGGGGCCTGCGGTGCCATCACATCTTGTGTCTTTTTCGCACCTGTCGCGGCGGTGTTAGGTTCGTCATCGGTCGTGGTCTCGGCTGAAGAAGCATGGCCGTGTGATGAGCCCGCGGCACTCTGCGCAATGTTTCCAGTGCTAGCAGCGGAGGGACTAGGCGAGGCCTGCGCTGCTACATCTTGTGCCTCGTCGTGATCTGACTGGGCAGGGGACGCGGGTGGTGAGTTAACCGTGTCGGGAGAAACTGGTACTGGAATAGCTGGGGCCGGCGGAAGTACCGGAGGCGCCAGAATGACTTGATCATCTGGAATAGTCGGAATAACAGGAATCTCTTTTCCTGTTGGATAAAGCTTCGGAGGAGGTCCGTCGTTCTAAAACAGACCTTGCATCTCTCTAGCTGTCCATTTACGCTTGTCATCCTTGACATGCGCGCGAGGGGCCAGCGCGGCTAGCTTGACATCGACGGGGTGAGCCCAGTTCTTCCACGCAGAGATTCCGCCGGATGATGACAGCCTGTGTGATGGCAGCGGATTTCCCGAATGCTGGGAACCCCAAAAGTCCGCGACCACCTTCTTGCCATAGTTGTTTCGGTCACGATATTGCCGATTTATTCGCTCTTGCAGATTCTCGACGGGGTTTCTGTTGAAGTAAAGTTGCTGAATAATAGGGATCACACGTTTACCGAGCATGTAGTTGATGAAAAATGCGCGACTCTGAGCAAGCTCAGCCATGGCTCTCATCAAGTCTTCATCAGAAATAGACGCTTTTTCGGGGACCAATCTGGTGCTCTTGAACTCCTCCAATCTTCCAGCAGTTCGATACGCTTCGAACTCGCAGACGAATGCATCGAGGCCGCGAAGCCAAACATTGTGCTTTGTCTCAATACTGGTGCCACGGGCAAATTTTGCAGGGTAGTTCGAAGTGAGCTCCAACATCTCAACTCTGAAGTTGATTTGTTCAACATCCTTTTTGAATGTCAGTGCACAATCTCGAATAAATGAACCCTCGAGAGGGGTGTTCGCAAGAGCGCTTCGAGGATTCATGGTTGCGGTGATATTTGGTCTTCAAAGGGGATGAAAAGGGAAGTGATGTGAGTGGTGGAATTATCATCTACGAGATGGAGTAGAAGATGATGAAGGAAGGAAGAAAGAAAGAAAAATAGATGTGTAAACAAAGTAGAAAATAAACAAGTAGGTAAACAAGTAATAATGTGGTGTCATGGCTGTTGTCGACGGTTCACTCGATCGTGAAGTCGTGGGAGACCTACCTCTTAGGACGAGGGCTGAATCCAAGACTTGGTCTTTATTATGAGGGTATCGTTTCGTACGGGCCTTGTATGAGAAAAGGGGGACGAAGCTAACTAATGTAGTATTCTGGGTGTTATACTTCTCTTCCAATGTCTTCTAATCCTCGTGGGTTTACGCCGTAACCGCTGTAGATACCCAAGTATGGATATTATTCAATCTGCTATATTTCTATTATTCGTCACTATAATTAAAGACCACTCCCTACTTGCGTCTTCCAGCTGGGCCAGCCTCTACCACACGCCCGGCATCCAATCTTATAAAGTAGTCAGCATCCTTCACGGCCTCTAATCGATGGGCGATTGTGATCACTGTACTATCCTTGAGTTCCGATAATAGGACGTCCTGTATTGCCAAGGCAGTCTTCTTATCAATGGAGGCAGTTGCCTCGTCCAGAATAATAATGGGGCTCTTCCTGAGAATGGCTCGACCGATACCAACCAGTTGACGTTGGCCCTGACTGAGGTTTTTGCCTCCAACATCGACGATGGAATCAAGAGACCACTTAGGCCCCAAGACCCGAAACAGCGCCTCTTGGCATTCCTCGTCCGTATGCTGCTCCTTCGGATCTAGGTTGTTTCGAATTGTGCCCGGAAACAACACCGGATCCTGGGCCACAGCGCTGATCCGCTGACGCCAGGTATGTACATCAACTTTTGATAGATCAAGATCGCCAACACGTATATGCCCCTTCGTTGGATGCATTGTTGCAAGAAGGGAGAGGGCTAGTGTAGTCTTGCCGGATCCTGTTCGTCCCAGTACTGCGCACGTTGACCCGCTAGGGATCGTGAAGGAGACATCGACCAAAGAAGGCTCGAGATGCTCTGCGTATTTAATCGTTACTGAATCAAATGTGATGCTGTCCTGGTATGAAGGCCAGTTGGGAGGGGGTTTGATGTCTCCATTGGGTTCTTCTTCCAGATCCAGAAGTTCAACAACCCTCTCCACAGATACGAAGTCCATCTGAAGCTGACCATACGTCTTACATAGGACATGAGTAGCTTCGACGAACTGTGTGGCGCTTGTGAGAACGAATGCGATCAAGCCAGACGAAAGCCCTTGGTATAAACCTAGAAGCGTCAGGACGAAAATTGAACCAGCGGATAGTATATCGTATCGGTATTGGAGCCAGGACTGCAAGCTCCAGTAAAAGTGGTCCATTTTCTGGAATGTATCTGTGGCGGCGATATTGCGGTTCTGAAAGACCGATTGTGCTTTGAACGCTCGAATAGTAGCCAACCCGTCGGCGAGGATACCGAAATTCGACATCAGTGGGCTGAGGGTCACCATTTCCAACCTGCGGAGGTTTTGCGAGGTTGGCAAAAACCACCTGAAAATAACAACGAACCAGATAGTCATTGCGATAGCGAAGATGAAGAATACTGGGGTTGTGAAGGCGATGACGACCATAGAAGCCAGCCATGTCAAAGACCAAAAAGCTGAATTTTGAAGTGGTTGTATGACTCCACCATCCAGCATTCCAATGTCGGAAGTCAGTCGATTCATTAAGCGCCCTACTGGGGTAGTGTCGTAAAAGCGGAATGTCGCGCAGCTCACTTGATTAATAGCTCTGGCAAACAAGTCCTTGGCTGCTCTATATAGGATGAGTGTAAGACCGCACTGGGTAAGAAAGTACAACGCAGTCAAAACGATCCCGATAACTGTATACCACACTAGCCATGGTTTAACATCATCTTCCGGGCTGGGTAGCCCATCGAAGATGCCGTTCGCAATATCAGATGGACTCGATAGCTGAGCTTCGACGCTTCCGTATGCCTCACCCCATGCCTTCAAAAACCAATAATTGAAGATACGAGCGAAACGGAAAAGTGCAAATATCCCGATGACAGCAAACCAGTATGTCAGTTTGCCCGCTTTGATATATGTCCAGTAAACTCGGGCAAGGACGCCACCTGATGCCCGACTTTCCTCCGAAACGAACTTGTCAGGGACTGCGGCGTTCGCTAACTCTTCTGGGGCTTCCTGGGGTTGGTCTTCGAAAACGGCGTTTTTATTCTGCGCGGGAGCGTCGAGTTCTCCGGGGTATTCATCGGACGAGAAAACACGAGCTTTGCCGTTGGTGATTTCAATCACTTGATCTGCGAGTGCCAGACATAGGTCAACCCGATGTGTAACGAGTATGACAGTACGGCCTTTCAAAAGGGATCCGTGGAAGAGTTTGCTGACGATAGCCTGGGCAGTTGAATGATCGAGCGCCGCAAGCGGGTCATCAAGCAGTAGGAAGCGAGATTGACAGTATACGGCTCTTGCTAACGCGACTCGTGCTTTTTGGCCTCCAGAAAGACCAATGCCGTTCTCTCCAATATTCGATTTATCCCCATGAGGAAAGCTGGCTAGGTCTGGCACTAATTCGCAGGCATCAAGGACCTCGCTGTATCTACTTCTGTCCATAGGGAAGTTAAACAGAATGTTGTCCCGGATGCTCATATTTTGAAGCCATGGAGACTGAGCACAATAGCCCACCATCTCGTTTGGTAAACTGCAGTCTCCTTTCACTTGATCGAGTTCGCCTAAAATGGCTTCTAATAATGCTGTCTTCCCTGAACCGACCTTTCCATGGACTAGAGTAAGTCCACTTGGGAATTGCAGATTCAAATCTTCCAGCACGAGTTTCCCATTGGTAGGCCACGCAAACGATGCGTCTCGGAATTCGATTTCAGAGGGGATGTCGTTATAACCACGCTCTTCTTTGTCCGGTTCGCGCATGAAGGTTTCAAGGCGCTCTATTGCCAGAGAGGCGTTGATGAGTACCGTTATCAAACCAGGTAATTCTTTCAAACTCGACTCAAGCAGTCCAAAGAGTGACAAGGCGGGGAATGCTACGTGGACCGGCAAAGGGCGTCCTGCAATGAAAGTTACTGCGAAGAAAGTGAATACGGGGAAAAGAGCACCAGCAGCAAGATTAGAGGTATTAACTCCAATGCTCCATAAGCTAGTGATAACCCTCAAATGCAGCTCTTTTGCTCGTGCTTGCATGATGTCGTCCAGCCACTTAGACTGCCAATCATACCAGCGAAGGGGCCTGATAGCCTCCACAAACTGGGTAGTCGCCTGAAGTCTGACGTCCGTCGCAGCTCTCCGACGCCTCTCAACTTTGACTTGTGAACGAATAAACCACCCGTTTAATATTTGGAGGATGACTGCCCAAGCCACACCAAAAAGACATGGCCAACCTAGCAATTGCCAGATAAGGAGGAGGGAGAAGATCAACTGCAATGGTTTCGTAAGAAGAGATGGAAACTCCCAAAACCGCTGGGCAACCTCATAGGCGTCATTTCTCATCAAATTAAGGATTTTGCCCATAGTTGCCGGTTGCTCTGCGTTAGTCTCGACTTCGCTTTTGCCCTTAGACTCACGAAATCTGAAGAACTCGAGAAAACGATCAAAGCGAGTCTTTTCGGGCTCCTGTATCTCTCCGAGTAGCGGCGTCTCTTCGTCAGACTCGAAGCCATTTTCCTGGGGAGGTTCTCCCAGATCTGTGCGGAGCCCGAACGATTTCCGCGATAATGTTTTGGCGTAGACTGCTGTAAGTAGCTCGCCACGCGACCTCTCGTATGCGCGACGGCTGTACCATAACTGGAAAACACTCGATTGAGCGGCGACAATGCGCACGAACAGGATAGCAAATGCGTAGAAAACCGAATCCTTAGTATGGGCAGGGCCTCCCTCGATAGACTGCAGTAAGCGTTGCAGAAGAGCCGGGTTCGCAAGGTTCGCCGTAGTTTCTACGATTCCAAGAAATGTAATGATGAATAGATCCAAGCCATTTGCCAAAAGTAACCGTTTTATAATCGAACCCTTAAGATCTCGGAATAACATATGCAACCTCTCATGCTGAAAATCATACGGTAGTAACCAAACATCTTCGTCATTCAACGTACTCTTAAATCCTTTAGTAATCAGTGGAGACAGCCAAGAAACAGTCATAAATTGCCATAAGCTCAAATTATCCTCGGGGCTGCGAAATTGAGAGGTTGGAGGTAAAGTAGAATTCGCAATGCCAGTCGAATCAAGGTCGGGATCTCGCATGGGCATTGAGAGGATGAGGAATATAGTGGCTAACGCCACTCCGACGCTAGCGACGTGGATTATATTCACACGTCCCGTCTCGTTATACCATGACACCAGCGAAATCAACCCGCAGACAGTAGTAGTGATAAATAATGTTAGAAGCGTCTTTGGCGTCTTTCTCGGACGACCGACGGCCGTAATGAATAGAGCAGTAACCCATGGCGCAAGTTCTAGAATTCTGACGTTGTTAAATGGCGGTGATGCGGCGACCAGGATAGCTAGAACGAGTCCGATCGCAGACAGGACCAACAGACAGAAAGTCCAAAAACTGTAAGGTCTCGAACGAATCCCAGATAATAAGGCCTCTTCCTTAGCAAAAGGCCGAATCCATTGTGGTGCTTGAGGGAAGAGACCGCGGGCGATATACAGGAGTAAACACGTGCCCGCGATTGCGGCTTGCGCGATCGAGCTTCGAGCAATGACATCCATAGACGCTATGGTATGGCGAAGAATCGATTGGTCTTGAGAAGAAAAGAACGAAGGGTTTTGTGTTGGAACAGATTTAAGAAATTCGAGAAACTCATATTGATCGGTATATATCATACTCGTTGCGTGTGACGAAGAGAAGGTTCTTAAAGTGTATCCATAGTCTGTATTTCAACGACGAACATTTGAGTACCCAACGACGACCCTAAAAGCGGGTGATCGTCAGTTAGTTAGGAGGCGGAGATGGATACGTAAGCTGGCAACGAATTTCGAGCTCTTTGTACAAAGTATAGCGAGCTGTGGCTGCACAATTCCCAATTCTCTCCGGTAACTCCTGTCGTTCTTTAGGATACTACTTACTTAGTTCCTGATTATAGTGACTGTAACACAAGACCCAATTGAAGCAAAAGTCTATAGGATATATGCAGAAGAAGAGAAAGCGCGCGGTGATACTACAATGGAAGCTAAGGAAGTTAAAGCTGTGTATGGTTGCTCAAAGTTCAAAGTTCTGTGGGGGAATAAGCTTCATATGTAAGGCGCCACAGCCCACAACCGGTAAGGCGTGTCTTGGCCCACATGTAGCTTCCAACCTCTCAACACCTGATGGCAGCTGCAAACGGTTCGATTATACCATATTTCTTATCTTCAACACCTTTACCGATTGGCATATGCATGTGGATTGGGCAGATAATTCCGATTGCACCATCCTAGAGGAGTATTGTGTATTCCAACAACCAAAACATACAGCACATCATATTGGCATTGAAGCTATTGGCGGTTCCGATCGAGATTCGGAAGAACAGACGAATTAGACAACTTAAAAACACACGCCCCTTTTCCGTAGCTACGCACACATCAATGCGAATAGTTATCAATGAGCGTAGTACATCTCAAGTAACTTAGGGATATCATAGAAGCTCCTATCTATCTTCCGCGTTGGTATTGCCATAATCACCAAAGGGTATTCAGGAAACCGATAGCGCCAAATAAGTTACGTCAAAGCGTAACTAACCTTCCCGACATGGCTTAAACTGGTTCTCCGATACAAGCAAGCATGAGCCTTTGATAGTCACCACTTGTCTCGCCTTTGATTCGACTGGCAAGGCTTCGTCGGTAGCGCTGCTGGAACGCCCCGTTGACATTCGCCATCGTCTGCCTATCCCAATGATATCTCACCACTCTAGACACCAAAAGATGATCCTTCGTCCCTAGACCTGCCATCGCGTCTTCGAGCAATGAAGCCGCATGCATATACTTATCAACAGCATTACGTAGTTGATATAGCAAAGCCTGTTGCATGTGACCACTGAACTCCTGAGAAAAGGTTAGCATTTATAAAAATTAACAATAGTATCTAAAGTCCGACTCACCTTCTTGATGACATCTTCCAACCGTCTTCTGAATTTTTGTTCGTAGGCATGATTGATAGCCCGGATTTGATTGTCGTTTCGCGTAGACAGAATGGAGCACACCATCATCTCGTCGGTGCCTACTTTGCCCTCCGTCGCACGATACAGCTCCATTACATCCTGGTCAATAGCCTGGGGGATAACCGGGGCGCTGTCTTCGGCCCTATTTGCTCCTAAGACAATCAAGAAATGCCTTTCGGTCTTCATACTGAGGTCACCCTTCACATCGCTCTCAAGCGACCGGTGGAACGTGTGCCGGTACATTTGCTTGATCGAATTTAAATCCGCGTTACTGCGGCTCAAAAGCACGTCATTGAGAACCTTCTCCTTCGTTCCGGGGCCGTCCATCGCAGAGTTGAGCAGATGGACATCGTGGAGCAGGGGGCCTCTGACGATCGCAACGAGCCCCGTCTCGAACCATCCCCTCGTCTCCGACACGATGTCCTTCTCGAGCGTGCGGCTGAAACTCCGGAAGTAGGCCGACTTGATCGCCTCGATCTGCAAGGGGTCTTTCGTGGCCAGGACCCGAATTAACGCCTTCTCGTCCGTGCCGAAACCCTTCATGGCGCCCCGAAGCGCTCTAGCATCGGGAGTCGCATCCCAGTTAATTACCTGGGGAGGGCCGTAACCCACGCTGGGTGGGGTGGGGGGACCCCCGGGGCCAGGTGGTGGGTAAGACTGATATGCTTGCTGAGGTGGCGGTGGTTGCGGTGGTGGTGCGCCGTATTGGCCCGGAGGCGGTCCATAACCTGGCTGGGGCGGCGGGGCTCCGTAGTATCCTTGATTCGGAGCGGGAGGGTAACCACCGGGTTGGCCGGGGTATGGGCTCTGTTGCGGCGGTGGGGGAGGATATTGACCTCCCGGAGGATAAGGGCTTGCTTGACCGGGATAGCCCTGGGGTGGGGGATATTGGCCCTGAAGAGGGTATTGCTGTGACGGTGGTTGGCCGTAGCCGGGATATCCACCCGACTGGCCGTAATAAGGATATGACATCGGCTTCAGGTTGTCTATCGGTAAGTCTTATACCTAATGCGGGTTTTCCTAGTTGACTTCAATTATTGCCTACGGCTCTTCTATGGCTTACGAAGACTCGATGTAGGCAATGCGGGGTTCGAATTCTATTAGGGAGGACCGGTAGATGAAGGGAGTACTAGGGTACTAGGTAAGCACTGATGGGTAACGTGATACTTAGGCACAACAAATATGATGTACTAAGTAGAAATTAGAAAGTTGAAGGAAGACAATAAAGACAATACTGTTAGAAATTTCTCGATGACAATATTTATCGAGTTCCTATTGAGGCTGTGAGTTTAAATTTGCCAACAAAGACCCTTCCCTAATGACGTCTAGGCAGGCACGATCAACTCGACTAGCTGGCGTAGTGGAGGCGCAGTCTTGCCGCCGATACTGAGACGGGTTCAATCTTGTGTGGCTGAGCATTCCATCTGGTCGGGCGCCTAGGCACTAAACGGCCTCCTACAGATCACTAGAGGTACCTAATCTGGACTGCCAAGATGGGGACGCGAAGCTCGCCGCCACAGGACCAGGCAGACAGAAAACAACCATGACAGCCACACAAACGGAAGTCCGAAATAGTATTCACGAATACACATTTCAATGTGGGACGATTTGGGTAGATGCAAAATATGATTTCTATAAACGTCTAGGGAGCGAATTGAATAACCTGAGCGTCCCACCAAGCATGCCTATACTGCATCAAGATCCTCCCTCAATTCAACCTCCGCTTCTACCACCTTTTTAGCGTTGCATCCAACTCCAACTGCCAAACCACTACCACTCCTCTACACATTCCACCGAAGCCTCGTCACATCACATGATCAGGTCGTTTATTTGCCCCATTTGCAAACAATGCTGCCAACCACGACGGTGTTCGTCGAGAGGCGCGCCGGCGTCTTGGAGGTAATGGCGGTGCTGTGGTCACCCGTTCTGTGCATTTGTTAGTAATCGTTAATCGATTGATGCATAGGCATCCAAGATGCGACTTACCCGTCGGTGTTCTTGTAGCTGAAGCACATAACATCATCTATCGGGATATCCCCGGTGGTACCAGTAAGGTATATGGTAGAGACCTCCTTGAGGACGGGGTCTCCGTTGTAGACACCGCCGAAGCCGACATTAATAGTCTGGTTTCGGAGACCGGTGCCAGCTCCGCCGTGAGACGACTCAATGTTGAGTATGGCGGAGGCTCCTTCACCAGCAAAAGCGCTGCCAGCAAGGGCGAGGGTGGAGGCGATGAGAGTGGCGAACTGCATTTTGAATATTGGGGATGGTATTTGGATTGGTGATTAAAGATTAAGTTGATGAGGATTCTTGGTGAGTAGTAAATCGTTGGTGTTGATGCTTGGCTGAGGTTAATGGAGCAGTTCCTAAGTGTAGGTCCTAACCATCAACTTTATAGAAAATCTCGAAGTCTTCTTCGAGCCTTCTTCAGCCCCTTACAAGAAGCCGCTTTTCGCTTAACGTTCTTACGTGGTACCAACAACGTCGATCCTGAACATGCATACCGGAGGCTGATGTTGACAGTACAGCACACGAACGGCACAGCGCGGCAAGGATTTTGGGGCGCAGGCGGATCTGACCCGAACCGCGATACACGATTTCGCATTCAGCGGGGAATGAGACAAAGTCGAGTAATTGGTTTACCGTGGGAAAACTCTATTGGACCCAAAGGACGAAGTTTACGATCGCGGGAAGCCCCAATGATGATTCATTAGCGGTGAATACGACAATATAGGCTATGGCCACAACACGATCAATCCGTCTGTGGCGTAAAAATCCAACCGCTCAACACGATACAAGCGGCCTATTGATGGTATCAATATTTTGATCGGCTTCTGCTTACGGCGTCGCTAGATGTTCTTTTGTAATACGGACCATCTGAACCGCCACGTTAATCCCCGACTCAGACACCGTCAATCCCAAGGGTTATCCTCGCACTGCGGTACGACTAACTCTATTATGATTGTAGAGGTAAGCTTCTAGCATTTTCGCGTGCATTAGTTAATCTGTCATCGACACTTGATCAGACCTGCGAGGTCCCTTATGACACCGTTCGTCAAGGTGCATCTTACAACTGAGACATAGGCTATGCTGTAGTCGGGTATGCTCTTCAACACGTATTCTGATCAATGATATCGTCCTTCGTGACGTTCTACTCGGCAATCCATAGCTAAAGTTTGTTGGTTTCATTTCCCCCTAATTCAAAGAAGAAGCTTTTCTAATTAGCATTAGGCAACCACATAAACCAAAAGGTTCTGTTAGCTATCCCAGATCGCTTCCCCAGACCGCCTACATGCAGGGTCGAAATAAAGTCAAACCAACACCTGAAAATCAGTGCCTCTTCTTGCCAATTTGATTATGGAGAGCTTTGTTCATTTGCATGACACGACTTCATGAAAACGTGGCACGGAGTTCGTACATGCTATGCAAATTCGGGGTTTGCGGCAACGGGATCACCTCGCAGATTCCCCTAAACATACCCGTATTCAATGTTCCCGATTCGCCTCGATGAATCTGTGATAGGAACAGTCAATGTCAAGGTAGATCACCTTAATGCGCACCCTGAGTGGTGGGAGAGACCGGTGCTAGGGGAAAGAAAAGGACAACGAGAGAAACGAAAGACCAGGGTGAGTCGATCGATTCTACTTTTCCGCTGCGTGAAAACCTATGAGGCACAATTCTACCGGACTATTCATCTTTTTTCTACAGTGGTTGACATGCTACTACATAGTAGTGTTGATCCATTAGCTTAGCAAGGCAGGGAAGTCCCATAGCTGTTCTTCGCCTCGTTGTCTGCTTCACATATTCCTATCTCAAACTTCTCACGAATTTCATGAACTACGTTGGCAACATCACTTACTAGTCTATAAAGTACGAGTTTTACATTTGTACCCTTAGACGGCATATCTTAAATGCTACTATGGGATAGCATAAGGGAGTAACGAGGGCTGTTTAATCTTGGTTATCTCTTCAACAAGTAGTTATCAACATTCGGGGACTAGGAAGCAAAATACACCAAAGCACCCACAAAAGCTCGATTCAGGGAACCGCTGGTACAAACGATACAAGACAATGGATTTAAAATCAGGTACCGTTCATACTCTATCCTAGGTCTAGTCATGTGAAGCTGTATTTTTGCCTCCTGATCCCTGCATGTTGACAACTGTCAGTCAAAGGGATGGCAGCGAAAGACAGGAATAGTTTTTGCATATGCTAGCCAGTAGCAGTACGCAGCCGAGAACTATTGATGCCTCACACGTTTGATTCTCAAGGTTAAGTTATTCTTTATACAGCTAGAGTCTACTAGGTGAATCATTACTAAGACTCAATTGGTATGACCAAGTACGAGGGGCTTCTAAATGCGGGCTCAGGGGAAGCGAAAACTGACCAATCATGGAAGACAACCCTTTCGGGGACTTACTCCTATCACATTGGAGGAATGGAATCAACAATACGAATTGATATTCAAGTGAGCTATCATAAATCCTCCATAAGTATGTAATTACATTTACGTTATGATTATCCAATTACGGCATTAATATGTTACATAGGTGTGTACAGCGTACGGTGTGACCGGTACATCCATCTGGCAGTCCGGACACCTACGTAGGAGAGCCCAACCCTTACTGCGCCGCAGCATACAGGGCGCCGAGCGCCAGAGCGCCATAGAAGCCGACGGAGCTACCAGCGTTGGCGTTGGCGGCGCTGGTGACGACGACCAACCCAGACGACTAGTAGTATGGATTGATTAGTCAAACGTCTTTCTCGGTTTGCCTACCTAAAAGGGGAAAAGAGTAAGGGGGAGGTGAAGGTGAAGGTGGATGACTAACCGTCGTCGCGGTTCCGTTGCCGCTCGCGCTGCCAGTGCCCGTGGGGGTGTAGGTGGTGGTCACGGGACTCGAAGCGCTCGTCACCGACGCAGATACGGTGGCGGAGGCAGTGGTACCTTGCGCAGATGTTTCACCGGAGGTGGCGGTGGAAGTAGCAGCTGTGGTCGCCTCTGATGTCGCCGAGCTAGTGGCCGTCGGGGTTTCAGTTGACGAGGCCTCGGTAGCCGTTGAAGTGGCCGACGAAGTGCTGCCGCCGGCGGGGATCGCGGCTCCAACATCTGGCTGCGAGCCAGAGAGCGGGGTCGTGGATAGACCGCACGCGCTGGCGTCTTTGGTGAGCGTGGTTCCGTAGTACTGCCACTATAGTACCGGGAGTTAGTATCTCCTCTTTTAGGGGCGTTTAACGAGTGATCTAGAGTTCGAGCTCCCGTCGGCAAAGAGAGCTCTCTGGGAATTATCGAAGGATATATCGATGATACATACAATGTCTTGGTTATCCGGGCCGGAACACTGAAGACAAGCCTTATAATCGGTCAGGAAGATTTCGTCGTTGCACACATCGTCGCTGCTTCGTCCCTCGATGATGGCTTGGCCTAGACCCGAATTGTATTATTAGCATTACGTTCCTCTTGCACTAAGTGCCACCGAGGTAATACGAACCGCAGTTGTCGTGGCAGTTGTAAGCGGCACTGCCAACCTCCTGACGCTTGAGCAGGCGAGCAATAAACTGCAACTCATCCGTAGAGGCAGAAACTGCGGTAGCAGTAAGAACTGCGGCTACAGTCCAACGAAGGGCGACCATTTTGACGGTTATATGTTGATAAGCGAACGTATGTGTGGACAAAAACGAGTGTCTGATTGATGATACGGGTAAGTATGCGAAGGGGTTCAAGGCGTCGGTGAGTGACGAGAAACTAAGGTAACAGCAGCGGAAGAGGCTACCAGTGTCTTATAACTGTATAATCCAAACCCAGGAATTCTCGAAATCATGTGTTAAATCATGCACCTCGGATGCGGATAGCTCCAGCAAACATTTCAGCTAAGGCAAAGGGTTTACGCAGCGCCGACTAGGATTCGTGAGCGAGGCGATGTGAGGCCGGCCGAGCTCGGAGATTAGGCTATAAGTCATGTAAGTACGATCAAATCGCTAGTTTTGGGAGACTTCTTCCGGAAAAGAACCCATTCTCCGGTCACAGCCTTGGCATCGACTACGACATTGGTGTTTCCTAGATACGATCACAGTAGCTCGTTGAGAGGGGCGATTTGATGATCCGTTCGGGTGGTACTCACTATCCTTGCTATAGATCTTTTTGTCAGGCCATGACATGCCGTTGATTGCTTGGATTGCTTGGATCCTGTTGCTCGGCATCACCAGGGCATCACCCTATTTTATCAATAGACTCTAATATCCTGGATGCTCAATGTACGAGCTTCCTCTTCGCCTCCCTCACACCCCGTCCTGTCGCCTGTCATTCTGGAAAACCGTTACGAGAATATTGACGTTCTGGACCGGTATTGGCCGCTCGATCTGATTAGATTGATAAGATTAGATGGAGTGCCACACCCATGTGAAATCTCCGCTTTGAAGATGGTCCCACAACGGCCTAAAGAGGGGCTTGAAAGAAACTAACGATAAAATGGCAAGGATCTTCCCTCTAGCGCCATCAGATAAACCATAATGTGGGTCGCGCGGAAGAAACGGTGAACTTCGATCCTTCGATCTACATTGTACAACTTCCATTCTTTCGCAACTCAATTTTAGCCGGCGCTTATACAAGTCGAGATGACGAAACGGAATATCTAGATGTACCACGAATTTCATGTTCAATCGCTTTCTGTCTTCGTTCAGAATGGATTCGGGCTCGCTTGGGGATGTCATGCCACCTTGTAAGCTGATTCGGGAGCTTAGGCTTTCTGTAATGCGAGTAGCGTTAAAAGGCTCGGCATCAGGGGTCTACGAGTTCACGATCTGGAGGTTTGGAAAATCAGACCACCCATCCAGCCTAGCTTTCGAATCCACCCGTCAAACTGTCAACACTCCGATTCGCGTATTCTCCCCTGACCTAATGCCGTCACATATGGTCTAACTATATCTATCGAATCGGCCCCACCCTTGGACGGGACGGACACATGGTGAAGGTGACGGACTTGGTTACTACGTTACTAGCCGCGAAATATCTGTCGCTGGTTACCTGCTAGTTTTTCTATACTAACATCTAAGATACACATCGTTCCTCTCTGGCGTTCTAGAATTTATTCGGTGAGCACAATTCTTTGAGATCATATGCTTACTTTGATATCATTATCCTGATTCCCACGCTTCCTAGACAGTCTAACATCTTTTGATACTAGCGTTTTCCTTAGTTGTTCAGGTGTAAGATAGGATTGGGCGGCCGGATTTCAAGTATGTCCTATTACATACATGCAGGCGAGCAAGGGCTTGGAGGAATTTACACCCTAGGCCTGCGTATGCAAGCATCTTAGGTAATAGCTCTCTTGGCAACTTGAGAAGAATCTGAGGTCCATGGAAAGGTTTTGTCTGCTCTTGGGAATCATAGATGAAATCTTTGTGAGACCTTCCTAACATAGACCAGGGAGTCCATGCCACCAGCTTGCCTGCCCTGCTTGCCGTGATCGGATAGGTCACCCATTCTACAATCCGCTGTGGCATGTACATAACTCTTCGGTCACCGTATACGGTGGTTGCTCGGCCAATTAACTTAGGGCATCGGCCTACTTGAGTTGCTGAGGGCGATAGGACCATTGTATTCAACACTCAAGGTTCGTTAAACTGGGCGCCCTGATGTATAGCAATGCTTACCATGCCATTTCTAGAGTTGATATTCTAGTGCTTTCAAAACCAACAGACTTGTATTGCGATGTGATCTGATAACTGTATTGCTGACATGTATGTACTAGGCATGAGCAAATCTAAGGCGCTCAGGATTAATTCGAAAATTGATATCTACCCAGTCGACAGTGTTGCCGACTGGGAGTCAGATGCAAAATCATCAATAGTGTCTTGGGTCGGCTTATCTCGGACGAATGACTGAGCACACCAGTTAGCACCTATACGGCCGGATTTATAGCTTGGCAAGGCATGATTGGCTTGTGACGAGGGGCCGGTTATTGTACTTAGATGAATTCCCCACGGAATACATTAGACTGCAACTGTTGCATAGGTACCTAGGTAGGCAAGTAATACTTATAGGATCGACTTCCACTGCGCCTATATTTCCTTTCAAAAGGCTCCTCTCAGCCACATGAATATCCCCATAGGCGTGCAGACAACTCCGCCCTGTGTCACTGAGATCCTTTCATTAACTGTTTTTCCTATCATATTATTCATCCAACATGCGATTCAGTCAGTTGTCTTATATCGCCGCCCTCGTTGGCAGCCAGCTAGTTGCTGGTGATGACGAAGCTCATGGTGAGGGCCTTGAAGGCACTGTCATGGGTCCCGTCGCCTTTCTATGGCCTGACGACAGACCTTGGAGCGCCTCGGCTGATAACTCGGGGCCTTGTGGAAGTTCCAGCGGCGTGAGCAACCGAACCATCTTCCCGCTCAGTAAGTACATACACACAAGGTAGAGCCTACGAAAGTATCAGCTCGCTAACCTCTTCTTCGTTTAGCTCAGGGAACTGTCGCTCTGTCGATTGCAGACGATGCCTGGAATGTTAACTTCTCTATTGCATACGACAACGGTCAGTCGCATACCCCCATTTATGTACTGTTATCTATTATAATACTAATGAGTCTCCAGCACCGACAATCCAGAGCCAGTTCACCCAACAGGTTGTTAGTGAAGTCACAGAGATAGAACCTGGCCACCAATGCTATAAGGTTGCTAGTATCCCCAGCAGCGTGACTGCGGGAACCAACGCTACCATCCAGTTGGAATATTGGTCAAACGTCGACAACGAGCTTGGCGGTGCCAACCAAACCTTCTACGCCTGCGCCGATATTGTAAGATAACCCGAGTATGCATCTCTACTGAATCTAGGTATATTAACACGTCAAATCCATCTAGACTTTCGTCAAGACAAAAGACTTTGATATCACAGCCCCTTGTTTCAATGTAACAGCGTCAGACTTCGATTCAGGCGCCTCATCCTCGACTTCTAGCTCGGTCCCAAGCGCCACAGGCACAACCGCTAGCTCTGACACAACTAGCAACCAGAGCTCAAGCTCGTCTAGTGATGGCCTATCTACCGGAGCGAAGGCTGGTGTTGCCGTTGGTGTGGTTGTGGCTTCTCTTGGTATCGTGGGCGTCGTCGCCTTCATCATGCTTAGGAAGCGCAGGTCGGCCCCTCACGATAGTGAGGCATCAGTACCCGCCGCCAAGAACCAGCCTGAGGTAGCCTCTGTCAATAGTCACCAAAACTAAGTTATTTAGTTGTTGTAATTTGGATTAGGCAGTCAACAACTTGGAAATAAGCAAGATGGTTGGATAGTTACCTAGGTATAAGACTTTGGAAAGACGATGGTTGAAGATGAATGTGACCATGCCCTATCATTTTTACAGAGATAGTTAATATACCCTGTTACATATACCAATCTATCTAAGAACGACTGTCAAAGGTGACTGAAGGTGCTTCGCGAAAGGACGTACCATAGAATGTCTATATCTTAGGGGTTTTTGTATCATGTTTAGGTAAAATACTTGAAAGGTAATGAATCTCCTATCAATCATCAAGCACCCCTTAATCTAATCGTAGAAAGTATTTTCGCTGATTCTCAACATCATGTCAACCATCAAGGTGATTTTCTATGAGGGTGCATGCACGGTGATAGAAGAGATCAATAGGAAAAGATAGGAAAAGATAGGAAACAAAACATAAAAAAATATTATTAGAACGTTAAGAGGCCCGGCCTAGGATTTGTTGATCGGCTCCTAGCTACTGCGCCCCCGCTATTGGGTATTTCTTTGCCACTCCTTTTCAGGATCTCGAGAGAATTGCACTTGCAACCCGCGAGAATCGAACCCTAGACCACCCATTGCAGGGGGCCGTTAGAGCAGGATCGATGAGGTGTCTGTGACACATCCACTTGACCATTCTGTATGTTCAGGCCGTGGATCTTGTGCCGCCGATGGAAATCTGTGACTTTACTATGCTATTTAACCTTCATTTCGGCTGCTGCCTGGCGGATTGACCACCTGGCGAGCTGGCTGACATTGATAGCGTAAGCATTGACCACAACGGGACGACGATGAGAGACGAGATGCTACAGCTGAGCTATCGGAATCATTCCGGTAGAACGTTATCCCGTCTCTTCTGTACAAGATTGCCAAAACTAACGTGATACCATAACAAATCTAAGGAGCTTGTAGTCGATTAGTAAAATGAAGACAACGATATTTCTGAATTCATTCACCTTCAGCACCTTCCTGTCATATTACAACAGATTGTAAAGTGAAGAGTCTCAAGAGTACAAACTCTTGATCCATCGCTAATATTCAAATCAAATAAGCAAGAATGGGCTACACCTTCGTATTCTTTCATATCGTGAGTAGGAGGTTTCTGGCTCCTGAGCAAGCATCTTCACAGATAAAATGGATTATGCAGTCTGGCATGAGCGTTACCCCGTGACGATGAGGTTGGGTTCATCCCATTCAAATATCCTAAGAAATTAATTAGCATAAGTTCTTCAATACTGAGGAGTCTTCAAGCTGACGGGAAACATATTAGAAATAGACAATCCTCTTTCAACGTAACCATGAAAAGAGTTTTGCGGTGTTCATTCTTCCTCGCCGCAGCTTCTTGTATCGATGTCGATATCGATATTGACAACAAAATTTGAAGAGTTAAAAGGCCGCAAAGTCTTAGAATGGGCGCCAATACCTTGAAGGGTTTAGATGATGAACATACCCGAGGTCTAAGATAGAGGAGTTCTTAGAGATATAGATAATTCGACATTGGGAGACTAGCTAATCCAACTTACATATAATGCCCTATCTCCTTCAAATGTTATCGCCAAGAACGTTACGGTGGCATTAGCAAGGCCATAAGACAGGTTATTCCTCAGCCAAGCCCGCGCTAGGAGACAAGGCGAGTTCCGACGAACAGTAAATTGTCGTCCCCTGGATGTTAGTCGCCAATAGCACACGAGGTATTAGACACGCCAAAGTCCCAAGATCTAGGTCCCGTCCAATTGCCTCACATCTCGAGTCCCCGCATTCTCACGATCACGCACCCTCCACCAACCTTATCGGCACGTTCTATCGTTTTATCCATGACCTTCCCCTTCGAGCATCAATTTATCTGAACGCTCGTCTGCCAAGCTCTTCGGTGCACGTCCCAGAAGGAGAAACTCCCGTCCCGTTCAAGCGTAGCTCTGCGTAAGTTATAACGACGGATGAATGTTCTTCGGTGCTTCGTTGCCTTGCGAGGAAGGAGGATCGTCAGGTACGCCGCGCGAAAAACAAGTCGATAGAAAGTCGATAGAGTAGATAGGTGTATAAATAGGATCCTCCATTCCGTCCTGTGTCGTAGCCAGTCTGCCTCAACCAGCTCGAATATAGCTCTTTGACGAAGTCTATACCATATAACCAGGGCCATGTACTTCGTCAACAGCATTTCCCTTCTGCCCCTTGTGGCCTTCATCGCATCCGTGACAGCCGCCCCACTCCTCACGGAACGTGAAGCGCTCGCGGCCACAACATGCGGGTCAACTTACTACACTGCCACCCAAGTAAACCAAGCTGCTCAGAAGGCGTGTAGCTACTACACCTCCGGCGATGCTCCCGGAGGCTACCCGCACACGTATAACAACTATGAGGGTTTCTCGTTTGCGGTAGCCGGGCCTTATCTCGAGTTCCCGATGTTGACGAGCGGCGTGTACACCGGCGGTGTGTTTCCGAGTCTCCCATTTTCCAATATGACCTGGGTAAGCTAACGAACAGTAAGGATCCCCCGGAGCTGACCGAGTCGTCATCAACACCTCCTGCAAGCTCGCAGGTGAAATCACCCATACCGGGGCTAGCGGTAACAACTTCGTCGGCTGCTCGGGGACGTCTTAGCCAGATGGCCGTCGAATTGGTGTTATAGGGATCGATGGCTTATTATAAGTCGAGAGACCCATGAATAAGTCGTATTCCAGACATAATACAATGTATATGAATAGTCTAAATCATGATTTAGTGTGCTCTTAAATATTCAGTGCCTTGTCCATAAATTTTACGGAACATTCCTTGATTTCCCTGAAATAAATTTGTTTGAATGATACCTAACTATACTGGAAGCTAAAAATATCTCCTCTATAATTTATATAATTTTCCTTCCGTCTTGTGATATGTATATATCCTAGGTCGGACATTCTGTCTTGCTTTCCGGTGACGTCTTGTAGAGGAAGTCCAGAGTTCCCAATGGGCGCTTCACCAGGTATGGCGGCCTCTGGTGCGGCTTCGAGGCGGGGCTCTAAAGGCTGGAAACTGAGAAGAACCCTTCACCGCCACCTATTTACTTGGTCAGCTCAATCTGCAAACGCCGAAGAAGACTATAGTTCATACACTTATCCTCTGCGTACCCTGAGCAGGGGGTGTTGCAGGATGAGTCTGCTACGGCGTCGCTCTGAGGGGGCGCCTCGGCTCCGCAAAAGCAATCGGTACCTTTCGTGGTAGCTAGTATGGGCAGGTTCGCCGCCTTACAAACTTGCTGGCATTGCCCAAGGGACTGATATACATCGTGTTCTTTGAAGCTGAGATTTGTCGACGAAGAGAAGCAACCCAGATAGGCAGACTGTGCGGCCGAGGCAAATAGCGCCAGGACGACGAAGTTGGAGGTGAGCTGGAACATCATTTTGACGGTAATTGTGTCGTGAACTTAGCAATTAGGGTACTGATGCAGATGAAGAGAACCTGACTCTAACAAGGCGAGTCGACATTGGAATTATATATTGCATAGCTGCCTAAGAATGAAGGAGCTGAGGAGTCACTGAGTGCGTAAAGGATTCCGTATACGCTCTGGCCAATGAGCGGATGTTTCGTCAGCAGCTCCGGCGGCTCAGCACATGAGATCGACGATATTTTACTTATTTCGTCGGCTGAGGCCTGGCTGAAGGCTGATCGTCGGACATTTTATCCGTCTAGGTCGGTTGTCATTGTCGATCCCGTATGCGCAAAAGGTGAGTAATTTTAGAAAGCGACAACGTAGGATGCCTTCATCGTATAGGTAGCAAATGCATTTGCATAAATTGACTTCCTATATCACGTGAACGGCGTTCATGGATATTCCTCATAATCCAATGAGATAATCGTACGACACCTTATGATACATTCACTCCTATTGCTGCAATACGTACGTACCTACGTACATAGTTGCAAGCGGTAAAGAACCGCTTCTACCCCGGACCCACATCGAGATTGCAAGTACCGCCTAATTGGGATGTCCTTGACTCGATTGACCAATCAACATTGGACTAAAACCAATCATCATCATCAAGGTTCCAGCTCATTTCCTAAAACGGGCTAGAATGACGTAGAGACCGGTGTAGGGCAGGTTCGAATGTCTAAGGTCTAGACTTTCCGGTATTCACCTTAGCTTCCTTTGTCGTCGAACCGTTTCGACTCGTAACCTTAAATACCTAGACTCTTTCTCCCCTCTTTCAAAGAATCCTCTTCTCCGCCCTTACGAAGACTGCATACTACGTATCGAGCAACTAGACGAATCACCCGAATCAAGAAGAACATCTATAGATCTTTGATCATCGAACCGCAGCTATGGCTTCCGCAGAAGTGTGCCCCGTAGTCGGAACTACGAACCACACTCTCCCGCCCTCGCACCCCAAGATCGACCTCTCGCAGCCGGGACAGACTTGCCCCGTCGTCGGCGCCAAATCCGAGCACCATACAAAGCTCCACCAGCACCCCTCGCTTCCCAGCGACGACGTGTCTTCCGCGACTACTAAATCCGTCGGCTCGGCCGACGCCCAGGCCTGTCCCGCGTTGAGGGGTGTCGTGAACGAGCCCAAGAGCAAGGAGATGGGTATGTACACACCCTTTGCTGACTACCATAACTTCTAGAGCCTCCTGAGTATCTATGTAACAGTTGCTGATTTATTATGCTACCTATACATAGACGACCGCGTGTGCCCCGTCGTTGGTCCCGTCACAACCGTCCTGCCGCCTCACCACCCCAGCACGGCCAGCAAGGCCGACAGTGATGTCTGCCCTGTGACAAAGGCAAAGGTTGGACATCACAAGGATAAGGTCATTGTTCATCCTGAGGTCGAGGGAGCTTCCGGCGTATGCCCGGTGACCGGAGCGAAGCAAGAATGAAAGCGAGAACCAATTGATCTACGCTATTTAAGAACTACAACTTCATGTAATGGCTGGGCATGGCAGATTGTATAGTACAAAAAATGTATACTCACTTTTACGCGAGCTTATTAATTACGCCGATCTTTCCGAAGGTGTAAGGTATGGGCATCATTTACTCTTACACGAGTGAAAAAGTATATATGTTGGTAGAAAAGGAATACAACATGAAATCGAAACCTATTTATGAGGAGTTAATGCCTCACTACGTTTGTCAAGGGACTGCACTTAGTAAGGGGAGATTCTGAATGTTCATTGATCGGTCGACGTGTGACCATAACTACATGAATGCCATCGTAGGCAAGAGAAAATAGGAACTGTATCGAACCACGCGCAGTCCGATAATCCTAGAGGAAATTGCGGGACGCGAAATGGAAGAAGTTAGCAACTGAGCTCTGATACCAGATTACGAGCCCAGTATGCAAAATATTCCCCTCCCACTCTGTACCCTGAAGATAATCCAACCATGGACTCGGGGATGGAAAACCCAGGGTACTTATGCAACTGATACACCAACTTCATCGTAAAATACCAAGGTTAGTTTCCTAAACCACCTCGCCTCCCCAACCATCCCACCCCCTAAACCGCCTCGACTTTCGAATCGGCATCGCTTCCTTGGGCCTCCTTAGGCTGTGATGCAGCAAGCTTGAACATTTCGCGCCTGTAACCGTAAGTTCTGCGGAGTCGTCGGCCGTATTGTTTTACGATCAGGTAGTTGATCTCGCCACCCATGTACGGTTCCTCGAAGTAGGTGGGGTGGCCGAAGCCCATCGTATCCATGTCAGGCGTGAAGACCCAGCCAGACCCGAAAAGCTTCTCCGCCTTGAATCCCACGGACATCAGCGCGTAAACGAAGTCGTTCCATTGTATTCCTTTTGTCACCTCGTAACTGCCGAGCCCTTCGAACAGTAGGGCTTTGAATACCTTCAAGGCGCGCTTGTTAACTTCTATCGTCACCGGCGGAGCCTTCATCTCTCCCTCTCCTTCTCCATCTCCATTCTGTGCCAACTTCTTGTTCTGGGCAATAGCTTCGTCAAGAAGCTGGTCTACGGGATCGACTGGGACGTTGTCGTCTTTCTTCTTCTTTTCTTTCTTAGCCGCCTTCACAGGCTCCACCCAAGATGCAGTTCTCTGCAACTCATCGCGATACAAGAGATTCTCGACGTGCGTCGATACCGCGTCCACGTCCCTCAGACCACGAAGGAGGACCGTCCAGAATCTGTCTTGATGTGCTTCTACCATGCGTCTTCTCTTGATGTCCTCCTCGGTCGGAGTGGAAGACTCTTCGGCTACGAAAACGTACTCGCCCTTTGAATCATGCTTGAGCGACTTGGCTACCTTCTCCCAAAGCTCCTTCTTCGCATTACCGAGGTAGGTTTCCTGCAGGTGATCCAGCATCCACTGATCGTTAAGCTCGTTGGCATGATTCATATAGTAGGATCGGTAACCTGAGATCCAGGGCTGGAAGAATTCAAGCTGATAAAGGCACTCGCAGAGGAGACCCAAGTTCGAGACTTGGCCAGCTACGAAAGGACTCATGAGAGCTCTGGCCTTAGGCTCTTGTCGCGTGAATAGGTCTAGCTCGGCAACTAGGCCCCTGACGCCCATGTCGAATCGATTGTGTTCGGTTGACAAGTTGTTGAAAATCCACATGAGACGATCGCGAATACAATCTTGAATGATATTTTCCCGGGGCCAAATAAGGGGATGTCCTATAGCCGACATCTCATCCGAACGATAAAACGTGTCTCGTAGCAGTGGTGAGCTGTAAACGCTCGACTCGAAATCTGCAGTAGCTAGAAGTTCCCACGAGGAACAAATCAGATTATGGAAAATATCGAATAACGCCTCGTTCAGCTCCGGTGTCGGGGGGCTCTTGGGGGTCAGAAGGCCTTCCTTAAATTGAGTAACGATAAGGCAGTTGAGTCGGCAAGCCTTCTTGAAGAGGACATTGAACATATCCACATTCGCGATAGCTTCTTTGATAACGCGTTCGAAAACTCGAGCCCATAGTTTAGTCCGGCTCAGGCCTCGCTGTGGGCCGGGATTGCCGTCAACATCGGCTACCATCTCCGTCATGTGTTCCAATCTATCCTTCGCAGTGAACACCAAGTAGTTAGGGTCCTCTCTCAAGGCCCATAGGTGATCCTCTGCGTGCGCCAGCTTAGTCCCAATGAACGTTACGATTCGGGACAAATCAGTTGACCTTGGTGCCTTGTACTGATCCTCATATGCTTGGATGGCGAGTATTTCGACGCCTTCAATGTTGGTCTTGGTTAAGTGGTATGGGTATTCCGGCGGTAGAATATGGTCTCCTTGTGCCGGGTAGACCTCCTCTGGTGACATGTCGTGGAGAATCTGCTGGCAGATAACGTTCAGAAACCAGTAGATTTGGGATTGTGCTAGAACAGCCCAATAGCTATCGCCTGCAGTAAACCATCCTCGGGTAGGCTCCGACTGGACATCATCCGCGTCATCGTCCCAAGAGTAGAGCTTTCCATAGGTCTCGGGCGAATCACGATCTCGAAGCACAGCGAAGTAACCTGGGAGGTCGATTTGTCCGATGAGACCATTTCTCATGCCGAAATTCAAGATACCAATGTCATGGTTCGCGAATTTGTGGGGATGGAATCTTGCGCGTTGATGGAGCATCAGCAAAAGAATCTCTTTGTTGCTCAGGTCTTCGGAATTGAGGTTTGGCCACATCAAGGCGATCGTGTCTTCGTCCTCAAGGGAATGGCCGTTGCGTAGACTCTGCCATGTCTTAACATCGGGTCGATGGATCTGCGGCATCTCAGGCCAAGCCTTCAATAACAGAGCCTTGCGCTTCGACTTGGATTTTCCCATCCAGCGCTTCGTGATTGTCTCCTCGTGGTGGCAGATGATTGTACGCAAGTCCTTCTAGCCCTTGAATACTTTCACCGCCTTCTCGAGAATCAAACGTCGACATTCCTCCACCGTAGGTTGCTGAGAATCTGTCGTGCCGTTTTCGCCATTGTGTTGAGAAGGATCATTGAGATCCTTACAAGCCTGTGCTTGATCATGAAATCGGACCGTTTTTGGGTCGACTGGTCCGATGGTGTCGTCCATGTTGGGCGAGCTCCAACACGTTAAGCTTAAGTGTTTATCAATGAAGATTAATGTGTTGGATGATGGATAAAATTGATGGAATGCTGATGAAATATGTGATGGGGTGTTGATGAAGTATGTGTTGTGAGGATGTGTACGAAAGAAGGTATGTTTGAAGGAGGAAAGGAAAAAAGATGGGAGGACTGCAGAAATTATTTACTTTTTCCACCTGTGCCTGATGAAAATTCATTTCGTGGCAGCTTCCGGCTTGCGGCTTGCTGGTTATCAATAGCCAGGCACTGTCTCCGATTTCGAAATTACTTACAGTATGAATGACGGTTCCTTCCAAGTTGATCTCGTTATGTCGTTACTGATATCGTTGACGTTGCGCTTGGGAGAGTACGACTTGAATCTTAGTTCGTCCGACTTTCATAAACGGGATCGGTCCATTATTCAATTTGGTCTTGGATCAATTGACCTCTTAATGTTCGTGATCAGCAAATAAGAGATCCGTTACTATGTTAGACTTTCAGAGATAGAATCTATTGCAAATGTATAACGCTACCACTCGGATTGTGTCCCTTCTTAAGGGATCCTATATCTTTCATGTCGAGTTTCATATAGCGAGTTCATATATACTTGCTTCACCATAACGAATGCTTTCATAACTTGTTCATGCACGAGTACATATCTTAGGTTCACTGTTTTTTATCTTAAGATTAGCAATGTGTTATAATAATATTGTGGCTTGATTTAAATGAAGTGAATTGGATAGCTTGGTTTTATTTTATATTGATATGGGTGAGGTTAAAGAACAATGTTGAAATGATTTCATGTTAGCAACTTGGTGACCTCCTAGCACTCCCTCAATCAAGGCATCATAAATTACTTGTCGACATTTTATTAGTTCTCATCTTTTCCCCTAGGTAATTTCTACTCGCACTGATTTTATCCCGTTACTATTCATTGTAAAACAGTCTAAAAGTTACTAAATATCTCTTTATATCTCATATCTCACAATAAGTCTTCAGAAGGAGACAAGTCGAGTGATTGAGATACAGTGGAACTTTCCCGAGGGCAAGTGGGTCTCCTGCAGGTATGACTAGTGTGTGTGGCGCTACTTCCAAAATCGGAAAATTACATGTGGCTGGGAGAGAACTAGCCAATGAAAGAGATCAAATCTCGCGGTTAAGCCCCTGCTCATAACCCCGCTTTTTCCACTTTCCAGCCACCTTAATAGATCCCCGTCAAACTCAAGTTGATTGCGAAGCCATTTAATTCTTGCTTGACTTGATTCCCAACCATCTAATTATCGTCAATCGCATGGGATATCTCCCATAATAAAAAGGTAATGCATGCGTCATGGTAATTTTGCATTCTCTTCGTCCTGTAGATCCTTCCCCTCCTTCAAACTGTAAGGTGCAAAATCTCTCGCAGCCCTCAGCCGTCTCAAGCAAGTTTCTTGAGGTGTTGACCAAGATGCATCCGAACGTGTTGATCTCCTTCCTTTTCTTCACATCCTCTTCTGCGTTGCCATTCATTGCGCAAAAGAGAGAGCCAACTAGTCCTTTAGAAGCTCGCGCTACTTATTCAGTCGTTCCCATCGATGGAGGCGGTTCGGATTCTACAGAGACGATTACCGCAACTCCAACTCCAACTACGAAGACAGTTGTCGAGACCTCTCCGCCAGTCACCGACACTGTAACAATCACTGCTGATCCGGCCACACAAACCGTCTCTACTACAGTCTCCGTTGTTGATATCGAACCAACAACCGACGTTGTGACGACTACCGTGTCTTCAGACAAAACGTCAACATCAATCTCAGCTTACCCCAGCCTGCCCAGCACGGAGCCCACTACACCATTCACAACGCCTACTTCAACTACACTCATTTCGACTTCATCTCCCACACCGTCAAGTGTGGCTACTACTTCGGCTCCATCATTGACGGAGACCTCGCCGCAACCTACAATCCCCACTAGCTCTTTCACAACTTTTTGGGCAACGTCTGTTCCAGTGACAAGTTGGAGCTGGAGCTCAAGCACATCGTACGACGATGGCTCCTGGCATACGACCTATCCCTGGAACGGCACCGTGGCTCACCGATTTGCTCGCCGACATTAAAATGACATACCGAGCCTTTTTATTCTTTGTATTTCTTTAACTTCCTCTAACCGGGAACGAACTGTACGGATAATACATGCCATGTATGGAATATTACGTGTAAAGATCATTACGGAAGGATGAAATATGAGGATTAATGTAATATCATGTTTGGGGACTTGGAACTTCGCCTAGTCAAGGGACGGAATAATGGACCTCACGCAACCCAAGCGCTGGAATGCGTCGACTCGTATTTAATAGCCCGAGATGCTAGATACGAAAATAAATATTGTTAAACAATACCTATGGCTTTTAGACTGTGACTTGTGTGGTTTGGAGTTAAAAGTCTGCTTCTAATGACTTGAAATTTCTTCTCCCCATTCCATTCCCGCTATGCAATTTTGAACCATTTCCTAAACAGGCAACGAAACTTAGAATATGGCCAATCACGCTTCAAGAGTCTCAGCATCGACAAGGGGTGTGATGTATGAGATAGATAAGATATTCTTAGGACATCTCACTAAAGTCCTAGGCCGGCTGGAGTAAGCTAAGCGAATGTTGAGAATATTGAAAGGAGGCGGGATTTTGGTAGTAGGCTCACCTATTAGTATCAGTACCTATCGATGTAGGAATAATCTAGCATGAGAACACGCTATGAATTATGATAAGATTTCTTGGAGATTCGAAGGTTGCATACTTCTAACGATATATGATTACCAATGACGTGCAAATATATACTATCTATCTTGTACGCTCAAATCTTCCCGTCATTCAGCTTGAATACTGCACTGCCGTTCATCGGCCGACTAACGACAATCGCCGCCTCTAGGTCCGTTTTGCTCAACTGCCTCTTGGAGTAATACTTCTCGAGCAATGCCTTGCGGATATCTTCCACCTTGTCAGCGGGCACCAGATGAACGCTGCAACCACCCCAGCCAGCGCCCGTCAGCCGACTGCCGTAGCTTCCAGCTTCGCGCGCAATTTTGCACAGCTCGTCGATTTCTGGACAACTGCATTCATATAATTCTCGGCACGAGTCTTGGGTTTCGTTCATTAACTTGCCGAGCTTGGCATTGTATTCGACGGTGTGTTCGGAATCCGGTGCCAGAGCTGGATTCTCGAGAAGTTCGAGGAACTGGAGGACACGCAGGGCCTCGGTAAACACATGCAGTGCACGCTGGCGGAGCTTGAAATATTCACCCCGTACCGGGAAGCTGGACATAAAGCGAGCTTTCACCTCTTCGACTGATATACTGATACCCGCGGCAATTTCTTCCACGGTGTATCCCTGCTCTTGAGTGAGTGTAGATTTGGTTAACTCGATCAATTCTTTAAGTTGCTCGGACATTGACTTCTGAGAGCCTTTGAAGTAATTGGTGTGGAATCCGTGTATGGACACGCCCAGTGGGCCTGCATCCTTGGGAAGTTCGGTTCCCTTGGGGCATAGTTTAGCATTAAGATATGCTGCTGCCATGCTACATTCGACAACTCGGAGATTGTAGTGGATTGGGCCGGTTTCCTGCTTATTCGATGTAACGAATGATTGCGCGACCATAAAGCAAAGCTCAGGATTCGTTTTAGGGAAAAATACTGGTCGTGCTGCAAGGGACGGAGAGAAATCGACTAGAAGAGCCGACCCTTGCTTAGAGAATACCGAAGCAGATTGGTCCATTCTACAAATAGTCAGTTATACTAATGTAGTTGAGCCAATACAGTTAAAAAAAGGCATACTCACCCTCCAGAATTGACACCCACCGCTCGTTCACTCACGATAGCAACCTCTGTTAGAGCCTTCTTGTCGACATCACGCTCACCGTTGGCAATCATGACAGCCAATGCGCTAGAACTCACAAAAGCAGCGCTAGAGCTGAGGCCACCGCCAGCGGGCACTGTTCCATCCATCAGGACCTCCATACTCTTGGGCTTGAAGTCATCTCCGTATTTCTTCCTGAGTAATTGTAGCGCTCCCCTCAACCCTGATTTGAAGTAATTGGTCCATTCGTGTAAAGTTGCGTCGATCTCGACCTCGGAATACGGTACATCGAATTCGCGGGTCGGGAACCGTTCATTATCGACATTGGCTATCTTGATCTTATAAGTGCCTTCTCGAGACGGCTCAAGATCGGTAGAGACGGCGATGATGATATCATTGGTCATTCCCATAGGCAATACGGAGTAAAGCGAATAATCGATGTGTTCGCCAATGATGTTCACGCGACCTGGCGATCGCGACACGAACTGCGCGGGGCTGCCATAGAGGGCCTGGAACTTGTCAAGCAGCTTATTCCACCGCACCGTCTGGTCAGCCAACGACTGCTTGGTGTAGATGTCCTGCAGCGCAGTGACAGTAGGTACGGGCCCCGACATGATGCTGTGATCTAATCAAGATCAGGTCCCAAATAACTTGGGCAATTGGAAAGGAGAGATTGGATAGCTTCGTAGAAATATACCCCGAGCTTGCCCCGCTTTGAGCTTCAAGCTGTCAATTGACTTTCTTAGTTGCGCTTTAGAATTTTCGATTAGAGTTTTGGCTTCTTAGGCTAAGCGACTAGGAGATAACCGTTTACAAAAGATATAGATGCTAGCGACTTTATAGGAAGAATGCTAGAGGAAGATGCGAGTTAGTTGCACGACAGTTTAGAAAGAAAAGTCGCAAGTCACAAGATCGTAAAAGTTGGCAAACACACTCGTTTTCCTATGATCGTCATGAGGTACCTGCCCACCTTAGCTAAGATCTAGGTACCCCGCGGCCAGCCGTTCCGAGGGATGGACCGGGGTATGGGCGGATAGCGTTGGTAGCCCTTCTAGGTACCAGGTATATGGCACCTAAGAAACACCCCGCCCCTTTTTTAAACAACCTTAAAACTTCCACCAATTGATTGACATTTTCCTTCTATCGTACCGCCATATCCAGACGAGAATGGCTTCAAGTGTTGATCGGGATCATTCATAATTAAGTCACTAGAAGTGTCTACTTGAATGAACTGATACCAGTTTGAATAGTCCAAGAAGAAACCCCAGGCTTCCTATCGCGATGTTACGAGATACCCGCCTGGTCGGAATATCATTAGATCACACCATTGGAAGGCGGAGCCGACCAGAAATGCCCAGGGCCGATGTCTATGAAAAGACCAATTACCCGCAATGCTAATTGAAAGGACCAGTCCATCGAGACAAACGTGAGCGCTAAGAGATGTTTCATTTGAAGGGTATGGCCAACTCTATTCCACTAAGAAACATAGTCCAGAGTGAATATAGAGAGGACCAAATCTCGTCGCGATTTCAACAATAAGCTGGGGGGGGCCCCGCGCCCCCCCCCCGCCGCCCCCAGGGGGGGGGGAGGGGGGGGGGGGGGGGGGGGGGGGGGGGGGGGGGGGGGCGGGGGTGGGGGGGGGC